TATATACATTTAAATGAACGAAACCGAGTATTGCCAACTTCTTCGAAATTCTCGCGGGGAGTCCGACCAACGCGCGCATGCCCGTGTCGTTATGTATTGCCCATCATTTCCTGTACCCAAAACTTGACCTGATTCTGGTCCTTATGTTTTTATCATTTGAAACTCAACGACGATGATTCCGAGCTGACGAAAAACGACTTAAAAACATTCGAACGTCGCCAAATTTTTCCCAATTATTATTCATAATTGAGAATTTTGTGCCTATTTTTTCGTTTAAATATATGGTAACAAAGCGGAGAGTATCCCCGTCAAAATTTATAAAGTCATGACAAGTTTCATACTTTAAAATTTCACACTATTTTATCAGCGGAAATTTGGCAACATCCTTAAGATAACTCATATGGAGTTTTTTCTCAGCGCAACGCGACGGAATGCGTGCTTTGAGATATATCGATTGATCTGCCATTTAAACCTTTAGAAAAGGATCGATAAACAGGATGTTCGCAACTAACTCTTCAACAATCGATTCTTTACCACAGCTTCAAATAGGGAGCTATCGATAATCGATCATTCCCGCTTCACCACTGAATGTTAGCCGTGGTCAGCGCACACTCTCGCGCTTTTTTTTTTTTTTTTTTTTTTTTTTGTAATTTAGGGGAAATTCGTATAAATTTTCAAGAAATGTTAGTCAGTTTTTTGTTTAAAAAAACGAAGAGAGAAAATCAGGCATCGTAAAGTTCAGTTAGGCTGTTTCTAGTAAAATGCACCCATTCGATAAGTTTTTTTTTCCTATATAGTTTAGCTGAAACCCAGGCGTGTGCGTAGCAGTTACGATACCCGCGAAGAACTGCGAGCGGGCATTCCACGCTGTGTCACGGTAGCTTGAAATCAAGTTTACACCGGGGAGATCGGAATTCTCCGAGGCAACGATACCTACCGAAAACGAGCTAGTTTTTTGTCTCAATTAAGCGGGAGGCGAGGAAAAAGGGCCCGCGACAATTAGACAGGCACGCCATTACAGCGCAGATTCCGCCGTAATCGTACGGGCTCTGATTTGGCCTGAAAAAGCACCGAAATAAAGTCCGCGCTGGAATTTTTATGAAATTGTCCGTCATCTCAATCAAATATCTGATGGAGGTGTTATTAAGAGATTAATCCGAGCCTTGGATGTTTTGTCCACGCACAGTGTCGCACTCCGTCGATGCCTTGTCTCGTGGAAACAATATGATTTTCGCGCCAATTGCGAACTTTTTTGGAGCAAGTTAAAAGACGAAAACGGTCAGTCAAAGCGTGACATAAATTGTTATTGGATTTACGTACCCTCGATGAGCGAGAAAGAACAAAGTCAGTTTAAACGTAAAATTCAAAATTCCAATATAAATATGGAGGTAATGCCTCTATACAAAAAACACCATATAGCGTTGTGGATGAAGTGGTCAACCATGTTTTCTTGGGGAGGATAATTTTTTAGGAATAGTCTAATTCTTTTTTGATAATCTATACAAGCTGCCGTCGGCAACTATCTATAGGCTGAATGGCTCAAAATCACACGCGTAATTGTTAGCTTCCCACGATAATATTCCTCTAATTTATCCACATGGAATACGTCTGCGATCGTCATGCAACACAGTATATGTCGACTAATTTTAGTATAACCCGTTGTATTATTATATTGGAAAATGGTAACCAAGTTGAGTTGATTATTTCAGTTACAGCCAGGTCTGTCTAACTCATTCTCATTGTCAGCACTTTTTCACCTTGCTTGTTGGATCACATCAATGCTCACATACATTCGTTTAGAACACAGTGCGTTAGTTGCAGTAGAAATAAAGGCAGTGTTACAAAAATATTGAATTTATCAGCTATCAGGCAACTATGTTATGAAGATTTGTCGGCCGCTTGACGCAAATTTGATGGAACGTCAGGGGAAAAAAACAAAGAAAAATATTCAAAAAAACGTTTTCTTTTATCGAGCTTTTACAGTGCTTTAACCGGTTTCTTTTTTTCGTGCATTCTATTACATATTTTATAAGCGTCTATTTGATAAATATTTCTCAGAAAAAATAATCAATTCCAAAGTCAAATACATGTTACACGCAGTGTCACAGAAGAGATAGCACCAATTTTTTGGCTATTGCAAGTCCCAATTTTGAATGATCGGTCCGGAGGAGAGTAAAATATCAACTGTTTTGCGGTGCAATGCAAGTTATCGTTCATGTACCTTCCCGACCGAAATTCAACAACATTGTCACCAAATTTACCAAATTCAGCATTGGCACCATGATTGTCTTTTATACATCCCTTGTCTCGAAAGTCGACTCTTGCACGAAAAATACACAAAAAATAAACCACAAATAAATCAAAAACTTATTCTGTGAAATGGCAAGAATATAAATCAAGGGACATAGGAGGTAAACCTGGAACTGTTCAATCATCTCTTCCATGGCACGAATACACAAAACAAAGACAGAAAAACGTCCTTCCAACGCTAAAAATGAATGGAGCATGAGAGCTCATAAAAAATGCGCTTTCAATGCAAATTCGATATTGCAGGGATAAAATGATAAGGGTACCTATGGGACTGCTCTTCCTCATTGTCACAGATTAACGCACGATCATATAAAACTGTGCATATTTTGTTCCTTCGATTGACATTTTTGCGGCATGACAAGACAGGATGAAAACCGTTAGGGGGCTACACAAGTCTCGAATTTTTGTAAAAACACACACAATTTTTGAGAAAACTGACTCACTTATGCGTAAAATTGGTTTAAAAATAATTTTACGCAAAGGAGGCAGTTTTTTGTGTTTTTTTCTTGTGTGTATCTAAAAAAAAATGTATGTCTCGAAGAAAATGACAAGACAGGTAGCAAAACGTATAAAAAAAGTTTGCTTACTACAATTTAAACTAAAATATTTCAGCATTCTCCCCCAACTTTCACCTAAACAAGAAAAAATTATCTGTCTCCCGCCGCAAAAACAGTTTCAGGGCTACATTTACTGGCATGCTCGAGGTGTGTGCCGGAGTCGAAAAGAATTGCGTCAGGAGGAGTGCACTTGCTTGCACTTGTCATGCCTGTCACGATCGCGGGCCGCAAGGAGGGGGGAGGGGTGGGGGCCGCAGAGGGGAGGGGGGCCTCTAATTGGGGTCGGCTGCGATTGGTCGGGCGGGAGAAAGTGTCGCTGCGCGCGACGCCGGCAGGCGGGCGCTGCGCATGTGTGTCCGCGTCGCGGCAGCCAATGGCGGCGCTGCCTCCGCCCCCGCCCACGGACGCCGCGAGCGTGACGACGCCGCGCCGCGACGCCCCAGTCGCCGCGGTCCCTCTACCTCGTACATGGACACCGCGTCGTTTCACCGACTCATGAAGCAGCACCATTCGTTCTACTTGCGGGAGCAACCGGGGGATAAACGAGGGAAGATGAGATAGGATGTGAGTTCGACCCGGATGTAGAGAGGATGTCTCTTGAAACGCGATTGAAATCACCCCTCCCCTCGTTCGGGATCTAGAGGTTTTCTGCGCAGCTTTATCTGTGGATAAAATCAGTATGCCTTGCAAAAAAGTGCCTAAATCCCACCCAGCATACTAAAACTATCAAGGGAGACCCGCGCGTTGACTTTTTTCAATGTGAAAGGCAATTTTAAGAGCCGAACATCTCATTGACGGAATCGGTTCCAGGGCACCGAAGATAATTTTCACACACGTGGAACTACCATTAGAAAGTTCTGAAATGCCGTAGCTTGATTTTTCCGAAAATGTGAATTTGACGCCTTCGTCACGCGTTAAATTAAGGTAATTAATTAATTGTGTCAAATCTGTGTTTATAAGAGGCTTCTGAAACGTTTGGCCGGTCCAAGTCCTAAATGATGATATTCAGAGGATTACTCTCTTAAAGAGGAGGGAGTTCTGGGTTTTGTACGCGATGTCGTCAATGTATGTCTGTATCACTTAATGACTAAGGTTGCTCCTTCCCGCACAGTTTTAGGAAAGGAGAGTGGGGTGACGTGATTCTGTTTTGACTGCATAATCTCGCAAAGAGGATAAATGTATTGGTTTTGCATTCTTCGCTGAAACTTCTTCAATTCCAAATAATCGTTGAATTTGCTGTTAGTTTATTGAAGGGAATATGTGCAGAGCTGTGTATACGGTATTCAACACCTTATCTGAGAGGCCATTGTCGTTTGCGTTTTTCACTTGGGGAAAAAATACAAGGCTCATATGACACACTTCAGTTTGATGGTCCACATAACAAAAATTCTCGGTCTTGAAAGCTGAACTTCCAAGCGAAGTTTCTGTTAGTCTTAGTCATACTAAAAATCGTATTTTCCTCCGAGGATCCGGTCATCTTACTGCGCCTGAGCCGAAAACTTTAGTGTGCCATAAAACGAAGTTTGGTTCTTTTAATTACAGTAGACACTGGATTATCCTGATTAATTGGTGCCGGGCCCGATCCGGATAATAATAGTAAACACAAACACCACCAACCAACACTACAGTATTCTTATTATGTATACATCATGTACATACCAACACGAATTTAAAAGGTTAACGCCAAATTGAACGACTCAATGGTGATTGTGAATGGTAGCCGACAACGATAAATTACAATACAACGATTAAAGCGCGCAATGCGTGAAGTATTCATACAGTCTTGTAGCCGCGTTGTCTTGTATGTGCGTTTTAGGCTAACTAACCGACTGCACTGCGTTTGGCGTAATGCGAGAAGTATTCATGCAATCTAGTAGGCGCTAATGCGTTCCACGCCGACCTCACTGTTTGGCGCAATGCGTGAAGTATTCCTCCAGCCTTGCAGGCGCCAATATGCCTTGCGACCGCTTCTCCGCGGATCCGCTCACTTATCGGAATGCGTACGTAGTTACATGGTTGCAAAATCGATCCGGATAATCCAGAGTCTACTGTATTAATGATTTTATCTCTGCACATCTCAAAAGTTAGACTCGATCCGCAGTTGTAATTTTGGTGGTTCTTTGACTGTTGCAGACATCGTTTGGATCAAGCAGTTTCGCTGAGCTGCTCTCAGCCCCATACACGTGCGACGACTCCTCGGTGCCTCTCCCGGAGGACCTAGACCCCTTCTCGGAGTCCGTCTTCACCCAGAACCTCGCGGCGGAGCCGAGCCCGAGCGACACCGGCGACCCGACAGACGGCAGCGACCCCTCGGACCCGACCCCGCTGCCCAGCTTCCAGGAGACCTACGCCGCCCTCGGCTTCAAGATGGAGGAGGACTGCTACAACGTGGCCGCCCCCGCACCGCCCCCGGCGCCCTACCACCAGTCGCCGCCACCCCCCTCCTGCCCATCGTACCACCCCCTCCCCCACCCGCACCCACACTCTCATCCACATTCTCATCCGCACCCTCACCCGCACTCGCACAGCCACGGCCACGGCCACGAGTACCGGCCCGAGCCCCTCCACTACACCCTCATCCCCCGCAGTACTACTCGCCCCACACGCATCCCCCCACGGCGGCGCCGTCCCCCCAGGAGTCCTACTCCTTGCCCCACTTCCCCAGCTCCTCGGCCGAGCTCCACGCCACGACGGCCCTCGGACCCAGGCATCGCAGGGCCTCTCTCCCTCTCCAGAGATCTGAATCAACCAGGTAAGCATTCACATTTATCTCCACTCTATCCATAATTGGACGTATTTCTGTCAAACGGAACTAAGCGCCATAGTGGGAGGAAGGTAGAAGGGGGCTTGGATTGGCGGCGGAACCGGGCGTCGGGCTCATTCCGTCCTATACTCGCAATGCTTTTCCATGGCGCTTAGTTCCGTTTGACAGAACGCGCTATCCGGCATTCTAAATTCCTCAAAAGGAACCCAAATTGGCGCTTAGTTCCATTTGACAGAAATACGTCCAATTATATCAATATCAATCGAAAAAGGCAACTTAGTACCAGAGGGAAGAATCAACTAATTTTTTTGTAAGGGGGGCTTGGTGAATTTTGGGGAGAGACGATATTTACTCGGGAGGTAGGAAGCAAAAAGGATCATGCCAACGCATGGAGAATGCCCATGTGATCGATCACAATCGGTCTAAACATTTACAAACTCGTTTAGCTTTGAAATTCAGGGCTTGGTGCGATAGCTCCCTCCTATACTTTCCCAAATGACGCCCCTGATAAAGGCAAAGACTTGGTATCAAGATCTTAGAGCCGCCATGATCAGGGGATCAATCGTAAAATTTAACCTTTAGTATCTTAGCTCGGAGTCGATTTCAGTAACTTTCGTTGTGCGAATCGTGCTCAACGTGAAATTTTGAATGGGAAGCACAAAATAGAGTGCTTGAATTTGCCCCCTGCATTGCGGTGCATTTCGTCGTTTTCTGCGCGAAGGAACGTACCTCCATTCCAGGGTTGCAAAATCGAATTACTCGATTCTTGGTTTTACTCGAAAAATAACGCGCGATTTCCGTCCGGAATTTCGTTGATTTTTGACGATAATCCGTGAAAAAATCCGTTAAATTTTCAAAGGAAAAATCCCGAAATTTTCCAAGCAAAAATAATTACTGAGAAAAGAAATTTGGCAACGTTGAAATGTAGTTACGTTCCTTGGACAGGGGAATGACGATTTGGACGTATTTATGCTAAAAGGAACTATATTACACGCAAGCCCTATGCTTATAGTTCCTTTGAGCATAGATACGTCCATTTGCGCGAATCCTACGCAGTGAATCGACTTTCGATACGAAGCAGAAAAGGGCCACTCGCTTAATTAGCAGGGCGACTCGGAGGGTCCGGCACCTCGACGGCGCACAATGGATCGAATCAATGAGAGAGGTCGAGCATGAAATTTTTAACTAAAACTGCAAATTTTGATGTTTGATTCGTCAAATTTTAAATTTTGAGGGGTGATTCTCACGGAAAATTTTACGAGAAAACCAATAGAACCATTTTTAAGACCTCAAAATGTTGTAAAAATGGAGTTATAAGCGTTTAAAGTTCCCAGAATTTTGTCCGACCTCTCCTACTGACTCGATCCACTGTGCGATGGCGCAAAACGGAGACCGCGGAAGCACCGCGCAGAGTGCCGAGCGGAGTTTTAATATGCAGTGCACGGATGGGCTTCAATGGGCTTCGAGTAAATTGCGATTGCGTGCGCGCTCGGCTTGGTCACCTCCATTTGGACGTATTTCTATCGAACGGAACAATGTGCGTTAAGACATGAGCCCTGAGAGCCATAAGAATAGTGCATAACAGGGCTCACGTCATGATGCACATAGTTCCGTTCGATAGGAATACTTCTATTTCGCCACCAGGTGGGCAGACGGAATCTGATCTAATAGTCCACTCTCGGCATGTTACCGGCTCCCCCAATAAGTCCCAGTTAATTCATGAACTACTAACGTATTCTATTATTTCCCTCACGCACTCTCCGACTGTCTTCTAAATCACGCCGTCCTTCGGAAGACCCCAGTAAGTGCGCTACGGTTGGGGCTGCGGTTGGACCGCGCACTTATGGGCTCCGGGGCTCCTGTCGAATGTGTCCTTACTGCAGTTTCCCGAAGATAGCTTCTCCTCCTCTCCTCCACGCAGAAACGCAGAGAGTCTGTCAGTTCCTGTCAGTGCCCCCGCGAGGCCTGGTTTGAAAGCGTTAAGTCTGACAGAGTATGAAATTTTTATGTAGAAAATGGAATTTTCTAACGCCGCAGATGGTTTGCACGTGGCCCGGGAGGATTTTCTCACATTTTTAATGTATATTATGTGATAGTCCATGGAAGAATGAATTTTATTTCTCGAAGACAATATTTTCAGCAGAGCGATTTTTTTTTTGGGGGGGAGGGGGGTCAAGAAATCGGATCGTGAGGTCTCGACAAGAAAAATATCCGATTTTGCTGAAATTTAAGTCACGCGCGATTCAGCTCATTTCAGAGATATCGAAGGGTTTAAAAATCATCAAAACGCACCGTCGCCGTGCCCTGCGGATATAACAGATTACAGTTTTCAAGGTTTTTCTCGAAGCTACGATTTTTTTACAGCAAACCTCAAACCACCTATACTCTAGTTCGGTTTGACATTTTAGGTCCTTTTAGTCCCGTCGATATCAAAATGTTCGTAAAATACATGAATAGAAAACATTTTGATAATGATTAATTAATTTTGGATTTTTCTTGACCGGATCTTGTCTCTCTATAACCTGTCAAAGAAGATTTCAAAAGTGTCGCTGACTTGAAATTTCTTCATTTTCATATTTTACCTTTTTCCCCTTTATTTTTGATATTCTTTTGTTGAATATACAAGTCGAAAACAAATAATTGTGTCACAAGGAGGAAAAGGGGTATACCTTAAAATAAAAACACTGGAAAAAAGTCGTTTGGATCTAGAATCCAGACTCTTAATAACAAGGACAAGAAAAAATATTTTTGATTCAATCGGATTTTTCCTTGAATCGGAGAGCCAAGCCTTTTGATTTAAGCGGATTTCCTTTTGATTCAAGCAAAAATCCGATTGAATCAAGAGTATTTTTTCTTGTCAATGTTTTTAAGAGTCCGGACTCTAGATCCAAGATACTTTTTTTTCCAGTGAACTATCAAATTTTTCCCTGTCAGGTTGTTGAGAGGGGGTTGTTTTATGAACAGATGTTCAACCGTACATGTGAGATTTGCGACCGTTTTTTAAGGGGAGCTTTGTTTCTTTCTGTTTTCAGTAGCAGTAGTGAATCGCCAAAATTACGATTAAGTCGAACCCCGTGTCCTCCTCACTCAGCATGTTCCTCGCCGGGGAGCGAGCCCTCCGCCCCGGCCCAAAGACCTACCCCACCCTCCCCCTCGCAACTCTGCGCCGTGTGCGGCGACTCCGCCGCCTGCCAGCACTACGGAGTCCGCACCTGTGAAGGATGTAAAGGTAAGCACTTAGTTCTTCAGCCGCATTTTCGATAATTCGCCGCAATCTTGCATCGCAAATGCATCGATTCAAAAAAAAAAAAAAAAAAAAAAAAAAAAAAAAAAAAAAAAAAAAAAAAAAAAAAAAAAAAAAAAACATGTAGAAATATGGCCCTCTTCATAAAATATCGACGGTGAAACTACCAAACCACGTATCTCGGTTTGCGACGTCGCAGACTTCCTGTCATACTTTATTTTTTAAATGAAAAACTACTTAACATCCAGTCTTGAAAATTTCTGTGATTTTTCCTCTTTGTGCGGAGAAAATTCCGTGAAAATTTCAAGGAATGATATTGATTTGGTCTACTTCAAAAAAATAAAATGTGAGCGTATATTTTTAAACACAGCAAACGAGATACGTGGTTTGGTAGTTTCACCGTCGATATGTAACGCTAAATGGATTGCATTTTGCAAAAAGGAACCAGGAGCATTCCAATGTCGCTAAAGTTGTGCAACTTTCTTCAATCTGCAGATATGAACTGATCATCTATACAAGTTTTATCTTTACTCTCAATAAACCATGAATTCAAGACGAGAATTACCTTTGGGAATCTGATATTTTTCATTATTTCAGTAATTACATTGCAAGGAATGTACGTTGCACAATCCCAGCAACATTAGAATGCTCTTGGCTCCATTTTGCAAAATGCAATCCAAATGTCCTCTACAATTCGTCGTCCGGCTGACATAAAGGCATAACTACACATTGGGAATTGGGATGAGCTAGGGAGAGCATTGAAGTGCATTGACAACAGGTGTCTTATAGCGGAGTTAGATACGTCCTAATGTCAGGCGGGCGACGTATCTCGGACGAGGGAAATTTGCAATTTCAAGCTCTCCAGGCTTACAAAATTAAGTGAATGAAAAACCTGCGAGAGATCTTTCTAGATGGTAGGCTTTCGTTTGCGGGCGGTCGACGAGTGGTTTCGGGAGCATGTCGCGATCGAATCTATCGACGATTTTTTGTCGAAAGTCACGAGAAGCGCCCGACTCGCGCCGGCTGTCATCCGGGCACTTTTTTTCTGCTCTGATTTATGATAGGCTCGCGAGGATTATTTCCACGACTGAAATAAATCCTTTCAAAAAATAATGAAGTCACTCGCCGACGTCCTTCGATCGTTGATAAGCACCACCACGACTAAAAATAAGGCTACCGCACAGGGGAACGAGCCGTCGAAACATAGGTCGGACGGGAAATTTTCGTTCAGTCGATGTTTATTTTGTTACAATTTGAATTTCAACGGATGTTTTTCGACACAAATGTTACGAGATAACCGATAGAACCCTTTTTTAAGACTGCTAATTTTCATATTGGCGAGAGTATGAACTTTTAAAGCCTCCATTATTTCTGACTTTTTCCATTGGCTTGCCCCTCTGTGCGCCGCTACATCTCCGTTTTGAAAATAATGCCTCGCTAAAGAAGAGCGCCGTATGACCACTCAATCGCGGTCAAATTTCTCCTGATTGTCTTTTTTTGCGCATTTTTTTATGGCTTCCCTCAAAATTTTAGCATACACTGGGTTAAGTAACAAGGTACATTTCTTGAAACATTGTAAGGAAAATATTCAAAATGTTTTTTTTTTTTTTTTTTTTTTTTTTTTTTTTTTTTTCCAGAAGGACGAGAAAATGCCTGATAATTTTCAATTTTGGTGGCTCGCCCCTGATTTTTAACAAGGTTGCAAATTTTCAACCCAAAAATTTGGTCGACACATAACTGAAATTTAGGTCAATGTAACCCGTAAAAAACTGATCAAAAAGTATTATCAGTGCGTTTAGGTTACTTCAAGTTTTTCTTTCCATACTAATACAAGGTGCATGGATTACTTTTTCCTTACTGCGGGCTCATGTGCATTAATTTGTTTATTTTTGCAGGTTTCTTCAAGCGAACTGTACAGAAGGGCTCGAAGTACGTGTGTCTGGCGGAGAAGTGCTGTCCGGTGGATAAACGGCGGCGGAACCGGTGTCAGTTCTGCCGCTTCCAGAAGTGTCTCCAAGTGGGCATGGTCAAAGAAGTCGTGCGCACGGACTCGCTCAAGGGCCGCCGAGGGAGGCTCCCCTCCAAGCCCAAGTCCCCCCAGGAATCGCCCCCCAGTCCCCCCGTCTCCCTCATCACCGCCCTCGTCCGGGGGCACCTCGACACCTCCCCCGATCTGTCCTCTCTTGATTATTCCCAGGCAAGTCTTACCGATCTATCACATTTTCTTTTCGAGTTTTCTAATTGAAAGTATGGAGGATGCATAATTAACATGGAAGCGATAAATGGGGTTACGCACATTGCTACTTCACCTTCAATTTTTTAGATGGGCCAAAAACATCCTATGCACTGGGATGGTTATCTATAAGGGGAATTTGTATACAAGAGGGCATTTGTATCAGAGACAAATTTGTATACTGTTGTAGTTCCGCAACTTTTGGGTTAGTTAATTCATTGAGTTCTAACACAATTAATTGGAAATGCCTATATCATCTAACAATCCCCACCTTTTTTTAACAAGAATCTCAACCTCTTTCAACAATCCTTACCTCGTTTTCCGTGTTGTAAGGCTGATTTTCTCGAGTCTTTGAAGCATATTTTAGTGTAATAAGCAATGATGATCTTTCTGTAAATCAAACTCTTCATTATGACCAAATCAGAAGGATTGTGCTGATACTTAATAACATAAATATGGTCACGCAAAGATCTGGAATAATTATTTTTCGTTTCTGTCAACAGTATAGAGAACCAAGTCCGCTGGAGCCGGTGATAACGGAGGCGGAGAAGATAATGCAGTTCTACACGCTTTTAACTACTTCCATAGACGTAATCAAGCTGTTCGTTGAGAAAATCCCCGGTTTTTCCGATCTCTGCCCCGAGGATCAGGAGCTTCTCTTCCAGTCGGCATGTCTTGAACTTTTTGTTCTCCGATTAGCTTATAGGTAAGCTTTCTTTTATGCCTGCTGGAGAAAATGCTGAAACATACACTGGGGGGAAAAAAAAAACAACACATTGGATCTAGATTCCAGACTCTTAAAAACATCGACAAGAAAAAATACTCTTGATTCAATCGGATTATTGCTTAAATCAAGAACCAAAAGCCTCTTAATTAGATCGTATTTCCTTTTGATTTAAGCGAAAATCCGATTGAATCAAGAGTATTTTTTCTTGTCGATGTTTTTAAATGGATGGAACGTAGGCCCTGTTAACACTACTAGCAAAGGTTCACGGAACTTCGCGCGAAAGTTCAGTTCCGTAAACCTATCTCTGTGGGGACAAGGCCTTCCATTTGTAAGAAATGAACTAAAAAATTAAGAAATTAAGAACAAACATAAATGTGGTTTAATAATTTTAACTTCCGCCGCCGTGCCGCGCTGACCACACTGCGTTTGGCGCAATGCGTGAAGTATTCATGTAGTCTTGTAGGCACTGTGCGTTTCACGCCGCGCCGACCGCTGTTGACCGTACTGTGTTTGACGCAATGCGTGAAGTATTCATGCAGTCTCGTAGGCGCTAATATGTGTTACATGCCGACCGCCGCGCCGAGGGCTTCTCCTTTTCATCTCAAGTCCTCGTCATCATTTTTCTTTGCGCCGCCCCGCTCCAGGCCAAATTACGTGTTTGGTTTCTCTCTTAACTCAACTAATTAAAGGTGCGCAGTCTTCTGTATCACCGCAATACTAAAAAATTAAAAATTAATGAACTCTCAGGAAATGGGAGATTTTGTCACCTTTTCTTGTTTGTAATTTTTTTCTGAATCCTATTTTTTCGTACCTGCATTTGAAAAAATTACAAAATTTGCCTCCCCCTAATTTTGCCGCCATGGGCCGCCGCCCATGTGGCCACCCCCTCAATCCGGCCCTGCTTGAAGGCGCAGTCGTCGAATTTGAAATGAAAATCTTCCGTTTCTTGAATTAGACAGTATTAGTTCTGCGTCAATACCCAAGAAGTCCCTCATTTTTAACCAGCCAATGCTGGATACCAGAGTACTGAAATTGGATTTTTTCGTTGAATTTTTCAGGACTCGAGCGACGGATACGAAGCTAGTATTCTGCAACGGCGTCGTGCTAGAGAAACAACAGTGCGTCCGGAGTTTTGGTGACTGGCTCTTCGCCATCCTAGACTTCTGTCAATCCATGCACGCCATGGAGATAGACCTCTCCGCTTTCGCCTGCCTCTGTGCTCTCACTATCATCACAGGTAAGCAACAAGACTCTCAGGATGTTCTCCATAATGATATTTATAAGGAGATTTTTTCAAATTATTTTTGAACTCTCCATGACAATACTCTAACAAAAACATGTTTGCTTTCTCTCCGCCTTCACAATTGTTCTCATTTAGAGCACGCACAAAATAATATACTTACACGAACGCGAAGAGATGGTTATTGTCACCCGTTGGCAATTCGCCTTCAATTTTTAGTGTATGCAACACCAGCTCCCACGTGGTCGAATAGTTGTATCACTGTGAAAGGGCACAGTTTTGGCTCCATTCGTAGATGTTGAGGGCATTCTGGCATTGGCCTTTTAATAGAGCTACATTGGTAAATTTTAATACATTTTGGGATATTATGTAGAATTTCGGAAGAGTCTTTTATCCTTGCAACAATGAAATTGGTCCTCATCAAAAAAAAACTTAAGCGTTAAAAATGACAATTCGTGAACAACAGGAGGATCTGTACAAATCGACCCGTTTTAAATTATAGACTGATTTATGATGTGATTAATTAATTGATCGTGTTAATATTATAACGCTCTTAAATTCCCAACGGTTCATCCAAAACAGTTTTTACTATCCTTACTCGTATTCTCATTTCTGGTGCTTAAATCATTTCAAGAACGACCGATTCAAAACAGTCATCAATCGGACATCATCTCGCGACCCACGAATACTGCACTGCTCTGATTATGAGTTGGTTCTGGCTCCTTGATGCAACTATTCGTGATCCACGGATGTGCGTGTGGCGTGTTCAAAATTGAAGGCACTTTCGTTTTTTCCACCTCCTTAGAAATGCACCCATTCTAATAAATTATCATATCCCCCTCCCCGAAGACCAAACATTTTCCTGAAATGAAAAAGAATTTTCCGATTAATTTTAATTTTTTGTTTCTAATTTTCCGATTTTACCGGGTATAACGATCTACATTGATGATTTCCGACTTGATTTCAGAGCGTCACGGACTGAAGGAGCCGCACAAGGTAGAGCAGCTGCAGTCGCGGATAAGCTCGGCGCTCCAGGACCACGTGATCTACAACGCGGACGCCAACCGAAAGCCGCAGTACTTCTCCCGGCTCCTCGGGAAACTCCCCGAGCTCCGCTCCCTCAGTGTTCAAGGCCTCCAGCGGATATTCTACCTAAAGCTCGAGGACCTCGTCCCGGCGCCCCCTCTCATAGAGAACATGTTTGTTGCTAGTTTACCATTTTGAACATTTTCCACACTCTTTCAGTTCATCTCCTCATCTTCCTTGTTCACCGAGTAAGGGCTGTTCCACTCGGATGGGTTCAAACCCCTTCCTCCCACTCGAGCAACCGCGATCCTTAAAAGTTCCCAACACGGTTTTCCCTTCATTTAAATTGATTAAAAAGATGAATTCTAAAATCCATTATTTAACATGCATTTAAGGCGAATCTGTGGCGAAACTATAGGCAAACATTGAAGGGCTGAAAATATTTTGCTAAAATACTGGTATTACTTGAAATTCTCAGCCAAAAATGGACCTAGAGGCATATTTTTTACACTGATTCCTTTCCAAAAAAAAGGTTTTCCGTATAAACTTAAAATTGAAACTGAAAGAATTCAAGTGCAAAAATCACCTGTTCGATTTGACCAAACAAAGATAGCATTTCACCTTAAGCTTTATTTTAGGATATTACACGTGAGATTTTTTGGGAAAAACGGGTAGAAAATGTGCTTGTAGATGTAACGGATGTACGTTTGCTAAAATTTTAAAGTGATTTCAGTATTGTAGCAGAATTTGTCCGAAATCTCGATGTTTATTTAGTTGAGGTATAGATTCATCGTGAATGAAGGGAAAACTGTGATGCCAACTTATTGCACGGATCGTCACTGCATTCAAGCCAGCTAGATGGTGCTTGCATCCAAAACAAGTCCAATCTGGTGGCTGCGTCATTCATTCCATGCGATGATTTTAGATCAGAATCAAATGGTTTTTTCGTTCGATTTTTTCCGCCTCTTTTATAGAGCGTGGTAAAATTCAATCGGGCCAATAGCGCACAAGAATCAAAATCATCAGAGCTCAATCCTTAACTAACGGGGTCCAGCGGTCTTCATGACTTTCTGATCGATTTCTTTCATGAATGTTTGTGCACGCCTTTGAAGTCAGTGGGTCAAAATCTCACATTAGCCATCAACCTCTCCTGTTCCTCCATGAGTCAATGCTTGAGCATCTTTTTGGTCGCTCTTTAATTTGCTTCTTAACGATGGAAGAGTTAGAGATTTGGCTATGGAATGCAGAAGGCTTTCAATGGATGCTTCGAGAGCTGGCTTCATGGGTGGCTAAAAAAGAGTGATATATATTTGTTGAGAGCTCAGTTGATTTTGCAACTTAACTCACTAAGATCAGTATGAAAGAATGCTCAAAATTAAGCTCTTTTTAGTACTGGGAAAAATTGACTCTATCGCCTTCAGTTCTTTCCTGAAAAGATAGAATCAAGTTTTAAGACTAAACAAAAATCTCAGATGCAACACTTAATTGAGTCGTAGATTTAAGACTCAAATTGACAAAGACAAGGATGTAGTTCCTAAACTTCTCTTTAAGTGGCATTTATAGCAAGTTAGGTAAACCCCATCCGGGTTGCACAGCCGTTTAATTCTTGTTTTGTATACTTTATAATCCTACTTTTGAAGTATTTTTCACTTTAATTTATAATGAATAGATGTCTTTTATTACTGTCCCTTTTTTAATTTTATATTTTGTTTCTCTTTTTGTTTGATCTGTTTATTATTTATTTTAGTTTTACTTTGAGTTTATTTCATTTTTTTAAGTGTTTGAATGTTAAGAAAGTATTAGAAAATCTTGTATAAATATTAAATAATATCGACTAGATCATCGATGTGCTGATATTATTTAATTGTTTCAAATATATGTTTTTATGTTATTTATTTTTTTACATTTCTCAAATGATATTTTTATCCAGAAAGTATCTCTGTTAAAAATATGTTGATTTTGTAAGGACGTACTTACACGTAAGATTGAAGTGCCATAGACTAAGCAAGAAAAGTGATACCGGCTCGATAAGTTTAGTTCAAATTTCAATTTAAGGACCACCCGGCCAGGAGATTAAACAGTGACTTATCTGAAAATGTCTCAACTTTCTCTCTTAAAGATGCCATCTCACAAGTTCACAGAATGAGGTTCGACAAAAGGGTCCCTATCCTTAATTTAAAACGTGCGATCATTGCTTTACTTACATTTTGAGAAAAAAATAGTGACTAGTCACCCTAGAGTTCAAGAAGTTTTCAGAAACGAAGCTGTTTTGGATCATTAACAAAATGTTCATTCATACATAATAAGAAAATCATTTTTTCATGTATAAGAAGAGATGAGATAGTCATACCTTAATTGAAAATTGTCACTTAAGAGAAGGATAATTAAACTAAAGTGGATCTGCGTGGAGCCATCTGGAATTTTATGGATGTAAAGAGGGGGAAGGAGACTTTTCAGATAGGTCACCGATAATCTGAAGCACTATATTTTTATACACGGACTCCTAGTTCGCGGACAGGGTATGATTGTTTGCGATTTTCGCTCCTTTAGGTTAGAAGGTCACTCGGTATATTTAATAGAGGGCAACGAGGCTCTCATGTTAAAGCATAAAAACGAAGCTGTTTTGGATCTATGACAAAGTTTTCACTCAGATATAGTCAGGATATCATTTCTTTATGTATAGGAAGAGGTGGGATAATCTATTCATTTTCTGCCGTAAAGGTAATTTATTTTACGTGCAACCGGCATGTAGGGGGAAAAAGTTAGAGATATATAAATATGCAAGTAAGCAAATGTAGACAAGGAATAAAGACAAGTTGATGAAATGTAAGGGGACACCACTGTCTCTTGTAGGAGACAGAAAATTCTGAATTGTGTTCTAGGATTCTATACTTAATGACTTCCATAACCAAGCTGAATGTTATCGCGGTAATACGTAACCATCAAGTCTCGTTGAGAATAATACTGCTTAAAAATTGTTTTGCGAAATTACTCCTGAGACATTGCTTTGTTATTGGCCAAAAAATATTTTCAGAGAACATGAGAAAGTAATTTCTTGCTACAAGTATGGTGTTACCTAGTTCATTATCAGACGATGCACAAAAAAAATGCACTTCAATTGTGAAAGAAATATCGCTGTAAGTCAGCCCCCAGTGTGAGGCAGAGGATTCACCTGTCATCAAGAAAAACTTTAGAATCTCGATTTCAAAATTATTGGAACTTCTGAAAGTGAAGCACCCTAAAAAGAATCTACGAGAATATCTCTCCAACCATATCAGGGATTCGTGGGGTTTCTGAACTGGAAGGTTCGGAAGAGACGTCCTCTATGGAATAAAAAAATTACCTATTCTATTTTATCGACAAAGGTATTTCAATAAACGAGAGATCTAAATTAATTGTTACTTTGTCTTACCAGATGGTCTTCGCTTACAGACATTAGTAACAAGTTGACAAAGACGCCTGGCATTGCCACAAATATTCGTACTTTGCGGGTGTCTATGTTGCATACCCTCAAAAAATGAAGGCACTTTGAATTTCCTTATCGGTCCAACGATGCGCGCAAAGATGCGACATATTGTGTGGTTGCAAATGGCTGTCACAATTTGGCAATGCGAGACAATGTTGCATGATAATGTTCCTATAGTGTCTCTGGAGTATTTTAACAATTCATCTAATAGACTGCAGCGATATTATTGTATTATCGTGGGTAAAGCACGAGAGTATTTTTCAAAATGACTAGAACAGTAAATTCAAGCCGTCAAATGATTGATTTACGTTGAATATCCTTGTAAAAAGGACCACGCGTCAATCGGTCCTAGATATGCATTTATTCTTCCTGCGATTTTTTACCGGATATATTTCTCCTAAACGATTACACATTACTTTTGGACCATTGCATACGGTGAAAAATATTCAAAATTACAACAAAATGATGAATTAGAGGGGAAAATAATTTAATCCCTCGACACTTGGCATAAATTGACTGAATTTTAAAAATATAGCTCCTTTGATTTTGCGAGGAAATCTATGGATAGGTACCTACATATTTAAAATTTTTGACCTGATTAACCCCAAAAATGTAACTTGGATAAAAAAATTACGCATTTTTATTTTTTATAAGCTATCTTGGTTCCTTATTTTTACTAAGTGCAGTCTATGAAGATCAGGCAGAAACGTACAATGGTTGTACAAGTAGATTAATGAGGACTGTATTTATGAAGGGTTATCACTTTGCTGCCTCACATAAGTCCTCAGATTGTTTTTTTTTTTTTTTTTGTTTATTCATTTTTTTTCTTTTTAATTTATTAAATTTTTTCAATTATCTTTTTCTCTAAATAAAGATCAAAGACTTCCCACGGAGGGAAGCACCCTCATGCTCAACGCATATCCTGTGAAAAATTGATTTGCTAAATTTAAGATGACATTAAGTTAGTAAGTTCAATGAATGAATCCTCAAACATGAAAAAACTTCAAATGGAAGTTGGAGAAATATCATCTCCCCAAGAAAAAAAGAAGGAAAACAGGATAGAGCAAAATTTCTACCAAGAACGAAAATCACTTTACACACTTTTGTAGGTAAGAGATCATACCAAGCACCCCAACTGATTTTTCGGACCGACCCCCTCCCGAATCCTGTCTCCCAAGCAAACATCATTATTAATGAAGTATCATAAATAAGTCAGATATCCTCCTAGTTATTTTTTGTATCAACTTTAGAAAGGAAGGGTACATTATGAAGAATGCGAAGACATCCTTTCCCACTCATTCTATTTCATCAGCTCAGTCCACCTAGGTACATGAAAAATTAAAGCGGATATTGCTGAATTATGGTAATGAAACCATGGGTAGGTAGTCGTTTTCATTTTTATTTTATTTCATCGTGTAAGGATTTGCTAATGTTCACACTTTGCTCAATGACCAAAGAGGTTACAATGTTATGTCGAAGTTGCATGATGTTGGTGCAGGTATACTTGGGTGCCTATTGTAATGTTCCGTGGGTAATATTGTCTTCTTCTGATTGACAGAGGGAGCTAAAGAAGGGGCTTAAGGAGTTATACTGCTAATTGCATAGTATACCTACCTCCTGGAGCTAAATGTTTTCGAATGTAAGAAGAGGGTGATTTCATTGAGAATTGATAATTGAACTCGCTTTGGCTAACAAATTTTTCAAAAAACCCATTAAAATTACAAAATATTTTTCTATTATTTCCTCACTGGCAGAATAGAGATTAACTAATCTTAACACTAAGTCAGAATATGACCGCACAGGTACTAAAGGGGCACCTACCTCAATTTATTCTCGTTATGGAAATGTCTGCATGAAAAAATTCAAGCGTCAACATAAAGTGAAAATTGTCTGGGCATTAATTATTTTATTCTATTGATTAATAGCTAAACTCCAAACCCACGTGCCTCGATTGCAAAAGTTTCCACCTTTACCTTTTGGAGAGGGGGGGGGGGAGGGTTGGTTGGAATTACACCTTGAAATTTTCTCTGATAGTTTCTCCATGCCGGGGCATCATGTAAACATCAGAATACCTGCTGTTGTTTTCCCTCTAAAATTTAAAATGCACGGCAATTTTGAGAGGCTGCAGCTAAGGAACGTAGTTTTGGAATTTAGCCATTGTAATCCTTTTCTCAGAATCAGGTTACCATAAGTAAAGCTTGCCAAAAAATACATTAGCTTAATGCTTTCATTCTTATCTCATCAACTCTTTTTCTTACTTAAAATGGTTTATTCTTTTTCTTCTTCTTTTTCTCACATACATATGGTCAGTTAACTGGTAAGAGCAATGAGCGGTGTCTCTTTTCTCTGTATAAATACCCCAAATATACCATGATATATCTATCCTCCATAATTTTGGATCACATCATTTTTTTCTCTCTTCTTTTATACAAATAAACGAATTTAAAGAAAAATCTGAGCAAGCACCACTGATTTGAAAAATTCTTAAAATTATCAAGTCATGAAAATAAAAATGAAACTCATTAAATTTCCTATGAAGAAAGAAGAGAAAAAAGATTCATGCTCAAAAGTATACTTGCTTGCCTTCTGAAAATTGTGTGCAAGGGAGGTGCCTCAAAGCTCACCAAAAATAACACACAACCTTTTGGGGTGAGTTTTTTTTATTTTATTTTTTTTTTCTTCAAAATATTGTTTTCTTCATATAAAATTAGGAGGCAGTGAAAAATAATTAAATCATGAACCTAAATTTGCTTCTTGTATTTTTGAAAACTTGTGGTCTCCTAGACAGGATAAAACAAGAGATATTTTTAGATAATTAAATATCTCAGTAGATACAAAGCACCTAATGCATTTTATAAGTTACTGACAGTACCTGCCTTGCGCTGTCAGCATTGACTTCTATTTGTTGTTTGATTGTAAGACCTGTCTGATAATCGTTATTTAGTAAATACTCTTTCCTTGTAAATTCTTTTTAAATATCGCACAAAAATATTTTCATTGTATGAGTTACGTGAATAAATGCAATTTTCTTCACCACATTAAGCTCCTTATATATCTCATTTCCTGTTACTTTCTTGGCTACTAACGAGTCAGCAGCAAAATTACATACAACCTAAGGAACTTTTTTCTTAAACATTATTCTGAGTTTTGCAAGTTTCTGCTTAAGAAATCGTAATGATACTTTATGCTTCTACCTCAGCAATGTTTTCTATAAAAATGCGACTCAGTTTACCTAAAATCATATTGAACTTAACAAAATATTCAAGAATCAGCAGTTATCAAGTTTTATAGCAGTCTGATAAAAAATCTTGCTGAAGCTATGAAATGATCTTGAAAGTTTACCATCAATTTATTGGCCTTTAAAAGTTTTTTTTTGTCCGTCAAACGTAAATTTAATTACATGCTGTAGGCCAGAAAACAAAAGCTGTAACTATGCAAAATCAAATTACCATGATTTTAAAAATGACAACTGAATTTAAAATTAGAGTGGAATTTATTTAACAAATCAGTTACTTAAATTTTATAAAATTGCTTCTTGGTTCCTAAAAAAAAAACCAAGTTGGAGTGGATATACATTATTGTTACAATTTTGGAACAACAAAATCAACCAAAGTAACTGATAAAAAAAGGAAGAAAATGAAAAATACAACTAAAATGCAAAATTATTTAACAGTAGTTACAATTTCTAACAACAGGCAGGCAGCGGTAGCGGCCACTATATTGCTGAAATTTCCAAATAGCTTTTCAGCGTAGCTGCACTCGACTATAATATGTCCAACAAATATTCAACAATTCTCACTTTTGGAGAAATAATTCTAACATAGGGTAGAGATAACAATATACATACCATTATCTCTGAATAGTGTACAAGATACCATGATACTCCATACAATAACAAAGGTCACTTTAAACTATAATTAAAAGTTGGATTGATCATCCTTTAGAGCCTGCAGCATACTGGAATAAGGATAACTACTCTTGATTTATTGAGCCCGATAGTTTCATAAGCATTGATGTTTATAGTAGCTGTTGTGTAAAGGCTACAAACGAACACAACAATACAAAAATACCAATAAAAGCACTTCACGTGAGGATACAGCAGGCTATACATATTTAATGGGCTTATTTGAGATGCTGAGACATTCTTGACTGTGGATTTCCTTTTCCAGACTTCAGATCGGATGTACTTATGACATAATATGATATAATTATGACAGAGTGTTGATGGTTTTATCAACGTGCAATTTTCAGCATTAAACTGAAATTCTAAACTTAATTATGAATCGCTAAGCAGAAATCAAATTAATTCGTGAGAGTGCGACTTGCAGAGATGAGCACTGAGCAGTTCCTTTTCTGGCATTATTTCTAGTCAGATCTGAAGTAGATCTAATTGATGTTGACCTTTTTTAGTATGGAAAAAAATAAAATAAAAAAAATAATTGTCTATTGACAACTAGAAAACTTCGTTTTTTTTACAAACCGAATATTTTGTCAACCCATATCATTGAAAAGCATAGGATATGATGATTTAGACGAAATTTTATAACTATGACCAACAAAGTGAAAGTTCCATTATGAACTTTTTAAATCAGGGTGTCTACAAACTGGTGGGAAAAAAATACCTGACTTTTCCAGGTTTTTTCTGAACAAAATGAACAAAACTACCTGACATTTCACATCAACAATTTTCACGCATAGAACTAAAAATTAAACACTCTTGGTGCCTATTAATTTTAATACAAATGGCAGAAACATGTGAACCTTTTTTTTTCGAGCATTCCTTAATCATTCATTAAAAAGAAATTACAATTCCGTATTGAAAATTATTTCTCTGTTCATTTTTCGGAGAATAACTCAGGACATTGAGCCCCTAACTAGACTGAGAGATTTTATTTTTTATTAATTTTTTCATATTTAAATTAAATTTCAAGATTTTTCAAAATTCCAGTCTTCCTTAAAAAATTTCCTGTCAGTTCTCTGTCTTCCAGGTTATTTCAACCTGAACACATCCTATTTTAAATATTTCTCCTTCACAACTGCCGAAAAATTAACATTCTTACATTGAATTGAATGACCTTGGAGGCAAACGGATTTCTCAAAATTCAGTCAAGAAATCTTCAAAAATGATAACTAGTGCTTGATACTGCTCAAGACTTGATGCCGAATGGAAACCGAAACAAAGAAATAGGTGTTTTGCAAAACAATTTACTTCCATTGGATCCAAAGGCTCATCATCAGAATCAATTTTAAAATTCTGACTGCAGAGGTGTCACTCAAATTAAGAATAAATACATTGAGTCAAATATAAAGGAAATGTAAACTAAAGTTCTTCTAGATTATCATCTTCAAAGAGTGCCCATTAGTAGAGTCACTGGTCTGTTACCGATGGACGTTACTAAGCAAAGGGAATCATCTACATAACGAGTTTTAGAAAGAAAATATGAGGTCCAAAGGAGTGCTTTGGTATTAAAGGCAAAGTTTTATCGGCAGCTCATTAGCATCTTGCATTTGGGTAATCGCTGCAGCCTAAGATATCCATTGTTGATAGACGTTTTTGGCTTAATGAAGTCATAAGCAATGACTATTTTGGAGTATAATTTGATGATCATTAAGTTCTTAAAAAATGTCAAGAGCTAGATTTTACAGTGATTCCTCTTTTTTTCGCAGAACACTAAAAAATAAAAAAAGAAAGATCTAGATATGGAAGGTAAACTTTTTACCTTTAGAATGACTTATCACATATCGCTAAAACAGAGCACTGTTGGCAAAGCTGATGGGAAAATGGAATTTTTGAATTTAAAAGAAAGAAATACGTGACAAAAACATTGGAAGAGCAAAATAAAGGAAATTAACACTAAGGTTCAAAATAAATAGGTACACACAGCATTGAAGATTTTGGTTAGTTACTTCAGAGTTCAGAATACTACCTACAATGGCTTATCCACAATCTTGTTGTTGGTATTTCCTCCTTCATTAGGGAAAAAAATTTAACTTTTTTCTTAAGATTTTTACGGAGAATTTGTCAATAGAAGTATAGAAAGCTTACACCTCATTCATGAATAATTGGAAGCAGATACATTTATCACTGGATTTTAAGAGTATGTCCAAGTATATAGGAAAAATTCAAGAGTGTTCATTACAAAAAGTAAGAAAAAATTTCCTGAGAAAAAAAAAAAAAAAAAAACATCCATTGACCATGAGTAACTAATTATGCAGAGGTGAAATGACAAAACAAAGTGCTCATTACCATTAGTTGAATCTTCATAAAGACTAGATTTTTAGGAATAGAAATTTGAAAACGCACACACAAAATTCTAAAACAGTGCACTTACTGAGATTGCTACAATACTTAAACATAAGTTTAAAAACAATTCTGAGCCGTAAGATAAGTTAACTGGAATATTCTTTCAGTTCTGCCTCCCTTCAAACGTAACACAATGATTCACAATACCCGGGGGGGATTATTTAGTAACTTGACATTTATCATTAGTACGATAACTGAGGCGCTAGGTGGAGGCAGGGTACCTCTTCACTGAGGAGTTTCAGAATCTCTGCTGCTAATTCAAATTTTTTAGAGGGAGCTAATTAAATATTTTTTTTTTGAAATTTTTTGTTTAGGACATTTTTGAATCATGGAAAATATTCAGATGAGTCTCAACACAATATATATACTTTCTGAGACACAGCAATCAAGAAATGCCCTTCCTTCACCCAGCGCTTCAATTTTTTTGACTTCTTGGAATTACTTTACATTGTTCCATCTACTGACAGAGATCTTAAATATCTATGGGAAAACAAGACAAATAAAATTATCACAATTACAATAGTTTTAAAAAGAGAAAGAGAAGAAGAGTGTAAAAAAAAGGTCAAATTTCACTAGGTAAAGGGCCTTTTTTTCTACGGTGGTTACAGTGGTTCTACAGTTACTCAAAAGAACTCGAATATTAGGTTTTCTTATTGCAGGACACTTTTAAGTGCATAACATTTGTTGAGAGAGAGTAGTCCAATTTAGGATACTTAAATTAAATTTTCCAGGGTGATGGAGGGAAAAACAGATTCGTTGAGCTCCCCTCAGACACAAAATAAATGACATATTATTCACATTACTAATTAATTAAACAGCTCTTCTATTTTTTAAAGTGAGTAACTTTTGCAGCACAAAAGAATGGACCACTGGACAAGGTACGCATTTAAGCATTTTGATGTATGTTGGTTTCCTCTCCGAAATTTTACATAGAATACAATTCACTCAAGAAATTTTTTTTCAGAAGAATCAAATTGCTTACTACAATGGTTTTGGCAGGCTTCTTCGGGGGCAGTGTTCTTGCCCCGCAGTGTTCAAAGTGTTAATGATGTACAGCTGTAGTTACGAGCTGCAGATGCGCCAAGGTTAAGGTTGCCATACTGTTACACTAAAGGGACTATTTTGGCAACGTTTAGTTGGCAATTTAATTCAGGTGAATCATGTTTTTTTATGAGCAGGAAGTTTGAATTCATGCATCAAAAAACTTAAAATCTTGGCCAGGAGCTACTTTCAATGAATTTTGTTGCACAAATTGTGCTCTACATGAGATTTTATGAGGAGAAATACATCATAATGCTTAAATTCTTTCTTTAAATGGTGGTCTATTAGAGAGGGATGATCTCTTGTGCTAGATCATAGGAATATCGTAGTCAACATGTCTAATAAATTTTTACAAAACAAAAAATAAAAACTTATACAGTAAGTACAACCGGGAAAATACACAGTGAAATTATTCACAGCATTATAATATACAAACAGAGAGGAGACAATCTAATTTCTAGGTAAAGTAAAAACTAAAAATATTACACGATATACTTCCTGAGCAACATTGGAAGTACGAAAAAGTCTTCAAGAACAGAATGGCAATTCAGAAGGTGGATTACTAGATACTGATGGAGGCATGAAAGTGTTCTGAACTTACAATTTGGCGTTCGCAAGACGGTTTTTCTTGGTAGATAGGTTGTTTATTATGATGAATACACAATGTTCAATCGAGAGTTTTAAACTTAAGTGCAATCTTTGTGAGACACTCGCGTTTCTTCTTCCCACTAGTTGACGAACACATGTTCCTAAATGCATCCCCATAGTATCGAGTATCGACGGATTTCTTTTTTTTTAATGACATGTTCTAAAACAAATTCTTTTCTAACTTACTTATATACAAGTGCATATACTCATGCGCACAAAGGCATAAAGTTCTGCAACCTTAATGACCTCGAAACGATGTTCATCTTTGGTCCAAAAAGGTGATGCATTGAGAGATTATAATGATCTTCTTCAAACTAACTTTTAAACTGAACAAAATACACAGAATTGTTTCCATCATTAGGCAGACGTTGAGTTCAACTGCCAAAAATGTTTCAAGATACTTTCCTGTACTTCCAATCGTTGTGTCGAATATCCATCATTTTTTTTAATCACGTTTATTAGAATTTTATTTAATAAAAATAAATAAATTAAAAAAAATAGGAGAAGAAAATGACCACATTCTTCGGGTAGGATTTCTGTGTTTAGACCCTATTAACAAAAGGACTGGCAGTATTAGGCATTACTGGAAGAGGAAAAATTAAAAAGGAAAAAAAAAAGGAAAAACCTAACTCGAGGATCTGTTTGTACCTCAATATTAGTCCTTGAATTGACCGCAGATTTTCAGACTATTAATTTCCTGCCAATTATTTAAATCAACAATGACTGATACTGCCGATCATTTATACATGAGTATAATACATTAACTCAAAGAGTACTTAGATTCAAAGATCAAAATGAGAAAAATCAACAAGCTAATGCTCTGAAGAGCTGTCAAAAAAGACTAAAAATATCACAATTTCTTTTCAAAAAGTAAAGTGCTGGAAATAAAAGGAAACAAAGAAAAAAACATACAGGTAGTACAAAATAAATTGTGCACACATTAATGCTAGTGAGCAAATCAGAGAAATGGTTGAAAATAAAATCGAACTGCAACTACAAAACTAATGATTACAATTTGAAAAAAGAAAAGAAACTGAGGAATAATTAGAGTACAATTTCTATTTTTATCACTTGAGTGAGTCTATGCTTCTTTCTGAGACTGAAACTTTCAATGAATGGCTCACTGCTTAGTAACAAGGGATAGTGAAGCAATATGAGGATCATTAATTTAACACATTTTCCTAAAATTCAAACTCTTGATATGCCTAAACGAGGTTTCTACACCCAACAAGCTGACACCCTCTAAATCCAAGCCTGATGTTAAAGGTTCCTGATTTTATACCTTTAAAAATAAAACATTTAAACTTTTACTGTCTATAGAAGACAGACATCAAGACAGGAACAATTATCAAAAACTTATCTGAGGAGAGGCACTGGAATCTTTCCTGGATGAAAGCCAGAGGATATTTCATCCTCTTTCCCTCCCTTTCTTCTCAATGTGCAAGACTTATGAAATTCTGGTATGAAATCCTGGATGTATCATTGAAACCACTCATTGGACCAACTCAACTCCAACCCATTGGAGTTCCATCAGAGAGCAAAGTATGTGCTTGTGAGGGAATTATTAGCGTACAAAATAAGAAAATTTTCTTTGAGATCTTGACACTTAGAAAATTTGTGAGGGTAAAGAAAGAAAAAAGAAAATAATTGGTTCTTTTTTTTTAATCCTCACTAACATGGAAATTGAAATGCTACACTTATGCGCATTACGTATTATTATTGATAATTTCCCCTTAAAGGTGAGAATAAGTTACAGGACTATCTTTTAAATAAAAAAAAATATCGGTAAGAACCTATGTCAGATGAGCGCTTAGCACATGTAAAAAAGGTGTTGGCAAAATATTATCATGTTGCTACACAAAAAGGCTGTAAAAGCAGTTTCTGAGGGAATGATGGTTGCCGAAAGAGGCTCTGAAAGCACTTAGACTAAGACCCATAATTTTTACTTGTAGAATTGTAAAATTGGTAGAAATTAGATTACATTCCACTGCATTGGGCTGTCAGCACTTGAACAGATGTAGGTGATTTTGGTTCTTTAAACAAATTTTGTTGATAAATATTTACATCAGAGCGATGAGACAGGTAATAAAAGACTCCTATTAGTCACACAAAATTGAATGAATATACATTTTTCAAGTATTGCTTTAATTGGAGAATAGTGTGATCAAACACATTCATTATGCTATTTTAAAATTAAAATTAAAATGAATGAAAAAAAAAAAAAAAATTACGGAAAACTTGTTGATGAGAATCCTCATCCAGTCAAATGTTCAATTCATGAAAGAGTTACAAAAAAGGTAAAATGCAGCCAAGTTAAGGTTTGTTTTTGTTGCATGCTTATATCCATCATAAAAAAATTTAAGATTATTCCAGTTCAGACGATACGACATTTGGTTTGAAAAAACTGTTCAAGAAAAATCAGAAGCTTCATTGATACTTGTATCAGCATGGGACCAAAGGCTGTTATAGACTCAAAAATAAACATAGATGAAAAAATAATAACAAATGAATTGTACTTCATGTCATCATAATCGATGTCAATATGACCCCCAAAACATGCCAAACATGCATGTTTGTCAAGATTCTAGCTGTTGTTCAGCCACTGCTTCAGAGGATGTTGTAGAAAGAGGGGCTTAGAAATTGAGAAAAAGCGGCAGTGTAGAAAAAAAAGAAAGAAAAAAATAATTCTTTTCAGAAAATAAACGTGCAGCTTTGATAAGTTTACTTCATCATAAAGTGAAAGGGATGCCTGACATTTAACGTTCAAAGGGTTGATGGCTTAACATGTTAGAATTCTTATGCCATATGCTGGAATAGCTTCGAGAATCCTCTAACTCTTAGATTTTGTTGAAAGTATTCCAGAACACAAGGTGGGAAAAAACGATCAAAATTTTGAGGAAATGTTTTTTTAATTTTTTGCTGTTTATTAATGTTTACTTCAAATGAAGTTTCTGGTCAATACGTTGTTTATACTTCATGAAATATAGTTTACAAAATTCATCTAACTCTCCTGGGTGACAGAGCAGAACAAAAAGAAACAAGCTGTAAGCACAGTTCAAACACTTAAGAGCAATAAAATTTTAAAATTTTGGAGATACTGACAATTGTTGCCAGCGCTTGCTAATTCAGCTACTTTTCAAGTGCGGCAAATCTAGAATTTTCCTGACCAAAGAAGCTATTTTTTCACCCTAGAAATCTTGATTATGAAGGTTTCAATTTACAGTCTTAGATAAAACACGGACTAAACTGAAGAAGGACATTTCCGCGGCAAATTGTGAAGTCCATTATTGCATATTGGCAGGTTGAAACCAAAATGCACTTTTTACATAATGCATATAGAGTCAGATATAAGCTATGTTTTCAGCAATTTAAGCTATTACCTAGATCTTGAGTCTTGAACTGCTTCAAGTATGCTTCGTACATTGTCCTAGCTTGATTTAGTACCTTTGTCACATTGTGCTTTCGCACCATTTTATCAAAATGCATCGCAACCTCGTTATAATCCATGTTAGCGCGCATGATTCGGTCTCTATGTTGACATAAAATTGTGATGCATAAGAACATTAAAAATGGATTGCCGCCACCAAACTCTTGAGGTGCTGGCAAGCCGCTGAGTTTCTTGGACATTTTGGCACTTTCAGCATCTGCCCAGGCATTAGAAATACCGTTCATCGAAATTTGAATACTCGAGGATACCGGTTTCTCATTTTGAGGCGGGCCCCAAGTCCCTTGAAAGTTCTTGTCACTAATTTGAATATTTTTTTCATATGTTGCAGCATTCAGGTCACTATAACTTCGGTCACTGTCCAGGCAATCAGAGCTGGTCCGACAAATCGGATTTTCCCAAACAAAAACATCACTTTTACTTGGGCTCTTGCTAACTTCATCTTCTGAGTCTGTAGAAGAGGAGTAATGGCTTTCATACATTGCTAAGACACTTTTATCAAGATTTTCTGCTTCATTTTTAATGTCTCGCACAACAGTTTCGACCGGAAAATCATCCGGCGAACTATCTGTATTACTAGAATCACTGTCAGGTCGCTGGCAAGTCTCAACATTGTTTTGTTTCTTTAAGCCGGTCCTGCTTTGGTCCCGTAAGGAATTGCTGCGGTCAAAGTTCATAAATTCATTCAGATTTTTGATAACCTTACCTGATGTAGTCTGCTCGGCATTTTCTGACTTTGTTTTATCTGACTTGCCACTAATTTCTAGAGATGAAAACAGCTTTTTACACTTGGACTTACTAAGGTCAAGTTTATTTTTGAAATCTAAATTAATTTTGCTAGGGGATGGAAAATATTGGTTTTTATCGCCGCAAGACGAACTTTGCTGGCTTCTAGGTGGTGACCCATTATTCGTACTTGAAAAGTCATCCATGCTCAGAAATTGTTTCTTTTTTGTCTGTTTGACAAAAGGTGCTGCTCTACGTCGCGAAATTGAACCGTCATCAACGCTGTGCAAACTGAGGGGGATAGAGGCAGACGTTTGTCTTCGTAACGCACATACCTTGGTGTAGGCGTTTTCTCGAGGGCTGGGCGGAGGCAGATCAGAAGGCAAGCGGAACTCTTTGTCAAAAAGTTTCAACTCTTCATTTGGGAAGGCAACTGGAAGAGAGCTCCACATCACTTCCAACATTTGCAAGGCATCCTCAAAAGCAAATTCTCGCTTCATTTCAAGCAGGAGCCACCGATAGCAGAATAATAAATCGTCTGCCTGTTGAATAATAGAGCAAAACAATGTTTGGAGATCAAGAGTGTAATTTAGACCAAACAATGATTAAAGAGTATGTTCCTGGCCAACTTTTTGGAGCCGATGCGTTGAAAATTAATTTAAAATTTGATATTTTAGTTGGAGAGATATTATATTTTTTTGTCTAAATTCTTCAGATATTTCACAATCATGTGCTTACCTAGAAGCTATACTTACCTTAAAAAGTTTGACAGTTAAAATTATTATTTATGTTCATAGTGAAAATATAGGGTTAAATAGTAATATTATAATAGCCTATTTAAGAATTTTAAGTTATCCTCACTAGGATCCTTTTTCTGATGGAGGATTACATAAATCATATGATATGATAGGATAAAGTATGGCATGATCACTGATCAGTATGATGTAACGGCATAATATTTGGGGATGAGGAGAATAAAAAGAAAAACGTACCAACACGGATTTTTTTTCGATTTTCACTTTTAAATGGTTCAATATTGCTAACGGGTAAATGCATCTAGAAACGCACGAAAGTCAATCTGAAATTGCAATCAGAGGTGCTGACAACAGTAGTACCAGAAAGCTTTTTTTAATACCAATTTTTTCACCCACTAGGCAGTTTGTTGTGTCTCCTGAACATCTTTATTTTTTTCTGTTTTGGTATATTTTCATTCTCACTGATTCCACTAGACCTCAAGGTAAAAAATAAAGTATTTTCGATTGACTTATTTCTTGAGTCAAAATGTTCACCCTACATTCTTTGGTACAGTATCACAAATTACTCCATTTAATTTCTTTTTTCGTGGATCTCCAGTCTCAAGAAGGATAAAATGAATCTCAAAAGTCAATTTCTGAGTTTGCAATTACCTGACTTGTATTCCAGATGAACTTTTTGACGGTGAACAAATAGTGTCTTAGTTGGACCACGTTTAGTGGAAAGGAACCAAGCCACATCAGCTATTACTTTAACTGGACACTTTGATTTTTTACAAGAGAATAATTGCATAGATTCCTTTGAAAATTTTAAGGACTTTGCATGGTACTACGCAGAAAATTCACTGAAAGTTGCTTAAAAATATGCGCAGCCGTTTTCATGTAAACAATTAAATTGCCCAATTACATTTGGCAATGGCTAATATGGCTTGGTTCTTTTCTGCTTAAGGCAGTCCAGTTAATACCTTGTCAACCAGTTGATTTAAAAATGTTATACGTACAGGGAAATTTTGAGAGAGAGAAAATGCATACCTGGTGTGATTTCAGATAATTGTAAAAGGCAGGGTCATAGTGGAGTAATCCATCAGTAAGGTGCTGGAAACGCTGGGTCATCGTTATACCATCAAGGAGAAAATTAGGAGAGAGGCGGCGCATGAGAGCGCAGAAACAAATGTAAGCTTGGGCTTCATCGCCCATAGTAACAAGAAGAGGAGATGCCAGGTCGCTCATTCCTTGACAGTAGCTAACTTGTGGATGGTTTAATGCATACCTGTGAGAATCAATACCAATTATTAGCTCAGCAAAGATAAAGTAAAAACAAATGTCTCTTATCACACATTTTTACTTCTCTACTTTTCAAGTTGCATTGAAAGAGAAAAATTGTTGCTTATTTTCATTTGAGGAGCTGCATCACATGAAGGCAGCCTTTTTGCAGTTTCATGTAGAATCAGGAAACCAAGATGGCCCATCTGCATCAAATTGTGTTCATGCTGTCTTACAATTTGTGAAGCAAAAAGTTTAAAGTATGCAGATTCCTTACAGAAATATTAAAGTAAAGAATGAATTATGGACTTTGCCAATGCGCTTATAGTGATTTTAGAACCATTTTCCTGAGAGAATGAAGCTTATTTGCGTTGGAGCTAAAATTGGCACTCGGCCAATAAGTAATTATATGAATTAGCACTGCTCAGATGCTTGCAGATTTAGAAAGTTTGTTGATAATCAGAACTGACGGGTTGAAAGGTATACTCACGTTGTTAAAATATTGAACAAAGATGCAATGTTCTGATTATCATCACTGCCTGCATAAAACGGATGGTGCCTGTCTGTTCGTAAAACGTCTTTCCTCACCATGCCTGTGACGTAAGCCAAGTCTCCTACCATCTGAGAACAAAAATCAAAAAGTTAAAACAAAGGAAAAATGTGTGTGCTAAATTGGCTGAGAATTTAGATGTACATGTACATGAGTATTACTTCCTTCACTAGAAGAAAATTAAGGGAAAATAATGAAATTTATTTTTCTTGCTTTAATATAGGTAAGACCTCACTCCCATTATTATTTTTTTTTTTTTTTTTTTTTTTTTTTTTTTTTTTTTTTTTTTTTTTATAATAACATGACCATTACAAATAGTACTTGGCCTTTTTTACAATTTTTTCAGCCTCATTGCCAGTTGTGAATAAATACTTTTTTTGGAAAGCTTGTTATGTTCTTAGCAAGGACAGTTCACACTATTTTTTCATAAATAAGAAGACTCATGCCTCAAAACTAATGGATCTCCTAAAGTTCAACCCATAGACTTAAAACGACAGTTCTAAGTCCCTTTTGCTTCACTGTGCCAGATCAGAACTGACGGCTCCATTGATGTTTGGCATTGATGTTTAAAATATTTCGATAAATTTACAATGGGCCGCAAGCTTGTCAATGTTGACTGAATGATGATTGAAGAATATAAGTTTTGGATGGAAAAATTAGTGAAATTTTAAAAAAATGTTAAGCACCCCTGGAATAGAAAGAAAATTAGATGATGGGAGGAAAAAACAGAGGATGTAACCTGTCCATTTTTGAGCATCTCTCTCCATGTATCGCGAAGCATGAAATATTCATTGGCTTTCCTCTTCATGTAATCCATTCGCTCTTTACCCGACATGCCTTCTGGATAAACGTTTAGCAAATGCTTCCAAACAACTTTCCTGGAGAAAAACAGAGAAGTGAATAAACGGACTGTATAAAAATAAATGGATGTATTCGACAGAGCAATCATACAAAGTGGAGGTTAAAAAGAAATGGTTCTCGAGACTCAAAAATTTTGTGTGACTATGAGCATTCCAAATTTTTAAAACATGAACGGATATGATCTAAACTAACTACTAGCCATGTGCTTATTTTTGACTACGCCCAAAAAAACTGATTTTGCCACTTGGAATGGGTCTGTAGCACACAAGAAACACAGCCAAGTAAGTGGTCTTTTTGCATGCAAAAACGCACAATAATCCCAATGGGCACATAAAAAAGTCCGAAATTTGGCCTTAAGTACACACTACAAAGTCTATGTCTTTTTTAACACGTTTTTTCCAAATTTCCTGTGTCGATCGGCAGTTTTTCAGGGTTCCTATCAGTGCATACTGGAGTCAAAAAACAATATCCTGTTGGTGGATGACCTACCTACATTGCTGAATATTGTGGTGGCGTGCAAGAAGGCAGTCTCGAGGCACAAAACCCTGTAAGGGTTCATGAGTCATCAAAAGTGAGGTAAATTGTAAATTTTGTCATGAAGCAGAAGCAACAAACGGTCAAAGTTTTGCAACTTAATGCACACCAGCACAATATTCCACAATTTAAGTAGATCAGCCACCAACAGTATACATTTTTGGACTCCAGAATGTTCTAGCAGGAAGTCTAAGGGTAAGACAAACAAAAGTTAGGCTTGCATGCTCGGCAACACAATGACAAATTCAGTTGTTGGGTGCAAGGCTCAGGGTTCAATGCTTCATTACATTCAAATTACCTTAAACTAGGCTCTACTCCACCGAAGTAGATGACCGAGCGAAGCTCTCGAGATCTGACCACCTGACCAACTGGATCTAGAAACTGTCGAAATTCTGCATCTGTCAACGGAGGCTGCGGAGGTTGCATAGAGAAAACAGGAGATGCTGCTTCCTCCGCTAAGTTGAAGGCACCCTTCACAATGTTGAAAGTCTTCTCTACCTGCACGTAAAAATCAAATTTCAAACCTTCAGTTTCCCAAATTTTTAGAAACAGTAAAAATTTCGAGTATTGATTTGGTCTTTGGTCCACTTCTCAGTTTCTTCAGAACCTTTAGGTACCTATTTTGAATACAAGGAAGGATCCTAAAAAAATCCAATTTTTTTGTAACTTGGAAACGGTTCAAAATTCTAAGTTCCATCTCCTAGAAGGTGTAGCTGCAACGCTGCAGCAGGATTTTTTTTGTTTTGACAATATTTAGTGTGGGTGGTTTTTAGGCAAGTAGATCATTTTCACGAGCAACACTTGACACTCATGTTCTATTTTTCCTATTTGGGTAAAATACAGCTACTACCATCAACCTTTCAAATTTTCCTAAAAAGGAACATTTTTATCTAAAATTTCAGTTTAAGCAACATCCTTTTGCTTTAATAGTGATGATACGTAGCCTGAAATATCTGGCTGGCTTTAAGCGGCTGTCAGAGGCCAGAACCAATGAAAAATTGAAAAAAAAAGATATTCTAGGGAGAGCAGATATTCGAAGAACATTTGGTGACCTTGCAGATTTCAGTGAGTTGTCATGAAAATTTTCTAAATACTTCTGAGAAAAGTACGGGTGTAAAAAGCGTTTTGAATGAAGCGTAATGAATTGATCCTCTGATTGTTGGCCATTTACCATTTCAGCTGTTAATGGTCGCTTGGAGCCCGGACTACTACCTATGAGGAAACTATGAAAAAATGTTAGGAAAAGCACTTCATAGGGAGTGAAATACTAATTAATAGCAGTCCTGCAGTGAAGAATTCCAAGCTGTCTATCCTTGAAAAATATTTGAGGAAACTTTTTAGACAAACCTGATTTAGTATCATGCCAGGTAACCGCTGGGGGACCCAAGTTTCAGCTGGTAGAGCTTGTGTTGCAACCTCTGCTACATCTACATTCTCCCAATCTTCGGAGTCTAAATTCTCTGATTTGGCTTCTACACGTAAATAAAGATATGGTTCGGAAGCACTAAAAAAAAAAACAAACAGAAGGCATTTGAAACATTGAATGTTTTAAGGTGGTATCAGATCTTAGAATAACTTGTCTAGTTGCATGTCAAAGGTAAAATTAAGAAAAACTACAATCTTAACATAGTGGTGCGTCACATGCAGATAAAGGAATAAGTTAAGATAAAGTTAAGTTATTTAAGTTTAGCAATTCCTATTTTGTTGAATAAGATCATTGTTGGGTCGTTCTACTGAAGCGCTTTGACACTTTGTTGCTCGACCCACTTGAAAGCTTTTTGTATTTCTTCCTCACATTCTTGCATGCCAACTAAGCACTAAAATGACCTTTTTTACTGAAATTTTTTCGACACCTGAAGCAGCAATCCAAAGAGGCTATTTTCGGGGGGAAAAAAGCTTCTTTAGCTCCGATTGCATACTTCTGTTTATGTTTTGATTTCAATCAATGTTTTTAAAAATCTACACACAGTTTTCTGTTTAAAGTTTTTGCAACTTTTCCGAAAAGATATCGAATACTATCACCAAAAATTTTGATGCAACATTTTTTGCTTGTCCCATTAACTACTTTTTTCTTCTTTTTTTTTTCACCAAAGAAATGACATCAAACCTCTGAGAATGTTATTCACAGGGATTGGTTCAAAAAGTTTGATTTAATACCTACAAGAGCTTTGAGTACAAAATTACCTCCTTCATACAATGCAGAAGTTTATCGTGTAAGTTTGTCTAGTACCTATTGTCATGTGTTTTTTTAATATCGAATAACTACTTAGTTAATGTAAGCAATTTTCTGTTTACCTGGAATTTTTTATTTTTCATGTTTCTGATGATCACTCCGTAACATATTTCAGTTTAAATTGAGCCTATATCACCCCTGAGATACAGGGTGAGCGAAAAGTCCCCGACCCCCCCTCTAACTTTTGAACGAATTGAGCTAGGGAAATGAAACTTTGGGAATGTTCCTATCTCAAAGGGGACCATCTTTTGAGGGGGTCAAAATTTTAGTCCCCCCCTCAGGGGGGGACAGGGGCCCCCCAACTTTTTTTTTTCAAATAGCAACCCCTATCTTGTGATACCTCATTCGAAAGAGCATAAAAAACTAAGAATTTTGGCGCAAACCGCAGATCAATATCTCAATTTTTGACCGAGTTATGATAGGTCAAAGGTCAAATTTGACCTATTTTCAAAAAATCATAACTCCGGTTCAAATTATAGTAAAGAAAAAAATAAAACGGGAAAATGTACCAAATTGTGTTCGCTTTTACGTAAAAATTGCAGAAATCACTTCGATTTAATTTTAAGGGGGGGCTCGGACCCCCAAATACGTCAATTCAAAGGTCGTTCAATTTTCCCGCGAAATAAGCCAATTTCCTCTGGATTTGCCTCCACATTATCTCAGTAAGGTCAAAATCAGTTCAACATTACGTTGGCAAGTCCCCTAATTTCGGGAAAAGTTAAAAAAACCAAATTTAAGGTGATTAAATTTGACCGTTTAAATTTCGTTTTTTTAACTTTTCCCGAAATTTGGGGACTTGCCAACGTAATGTTGAACTGATTTTGACCTTACTGAGATAATGTGGAGGCAAATCCAGAGGAAATTGGCTTATTTCGCGGGAAAATTGAACGACCTTTGAATTGACGTATTTGGGGGTCCGAGCCCCCCCTTAAAATTAAATCGAAGTGATTTCTGCAATTTTTACGTAAAAGCGAACACAATTTGGTAAATTTTCCCGTTTTATTTTTTTCTTTACTATAATTTGAACCGGAGTTATGATTTTTTGAAAATAGGTCAAATTTGACCTTTGACCTATCATAACTCGGTCAAAATTTGAGATATTGATCTGCGGTTTGCGCCAAAATTCTTAGTTTTTTATGCTCTTTCGAATGAGGTATCACAAGATAGGGGTTGCTATTTGAAAAAAAAAAGTTGGGGGCCCCTGTCCCCCCCTGAGGGGGGGACTAAAATTTTGACCCCCTCAAAAGATGGTCCCCTTTGAGATAGGAACATTCCCAAAGTTTCATTTCCCTAGCTCAATTCGTTCAAAAGTTAGAGGGGGGGTCGGGGACTTTTCGCCCACCCTGTATACTGAATAAGAGTAAAAAAAAAAAATTCAATGAAGTATATCAATGTCTATCTAAAACTTACTTCAAGAAAGCAGCATCTAGATCCCAGTCAGAGAGAAGACCTAGGTATGTTTCTTGTCCAAAATCATCTTTTGCAGAGTATTGAACGGTGAAGCCCCTGAAAGGACGAAGGTATATAAACTTATTAGAATGCAAACACCAAAAACCCAAGAAGTCATTTAAAAGAGGGTAGATACTTGCTTAATTTAATACAAGAAAGATTTTACATTATTGGATACACCTCTCCGTGGCAGTTCTTGGCAGTTGATACCAATTCTCTTGCGACAAAAATACATGATTGATTTTAAGAATTAAATGTTGCTAAGTGAAAGTAAAGTTCTACATAATTTGTCATATTTTTCTTCAAAGAAATTGAGCAAAGTGGCTAAGCATCATTGAGAACATCATACATAAATATTTTCGCAGGTACTTGATATAGATTTAAACATTGCATAAATATCAATTTTCAGGCTTAAGACTGTGTTCTGCATGATACGAGACAGTTATGGCCATGGTTCTCCTCTAACTGCCACAACAGCTTAGCTCCCAACAACTTTTCCATTTGAACCTGTGTATGCCTTCAGACGTGCATCCTCATATGGTAAGTTATGTTTGATTTATTCCATGCAATCAAATGGCAAGTGAATACGGCCGATTTGAAGAATATTATGGCATTAGAAGGCAAATTATGTCCCTTTTTTCCTCAATTTCCATATTGGCTACCTTGCTGCAAAAGAGAAAGTTCTACAATTTGTTTTGGGTACCTAGTTTTCCATTCCTTATATTTTTATGCTTCAGAAAAAAAAGTGACGATATAATAAAATTCATTTAAAATTGGAAGTGCTTCTCTGAAATCTCTTGTTCACTGTTATCAAGGAGACATATTCAGAGCTGACATAGTAGTGCAAGGTTTCAAGGGAGAATAAAAGAAGATACATGGTTAAAAAAATGATGACCTACCCTCTCATTTCAAATGCCTTCATGAGTATGCTCTGCAGCACTTCAAATGTGGTTATTGCAGGGTCTACGCAAAATTTTTTACTGTTTACTTCTTTAGAATCTTCGAACTTCTGCAAAAATAAAATAAAAATAACTGAGAAGATAAACAAAATAATTAATTGTGAGATGAACAGGGTCAGATTTCTACATTGTCAAGGGTTCACAAACACAAATTGCAATTCTTGTTTCCTGCAGGTGGTTCTTCTTGGGTTTTTGGCGTGGTTGAACTGGCATACAGTACATCCCACCAATGAAGTAAAAAAGCTCGGCAAAATTTAATTTTTCAGACCAGAAAAAGGACGATACTTGGAGCCCCCTGACCATGAGCCCAAAGGATCATTCTCACCAAAAAAGGGCAAAATTCAGAGAAATGAAAGCGAGATACTTCTTGAAAAAAAAGTTAGGTACATTTGATACAGTGATCAATCTCTGTATCAAATGTGACAATTTTTTCCCAGGAAGAATCCTGCCTTCTTCCCTCTAAATTTTGCAATTTTTTTTGTCAAGAATGATTCATTAAGAATGTGCAGGGGTAGTTATCTTTTTTTGGGCAAAAAAGTTGAGATTTTTGACATAATGGATGGGATATAGCACCGCCAGTTGGACCACGCCAAGGAACCTGGGATGCAAGACTTTTTTTTCAATCTTTACTGATAAGCTGTATGTAAATACTGGAGGGTACCCTAACAGTGGATAGATCAGAGGGCCTACTTTTACCTACCATTTCTAGAAAAGGCTTTTGTAACTTTATAGCTATGATAATATTGGAGATACTTCATAAGGATGATTTATGCTTTATTTAATGTACGAATAGTGTAAAAAAAAAAAAAAAAAAAAAAAAAAAAAAAAAAAAAAAAAACTCGTCCCCGAATAGTGTGTACATCATTGACTACAGCATTAATTCTGGAATCAAGAAGCTTCATCTTCCCCCCTTGTTTTGCAGCTCAAAACCTATCTGGCTTCCCCTCCAGTGGACTCTAAGATTCAAAATAATGTGATCAAATGTTTTAAACCGCTTGATATCGACAGGCTTATCGACAGGCAGGAGGGAAAGGGGGACATTTCCTTGCGCCCTGATTTTGGTGATGCTGAGAGATGTTTGAAAATATCATTACTGTAAAATATTTTGACCTTATATAAGGGGAGATCTTACCACTGCTTTGACACGAACGGCATCCCCTCGATAACTGTAACCTGCCATTGTCAGTTTGAGGGGAGGAAGGGTGGCAGTAATCACAGACAATGCATTTAAAAGTGGCTAGACGCTCAATAATGATACCAAAGTGAGGTATAATCATAAAGAATACAGGGAGAATGAAGTTTCATCAAATCACAGATAGCACAACTTGACAGCTTGATATCAATGCAGGAATGTTCCACATGATGCTGTACAGAGACAACACACTGCTATCACAAGCATCAGGGCTTACATGGTACGTGAAATAAAGTCATTTCCTTGAATTCATGGAAAATTATTGGGAATTTAAAAGAGATCAGCTGTGATAAAAGACACTTCACACGAATTCAACTATTTTCGTTCACTCCGATGATTGATCAGACCTTCGCACGGTAAGCCACAGTCGGTAATAATTCAATTTCTGTCTTTGCTTTGGTGAAACAAGAATCGAACGGGATGTGTTGACATTCCCCCGATTAGATACGCTAAAAAATAATCCACGAAATCACGGTTTTCGACAAACTGCAAATAAATTGAACCACAGCGACATTATCAGATAAAGGTAATCAACAACAATAATAACAACAATAGCTCGCTCTATAAACAAAGACATTTGTCCCCGACAAAGATTACAGTCAGAGCGCCACCGTTGCTACTGATTACCACCCGACTTTTCACCATCTATCTTCAACGTCATCCGATACTGATAATGGATAAACTTGTAAACAAACCATGTGTCGAATGTAGATCTCCTCAGTGAATTTTACTTCATAATAATTACAAAGTATTATTATAGTCGGTGAAGCGACTGTTTATTAGTCAAAATGGTGTACACAAAGACGTGGGACGAATTTGAAAAAACAGCCTCTAGTTTATACCTCAGGAATCCAATGAAAGTAAGCAACTCTCTCCTCTAACACTCCGACAGCATGTTTCTATCCTACCTTCATTCTGTCATATTGTTCAACTTAGCGCTGGTAAATTTATGTCTGAGCATAAATTTTCGATTTTGATCTCTTAGTATGTCAAATATTTCCGATTTTTCCTTTAAGGAAGCTTCTTTCTTGTCCCAACAGAAATATTCTGTTGCGGTTAGCTTGCAGTTTTCTTATGGCGAAGGTTTGGATCCAGCAGCCCTCGATAAGTCCTCATCGGGCTAGTTCGTGGAACTTCACGCCCAGAACTAAAACTGAGTGGCACAACTGTAGATTAAAATCTAGACCTATGGTAGGAAAAAGGAGTTGCAGGGGAGTTGGGGCTCGCCTAAAAACTTAATGTGCTCCTGCCCACCTGAATGACAGTCACTCAGCCATGAAACATTGAGTGCCCTGGGGCTTGATTTCCATATAACGTATCTTTCTGTGGAATGCATTCCTTCTTTTTATCTATATTCTCCAATAAAGCAATCTACGAGTGCAAGAAGTATAGTTCGCTGCTTGACTGTTAGGAAATGTGCCTGTCCCAGTGTGACTATGATTCAGACCACAGAGCATTACAGCCACAGCCATTCATTCCAAATAGGAATCATGGAACCATATCGATGGTGAATCTGCTGAAATGTGTATCTCGGTTTGCAGCGTTGCAGACTTCCTGCCACACTTCATTTTCCACATGGAAGACTATGAGATATTGTTTCTTCTAAACTTCCCCGATTTTTCTTCTCAACGCGAAGAATATTTGGCAAAAACTTCAGTACATATTGATGTCTCAGGATTCTTCTAAAAAATAAAAGAGAAGCAGAGATTTTGCTACACCACAACCAAGATACGCATTTTTGCAGTTTCATCATCAATATGTTGAACCAAATATTCCTACCATTTACAGAACTGTAAGTATTGTTCAGTATATCAGTTTGTCAAGATATAGTTCTGGTAAGGTAAGGTTCTTAATTAGTTCGTATACTGTAAAACAGTCAACTGTGAAGCAATTTTACTGGTAGTGGTTTGGTCCTTAATCCGAACCACATGTTCATCCAGCATATGATTTCTGAATCAAGGTTCAGTCGTAACCCATTTCAGCAAAATTTTGGCATGGTCTATGATCTGAGCTGCTCAATATGCCTCGGCAAAAACACATTCCTTGTCACTTACCAGTTTCCTCATTAGAATCAGGATTCTAGCATTGAGACATTAGGTCTGTGCAGGTAATAAACTTCTTGTGGAGGAGGTATATTGGAAGTCTTACAACTTTTTTGCACAGAACTTCCGCAAATCATAACATTTTTGTACTTAGGAAAGTCTCCACAGTTTGATTTTACAAGGAAAAAAGTCTTGGAGTCCACAAGCCGTGTCCACAAATTTTGCAAGGCTAACTGGTTCCACAATCCTGTTTCTTTCCTACATCCGTAAGCTGCTCCGTAAGCTTCATTATATGCTTTCCTCATTTTAGAACAGTGAAAGTACTATTCAAATTTTGAAATGAATAGACTCCTGACTGACCCTGAGTATCATTTTATGTGACCCTAACCCCTTTACCTAAGTACAAAATATAATGACGGAGAATCCTCACCTCTAATCTATGTTACAGATTCGATATGTAATGAAGTACAACCACAATGAACAGTGTTTAGACCTGAGAATAACTGACAATGTAGTTGTAAGTATAATTTTTCTGAGTACTAATAAAGTAAGAAAAGCCTTTCGGTACAGTAACTTACTTCATAATTGAATACAGCATTAAATAATTTCAGCATTAAAATTAACGACTTACTTGAATTAAATGATCTTATTACAGTAAAGCAATGCCTAAAGCTGAATCCAGCCAATTAGCAAAGGCCATTTCCTCTGCCTGGCTATGCCATCAAAGCCCACCGTAAATATTGTTTCTAATGGGTCACATTTTTGTCACATTCAAAATGGGGTTTTTTTGCCATTTAAATTTGAAGAAAAACCTCAGAATAATTCCTAGAAGTTTATTTCACTTTGTACTGTCAGCAAGTGAATTAAAAATATGGGTGCCACTGACCTATTGGTCCATCATTAAATATACCAAAATTAGTTTAATGCTCGATTTGACTAAACTAGACTTCAGTTTTATGACAGCAAGAATATGTGGATTGATGTTAACAAAGAGTATGATTTTCTCATTTTTGGGGTGGATTTGTATCGTTTTGATACATCCGTTGTATTCAATGTGAAATTTTGATAAAGTAAGACATTGTAAATTTTCATACAGTCTCAATGAGGAAAATATACATTAATTATGATGCTTGATTTCATGCCTTGCCTGTCGATTTTTTTTTTTTTTTTTTTTTTTTTTTTTTTTTTTTTAAATTTTGTACTTGCATTGCAAATCCCCCCTGTCTGTCATCCAAAAAATAATACTCCTTATCTATTTCAGTGTGTGCAGTACAAGACGCAGATAATGCAAGACATTAAGAAGATTGAAAAGTTTGTCAATAATTTGATGAGGAATATGGTCTCTAAAGAATGACAGTGATGCAGCTACCCTTGCTGCTCGTGTACATACTTTGATTTTGTTCAAGCATTGTATATTTGTAAATATTACCCCTGTAATTAACTACATATCTCATAATTTTTTGTCATTAACCTGCCTGAAATGGAAAAAAAAATTGTCATCTTCGTTTTGCGATCAAAGAGGGTTTAAAGGTCTGAAGTTGTTTTATTGGTATGATGGTATTGTAAGTTTCTGGGGTTGTGCATTTTGCAATTTTTTTTTTTTTTTTGTAAGTGGAGAGGTTTTTTTAAGGGGAAGCTGGTGTTCTACAAAATGTGTCATTAAAACCATCATGTAGATTTGTAATTTTACATGAATAAGTGAATTTGTGAACCATTTGTACCTATTTTGTTTTCGTTAGGAGGAATTTTTTTATTTTTCTTCATGAATTCATGTATTTTTTTTTTTTTTCAAATTTAATAAAGTATCCTCATTATGACTGCCTCAGCAAAACTGCATACTTATCTCATCAAATCCTTCTCTTTCTTTTCACGTAACAAGAATAGCACCTATTTGTTGTGAATTAATGGGAGCCAAGGGCATTTAGACAAAGAAAGCCTCCTTTCTCGTAGATTTGTGACAATTTTCGTGAGAAGACTGGTCTTTTTCTCTAAGTATTCACGAACTTCTTTGAGGGAATGTTATGTTTCAGTGCAAGGAGGGAGGGTATTTGTTCTTGTCATACAGGGGTAAAGAATTAATCTCAAATGGTACTTGGACAAATTTTAGAGAAATCAGCTTTACCGCACTTCACGTATGCCTAATTTCCTCTCATTTTTATTTTTAAACTCAGAACTTGACTTCAACGCCTTCAAATTTTCATTAAATTCACTCTAGATTATGAAGAATATACGTACAAAATTGCAAATTTTGCAAGAGTTGCCTAATTACTCTAAAAAATAAGCGATCAGAAGAGATAACGTAATGTCTGATGATTCCTATAAAATCTATTCACTCATACCAACTAAAGAAACCCTAACATTTTATTTAATTTCTCATTGCCTATGTCATACTAAGGCACAGCACTTGTTTCTTGTGACTCAAAGAGTTTAAGGATATGTCGAACAGTTTTAAAGGGTAGATTGAATAATACAGCTATAAAAAAATCAAAATTATTATTTAAGGAAGTTGGAAATAACTTAATACATTGATGCGTAACGACAACTGTACAAAGAGATGCATACCTAAGTGATGTGAGGTGGCTACAATTTTTTGGGAGGTTCCAAAAAATGTCTAGCATTTTCATTATTATTCATAAATGCTGTTAATTCCTTTCACAAAGGGTAGGCTTTAAAATTAGCCATTTAAGCTCGGCCATGGGACTGCAGGAGCCGCTCATAAAATATGAAACGCTGAAAATTGGATTTTTGTAACCTCTCCCATCGCCATAACCTCACTTGATGACCATTTTGTGGTGAATTTTGGATGGAAAATGGCCATTATAAGTTGCTTTTTTATCTTAGATTTTCGAAGGATTCGTGTTACACAACACGTCCCTGAAACCCCCCCCCCCTCCTTAGAAGCATCAGGAAAGCAGGCTCAGACCTCCTCTCCCGATAAGTTACGTATTTTATGAATGACCCCTGAATGTGAGATGGAGACAATGCCCTGAGAGTAGCAATGATAACTTTAAAAATAAATAACAAATAAAAAAAAAATTGAAGTTAGAAGTGTAAAACGTTTTAACAATCATTGACCTGAGAATACTTGTATTAATACATATCTGAATCAGGTTTTTGCCATTCGTTCAAAAGTAGTTACTTGGAACTTTCTGAAAGTAAAATTTATTTCTACCTCTAATTGCAAATCATGAATAACAAGTCAGAGGGAGTAATACTGATGGAAGCAAATTTCCATAGGTAAAATCCAAGTTGAATAAGAGGAATTTAAGCGGCAGTAACTCAATTATTCAGACATGTATTTTATTTTCTCCTTCTGATCACACCGAATTCAAAACCGATCCGCACAGGTCCGTCACTGTGAATTTAAACTTTCTACTGCCAACGTGCAACTTGCTCGCCAGAATAACTGACCTGTGTAGATTGGTCTAGACTGAACGATAAACTATTCTTATTTTTGCTATCAGTAAAATATATTCTGGTCAATTTTTTTAAAATAAAAGTAAATCAGGGAGAAAACACAGCTTCCCTGTTTTTGGCAAAATCCACAATACTGCACTAAGTTTCTAATAATGAGAACATGTTTTGACCGAGGATTAACTGCAAGTGTTTTTATGAAATGTCAATGAGATAAATGAGAGATTCTCTAATCATCAAGATTTGCCAGGCTGTCATATCACCAACTAGTACTGACCACTCGTTATCACTTGAACAACTTTTAAATTTTCGGTTTACTCTATTGTTGTATCATATTCTCATCATTCTGATGATGGATCTGAGTTTCCGAAAAAGCCTCTGTGAATTAACATTCTATTTAAAACCATCCACCCAGCTAGGCCTTGGTCAAAAAATTTGATCCTCATGACAATGAAATAAAACTTAATGAATCGACCAGTAGGTAAAGTATGAATTAAAGCATTATGACTTATCAAAATTTCACAGGAAACACGATTTGTACAACAAAAATTACTAAAAGTAACTCCTAATAAAAATTAGAGTTAAATTGTACATTAATCGTTACCAAGACAGTCTTTGTAGTATGAAAATATGACAACACAATATCAGCGCTTTGGCTTAGCTATTACATGCTGTTTTCACTTCAAAGAATACATGGTGGAACACTGCTTATTGAGGAATGAGGAACCTGACAAAACTGTTGTAGAGCGAAATTTGTTTTAAGTGGACACTCGTTTTTTTGTGAACGGTAAATTTAATTTTTTGTGATCAATGCAGAATAAAAGTTTTTATACCTTGGTTATAGGTTCATTTTGGTAATTTTCGTTAAACAAATCGTGTTTTCCTTGAAATTTTGAAGCAGAAACATTTATCAAAATGCTTAAATTCGCGCTTTGTCCAGTGGTCAGTTGTGTAAACGCTTCTAATACCTTCGTTTTATCACAAACTTAAAATTGAGGATAAGAAATCTTTCAGATATTGATATAGAGATCTCCACAACTTGATTTCTTATAGGTAGGTGTGCAAAACTTGATTTTTCTCGTTTCCTTACCAACAATTTTATTAGATCTGAGTTTAGCAGGATTAAAAATTGGATGTGAGAGAGACAGTTTTCGAGCCTTTATCCTTTCATAGGGGATTTGACTAGAACCAATAAAATTAAAATAAAACTGGCTTCTGAATGGGTTCAACCTCTTGAAATTTTCAAAAATACGTTCTGGCAAATGGTTTTTTCGCTTCATTGGCCATTGGGCCAGGAATGTTGATACAGGTTTATACCTGCGGGCAAGCATTTTGGAACTTGGCGTAACTGCATCTTTGAAGAAAGATGTATCTGAGGATGATGTCGGTTTTGATTCTTTCGTAGGTAGATGTTCGCCATCAAGGTAAGGTTTGTTGATTGGGAAAACTGACTGGTCACTTGGAATGGCCATCAATGGACAATAGAGCCGTCTTAAACAAATGGTGTCGCCAAAATAAGCATACAGGATTTCATCTATCTTTTTCCAGCACTTTAATTCCTCAGCAGATAGCTCTGCATTTAAGTCTTGGCGGTACATTGATTCGGCCGCTAACTGCAACAGATCAGAAAATTAATTCAATGTCACCAAACAATAAAAAGAAAATAAATTTTTCTTAAATGACCAAAACGCAATTTTCAGTCTCCTTTACTGAAAGGCTAAGATAAATGACTATCTGAATCATAACTCGTAGAACTTTATTTAGAGTTGTTGGACTTACTCATGAAATGTTGGTAATGCAAAAAACCAGAAGTACAAAACACCTATCTTTTACTTGGTTCATTTGCTTGCTGGTGGCGGGCATATAATCTGACAATTTTGAAAATGAATCCTCAACAAGAGAGATTAAAACTTTAAAACGGATCTTTCTCTGAAAAAACTGCAACCAGTTTGTAGCTCAAGGTGTCAAACTGTCATAATCATAAAGCTTCCTTCAAAAAAAGGGGCCTGTAAAGTGTTGATCAGATCCATTTTTACAGCAAAAGCGCATTGCATCGATCTTATCAGACAGCCGCTGCTTGAGGAAGTGAGCACATCTAAACTGTTGTGGGTCCTTTTTCCAGATAGCTTTTTGCGCAAGTTCTGATCTATTGTGCCAAAATATTCAATACACTGAAGTATTTGTATACATATCTTAGATAGTTTTCAGTTTCTCCAGCACAAAGATCTGTTTTTTATTGACCATTAAATTTGATGGTTGGAGTAAAAAAATGTGTACCCTCATTGCAGCACTTTAAAATTTGTGTAAAATTTTCTGTAATGGTTTTGATTTGAGTGCAGAAAATCACAGAAAATGTTAGGGGAAATTATCATTAAATGTACATTTTCTTTTCGGAAAAGATAAAATACGAGTGGAGATTTGTGACGTCCTTATTGGAAATAAGCATTTTTTCACTTCAGCCATTGATATGCTGTTTGAAGTACCAGGTATAAAAGATTTTTTTTTTTTTTTTTTTTATTATTTATTGTAGAAAGAATTACAAAAGGAGGGAACTGTCCTCTGACATAACATCCTCCGTTGAGGTACAACAATACATCACTTACAGTGTTAATACTACTTTAATTTAGGTTACTGCTTACTTAACTTAACTTACTACTAATTTAAGCTATTTATTTAAACTACTTGTAGGTGTAGGTTGAAAAACCAGCATAAAGAAATGATGGAAAAAATTCCCCTAACTAAATACAACTTAACTACATTTGGGTTTACAGCAAGATACTCAAAAGAGAGATAATTTTACTATTTGGAAAATTATACATTATGCATACTACGAGATTAGAGAAGTTTTATCTAATTGTAGGTCCTTTATCTAGGTGGCTGAGATAAGAGAAGTGTGCTGCTATTAATGTGATTCTAATCTAGGGTTTTATCAATAAATCGATTTGTCATTACTTATTTCTTATTTTTATTAATTCTTCCTTAAGGGATGTGATTGTATTATTTAGGGCGGAAATTTCTTCTTTAAAGTCTAAAGTTATTTTTTTTATTTGATCTTTTAAAAATTCAATCTCTAAGTTATTATTATTTCCCCTATGTTCTGTTATTTTAGTGGGTTCCTCATGTTCATTGGGTTTCGTTTGTTTTCTATAATTGTCTAGTTTAATTTTCCTCAATTTTTTATAAAACTTGCAACCCTTCCAAGTAGTAAAGTGGGGTTCTTTACAATGCAAACAAGTCGGTATTACCTTGGTGTTCTTTCCTTTGGCTGCTAATGATACTGGACATTCAGAACTAAAATGCGATCCGGTGCAAATTATACAAGTAATACCTAAGAAGCAATATCTTTTGGTATGTCCGTAGTTAAGACAGGTTTTACAGAACGGGATGTCTACGTATTTAGGGTCTATTTTTTCTATTTGTATATCAAGATTATCAAGTTTTTTGATTTTTTCAAGAGTCTCAGGAATTTTTCCTTGTAGTTTAAAATTTATTTCAAATAAAGGTAGGGGAATTTTAGTGAATGAGTGATATATTTGTCTAATATTTTTAATCTTTAGGTCAGTAATAAATTCTTCTAATTTAGATTTAATATTTTCTAGTCCAAAGTCCGCTGGTAATCCTCTAATTAGCCGTTTTGTAGTTTTGCCGTTAAAAGGTTGGAAAGTGTAGAATTTGATTTCGAGGTTTTGGAAGTCTTTAAGTGTTTTTTTATAGTCTCCATCTGATCTAAATAGCAATTTTATCTGATTATTGGGGGCTTGTTTAAGGGAGTATTCTTTTATTTCATGTTCAGCTAAAATTTCTTTTATTGCTTCGATGCTCTTATTAATTATGAAGATCGGAGGGGGTTTGTCGTTTTTAATGTTTGGTTCTTTACTCCCCTGCATCGGTTTATTTAAAGACTCTGATTCAGATTGTCTTGTATTTGTTGTTGTGTCTACTTTATTTACTTTATCAGTATTTATATTTCCATTATTTTCTTTGTTTTTATCTTCCGGTTGTTCGAATTCCGTTTCTATTGGTTCTTCAGACATTAGGGTACTGTAGTCTCTTTTAGTTGGGGAGGTGCTTTTTGATGTGTCTATTATAGTAGGTATTTCCTGGGTAAATTTGGCCTTGTAAGTTTTTTTACTATTTTTCCCATTCTTATTGGTATTGGAATTAAGGGTGCTTTTTTTCTGATTGTTAGTCAAGGGGTATAATCTAAAGTGTTCATTAAGAGAGATATAATCCTTGTCGGTTATGAGATCGGCTTGTGTATTTTCTTTTTCTTTTTTAAGAATAAAGAAAAGGTTCCTACAGTGGTTACACTCAGGAATTGTGACTCTGTGTAGGCATTTACACTTAAAAATATCATTGAAATCTTTTAAATTTGTTAGGGGGCAGTCTTTGCAGTCACTTAGTGCTACGTTGTGTTGGCATTTGAAATTAATGCTAAATTTAAATTTGGCACCCTTTTGGTTTTTCAATTTAGATTTTTCAAATTTTAGGTATGAGATAAGGTGTTCGATGGGAAGTTCGTCTGCGTAGTTGCTTAAGATTTTATTACAGAGAGTAGTGTATTGCTTATAAAAACCGATCAAAAATTTCAGGGATTTACATCGGATAACTAGAAGAGGTAATTCACTATCCTCATCAACCATAAGTTCATAGCAATTGTCACATGTGAAGGCAGGTCTCTTATGGGTACAAATGATGTCACAAGGATTTTCACATGTTGTTAAACAGATATTACACTCTATGCAACTAGTTCCATGTGTACATTTCAGATCTTGGTCAGTGATAATACTGGCTGTGGCTGGCACTGCTGGCATTGATTTCTTACTTGAATTCGGTGTTGTCTCCATTTGAATATTGACAATTGACAGTTGACAGGATAGTAAAAGTCACAGCATCGGGAATAAACACACGGATGTTTGTAGGTTAGGTCTCATTAGATTATCAGCACAGACAATGAAATCCAGTCTTGATGTTTATCAGTGGAAATAGTTGCCACATTTCGTTAGAAATATGAGATCCAGTTGATAAGAGAGCAAATTCGTACAGGTCGATTACGTAACATCCAAACGTAGATGATATAAAGGAGGAAATATCTTACGATACCTTCAGCATTTTGTGGGTTCGATGTCAAAGTTAGATTCACGAGTATTTGAGCTTTCGTTGGATATAAAATTTGACTTTAAAATCAACTTTAAAACACACAAAACTTGCAAAACTCCGAGGAGTGCGACAGCGTTGGACTTCACTCGGCCAGAGCACAAGACGAAGTCCAGGTATAAAAGATTAAAAGTGACAAATTTTCTGACCAGAAATGAGACAAAGATTTAAATTTTGAAAGAAATGAACTGTTAGTGTCAATTTTTGAAAGCATTGCACATGGTCTACAAGAAAAAAATAAAAGAAACAAGTTGATAAATTTATCCTGAGGGATGTGATTTTCATACTTTTGGACTTACCAGTAGAGCTCCTTTTATATGGTTGACTTGTATTGCATCGTCTGATACAGCTTTAGCTTCAATGTCGAGCAAAAGTGGTAGATATCTTTTCAAAATTGTATAGAAAAAGAAGACTTTGGTACAGTAACCAAGTACGGTCAGAAGTATTAAGGCACCATAGTGTGAAGCTAGAGAAATATTTGGACACAGTACTCCTTCCAAAATTTTTATAATGTCGTTCTGCTGCTTCAGATCAACCAGCCACGATTGTAGAACCTTAAGAATGAGAGTTAAAACAGTTTAGTTACACAAAGAATAAATTTGTTGAAATTGCATAAAATGAGAGTTTAATGACATGATTGCGTTTCCAAAACAAGCAAGACTAAGGTACAGTTATAATATGATTAGAACGTTTCGGCTCGTTTTTCTTATGATATTTTTTTTTGGTCAGAGTATGTGTCAATTGACAACGTCAAAGACCCATCATAAATACTTACAGAATTTCAAATAAATTAGGCGCATCTATGGGTTTTCCGAAAACAAGTTTTTACATTGAATATTGAATTGAAAAATAGATTGCACTTAGAAGAACATGGAAAGTGCCGCTGGTTTCATCAACCTGTAATGCACGAATTTGAACTTATTGCTGCAAAAGCATCACTGTTGAGATTATACAATCTTGCGCTTCAGCTAAAAAATCAACCTTTGTCCCATTGCTGTGAAAAATCACCGTTCAAAAGTTAAAAACTGTATTACGGAGACATTGATGTAACCCATCTCCATTACATTTTTCAGTCGTTACCGAAGGGTACTTTCACAGTTCTCCTCTGAAATGGCTATGACAAAGTCAATAAAATGAAAAACAAAAAATAACTTATCTTACATTTCTTAACAGTAGAGAGGCTCTCTTCCTTAAAATTAGATCATCACAGTTGGGCATGATATTAGGTTCAATAGCAATTACGAGCAAAGCATTTACAGCTCGTTTCACCTGGAAGAAAAAGATAAAAACAAATGAAGTATTATTCCAGGGATATTTTATGCTAGGCTACTTTTTCCGTTCATTGGGTTTTTTTAAAAAATACTAAGTCTCTTTTCAAACGTGGAAGGGGAGGGAGGAGGTGCAAATGAAACTATTATTACTACTACAAATATTCAAATTTTGAAAATTTCGTCAAAAATTACTTTTTGTTAATTTTTGAATCATGATCAAAATCTACCAAACAAGGAAAATATTTCTTTTTACACAAGCTTGAAAAGAGTCATTTGAAAAATCCAATATTAAAGTTTGAGAAATTATTAAAATCAAAATGAAAACTTTCCTGCATGCATTGTAATCATCCCATTTGATGAAATAATCTAGGTATTTGATGACTGATGGACTAAAATGAGAGTAATTTTCAGAGCATCTAACACAGAAACATTTGACAGCACATTCGGAATTCTGTTAATGAAATTCATACCGAGTGGGAGTAACTGGGATTTACATAAGGATTCTGAACAAGGGCTTCAACCACCCTCAACAAAGCGTAAGTCAGAGTTGCTCGACGGTCTAGCGCGTTCACAGATAAAGTCACCAGGTTCAGAAGATATGGGGACACGGCACTCACACGAGGGTTTTTGCGAATGTCTTTGATCACAACCTAAAATTTAAAATACAGAGATAGAGACAAAAAATGGAGATCTTAAAAAGTCCCAAGGTCTTAAAATGGTATACTGTTAGAATGCTGCTACATAACCCCGAGATTTTGACAACAAAAAATATCTTAGAGTCTGCACCAAAGAAGTGTATGCACTTTTAAAATGTGACAGAAGGTCAGCTGTTATAGGCTAAGCATTGAAGGTAAATGCAAGAATCAAGATGAAGGATCCTCTGTTGCACTCTAACACTGCATTTTATTTGGTGTCGACTCTGAACGAGTGAGAGGAGACATATATGTGGCTATCACCACTCATGATTGGTGATCTTGATTTGTTTATGAAGAATTGAGAAAGATTTTTCAAAAATAATTTTCAAATCCGGAGAACTCATTACAACAGCATGGGACGAGTAGGCTTTGAAAACAAAAAAATTACGTGTTAAATTAGCGATATTGTTGAAGGAAAATTGCATCTACAGTATTGATCTTTTTGGAACTGAAAGGATGCAATTTTCTCACATACATTCTCATACGAAAAAAAAAAAACTTGTTCACCGTCATTGCAAGCAGAAGAACATGCAACAAATCAACCATTTAAGAAAAGCTCTAAATTTATGTGGGTTAAGGAAAACTTTGCAAAAATGAAAAAAAGTCTTTTGCAGAGCAGAAACTTCCACTAAAGCTGGCAATGATAAAACTTACATCCAGATGAGGCTCGTGACATTTCAGGATGACCTTTGCTACATGAATGCAGTATTTTTGAGCATGAGGAGGTAGGCGAGATTCGCTGCGCGCCGAGAATTTCTCCTCATTTTTCACAATGAACGGTTCATGCCCAACATCTGCCACCAATGGCGGTGACTTTTCACACATTTCTTCCGAATCAGAAGTTAATTCTACTTCGCTAATCTTTTTGGACGTCTCAGGTTGGATCCATGAGCCTAAAAAAGTTAATGGACTGGTTAAGTATGCAATGACTTACTGAAACAATACGAGGGAGGTGATAAAAAGTAGAAGTCTCATTTTTTCAACCATATTGCAAGGTTCTAAAAGGCTTACAGCCTGGCTTTTGCAAATAGATTAATCATAGGGATATATATTTAAAACGCTCATCTACATTTAGTATGTGACTGACAAATCTAAAAATCACATTTACAAGCTCTGGCTACTGATGTGAATTAAGACAGAGTCCTCGCACTGTTGATGGTCTTCAGCCTCTTCACTTAAAACGCTTCCAACATTGTTACGAATGCTTAAATTATGACTTAAAAGGTTAACGACATGCTCTTGAGATATGTAGAAATCAATTGGCATCAAAAACTGAAAATCTAGTATTTTGATCAATATCTTGTTTTGTTCCTCTCTTGAATAATTGGCGACTCATCATAAGTCCTCTTTTCCCCAGGAGCATCACATATAATGTATTAGGGGAAAATAAATAAAAATTTATTTCAAAACTTAAAACAGACAATATGCACATAACACCCCTCATTGCTTAATCAGTCACACCTTGAGCAAATACATTGCTCTATTTCTTGGATCTTCATATTATTTAGGTACCTAAATAAATGTATTAATCAGTTCTTTTCTTAGGGGCGAAAATATACCTTCTATGGATGGTTCTTTAGGCTGAGAAATTGGAGTTTTAGAGGTGGCGAGAGGAACTAGACTGACGGTGTGCTCTTGTGGTACAAACACTCCTGCAGCAGGAACATAAATGAAGTTGGATTCATGAAAGTAAGCATGTCCATAAAGAGGGGGAGCTTCATATACTTCCAATACATCGTTAAGATGGCTGACCAATAGTTTCTTCTGCTTCGTGTTCTTCAATAAGATCGCACAGTTCTGCAATAGTAAAGAAAAGATAAAGTGATGAGGAAGGAATTGCAAGATACATTGAAATGAAATAAACATTCACTGGGCAACATATAAATTAGAGAGAAAAGAGAAAATACATTTTGAGTACACATTTACATGAGATACAGGGATTTGGAACTATAACCCATTTAAAAAAAAAAAAATTTCAAGCTGGATCTATTGAAACTTCCATGATTACATAAGGTTTCAAAATTTTGAAGTTTTTTATCTTGATTTCAATCCCCCACATTTCCCCCTCTTTCTTTCTTCCATACTCATAATAAATCTTATTTTGAAAATTTGACACATACATTTGGATTGGCTTTGGAAACCTTTAGATTCAAGAGATTAAATTATGAATTACTTCCCTTTGCTTCATTCTTAAAGACAATTTTAAAGGATGAAGCGAAGGGTCTTTTTAATACGTAGGTTTACTTACGAGTATATTTCCAAAATTCAAGCGTTTCTGTGAAAAAAACTAAGTATTTTTGGAACAGTTTTGTAACACACGTTTGGTGACATTATTTACTAGAAAAATAAAATTTGCAGAAATTAAGCACCAAACTCTGAACAGAGCGGATGTACCTGGGTATAATTTTCTCACCACTACATAATTAAAAAAAAAGGCTAACATAGTTTTTCTGACTAAATTCAAATCCTGACCAGAGGAGGATCAATTTCGTCCACAATTAATAGCTGAAAGAGTTGAATTAAAGTAATACTAAGATTACGATGAAAGAGATGGGGGGATACTATGCATGTGATAAGAGTCATGCCATGCTCTGAAAGAATAGGCTCCACAGCAGCTTCAATTCATCCACTTTTATCAGGTTCTAGCTGAAGAAAACTGCTCCCTCTCTTGTCGCGTAGAAAACAATTAAACAAATACTTGAATCGATTGCACAAAACGCGCTACACTGACAACAAGATTCTGACCTGAGTAATCACAAGATAGATGTTGACATACGTACCCGAATGACTTCTCTCAATCTATAAGTCACATCTTCTGCTAAACTGGCGGCAATTTCTTCATTGATATTTTCAACTCCGATGCATTCACCGTAAGCGACAACGGAGGCAGCTGATACGATTGCTTCTTCCTCCTCTTCAGAATCAGTAAAAATCTCTGGCTCAGGAACTAGAATTTCAGGAATCTGCTCTGGCTCGGCAGCTTTCTTGTTCTTCGAATTTTGTTTGGTTTTGCTGGTTTTCCCTTTCTTCTGATCCATTGTGATGTGACAAGTACTACACCATTACCTCTCACACGCGAAAAACCTCACACCTCACTTGACTAACATTTTACATTGAATGTGTCAAGTCGATCGAGGATACCATTTTCACGCACCGCAATAAAACCAGGGTTATGAAAATTTAGAACGGTAATAACTAAACAAGGGATTAAACAGAATCAACTGAAAAGTTACTGGAAGTTTACAGTGCAGCGGGCATAAACAACTAACCATAACAAAACTTTGAGGTTAAGTTCAATGGTGATGTTATTGTTGAAATGTGATGAATTTTTTGTGTACGATGTGTTGCATTCAGTGTAAATGAAGGCGTTTTGAAAAAGAGGAGGTAACTGATCATGAGGTCTTCTTCGACAAGGAAAAAAACAATAATTAAATAAATTAAATAATTTTACTTTGTATAACTTTATGGACATTTTCTAATGAAAAATTATAAAAAAGAATAAGTTGCTCTCTCTTAACCATAGAGTACAATAGAGTCGCAAAGTACTGGAGCGGCGATGAAGCCAATCCATGAACAGGCGTTTCCGAGCCGCGTGTGCTCCGAAAATAGTGAACCATTTGCGAACCCAACGGCATTTTGTAACACGGCGGCTTATGGAGAAATCAAGAACTGCTTGTGTTTTTTAGGTATTTTATAATTCAATCAGCATTAATTTTTGCAAATTTTGCTATTTAAAGGTAGTCAAAGCCATAATGAATCCATTGATGTATATTACTCCTGGATAATATTCATATTGGGATTTAATTTCTGACTTATACCAAGTGTGAACCAACCGGCATTTCTTATCACGGCGGCTTACGGGAAAAGCAACGACTGCCCGTGTTTTTTCGACATTTTTTAATTTCATCGATATTAATTTGTGCAAATTTTGCTATAATTAGATAGTCAAAGTCATAATGAATCCATTGATGTATATTACTCCTGGATAAAATTCATATAGGAATTTAATTTCTGACTTATACCAAGTGTGAACCAACCGGCATTTTTTTACACGGTGGCTTATGGAGAAATCAACGACTGCTTGTGTTTTTTCGACTTTTTTTAATTCCATCGGTATTAATTTGTGCAAATTTTGCTTGAAATAGATATTCAAAGCCATAATGAATCCATTAATGTATGTTACTCCGAGATAATATTCATATATGGACTCAATTTCAGACTTATTACCGGCCTACTTATTTTAGCTGGTTCAGTGTGTGTCTAGCCGACGAACGGAGCCGAGTCGGGACTGTCGGGAGTGGGGAGCGCTGAGCGCGAGTCTCTGCGTATGCGTCATCGCTAGTCGCCGCACACTAGTCTCCGGAGAACTGGACAAAACAGCCTCGAAAAGTGACTTCATCGGCGATCCAGTACTTTGCGACTCTATTGTACTCTATGCTCTTAACACGGCAGTAAAAATCCGCATCCCAACGGTACCAAGCATCGGTGCGGAGAAGTTGCATGCATTTCGAAATTCATGGCACGAGTGTCAGGAGAGCAGAAGAGAGTGGCAGGTAAACTGGTAGCAGGTGGTGGTTCTTGGTGGACGCTGATTGGACAATGTCGCGGATCCTCTCAACCTCTCGACCTATAGGCATAGCCCAAGTAAATATTCATTTATTCTCTATATTTATTTATTCTCTATATCTCTTTATTATTTATCTATTCTCCAGATACTTATTTTCTTTCTCCATGCTGCAGGGAACGCCAATTAAGAGCCAGATACATAAATTTTCGACGGATCTAACATCCAATCGGATACGGATACTGTTGTGGAGCAGCAAGTCGCGTCGCGTCTGTGATCGAGCATTGATTCTGATTAGACATAGTAATCCGTGAGTGATTCGCATGACTCTCCTAGTTGAACTGTGGAGTGAGGATGGGTAATGTATCAGGAAAACGGATTAGAGATTTCGTTCAATGGTGCAGCTTTCTGCATTCAATTTTCCTTCATTTAAGAGGGTAGGCAATATGCGCTCTCAAGAGTTCGATTAGTGGTATCAGAATATCTGGTCCTCTTTAAACGCGATACCAGTGCTTTTACCCTTCCCACTGTAATACGTAAACAGGAGAAAATGTACAACACACTTTGTACATGCATTTTGCACCCTTCTTCTTTCTCCTCTTCATTCTCATATTCCTCTTATAATTCAATTTATTTTTCTTTTCTTTACTGTCTTCTTCCTCTCCTTCTTTTCATCTTCCTCCTCTTCTTCTTTCCACCTTCCTCCTCTTCTGTTCCTATCTCTCCTTTCCCTTCTTTTATCTCTTCTTCTTATTCTGCTTCTTCTATTCAGCTCCCTTGGGTCTCCCACTTTTACTCTTCCTCTGTATGTTTATGCATATTCTTATACTATGTTGGTTTGATTCTTAAAAATTGATGCACTAAGTCACTAAATCTTAGTAGCATTTCCGAATGTGTTGCCAAGAAATCCATAATTGCAAATTATCTTTGAGCCATGACGTATCATCGCCCTTCGAACTTGAAAGCGCAACTGCTTTTTTTTTTCTAATTAAACCCTATTTTCCGTATAATTTTATGCTTTTCAGAGCTCATGTGAATTTTGTCCAGAATCTGAGTGACACCTCAATGGCAGAATGGAGCGGAGCATTGCAAGTTTACGCCTCACGCCATCGCGCCTTCAATGGGCCTGTTGCATGCAAGAGATACAGCCGCGCGAATAGACTTTTTAGGGGTTAAATGACACGAAAATTACGATGGCCTCATTATAAAAGTCTGAAATACACTCCTTACTGCGCAATTTGCGTTGTTAGGGACGCACTTTTTCAAATTTCCCGCGTCTGGGGGCAGTTTTCTAATTACCGGAAACGAGCAAACGGCGGGCTCGGTGATTTCCGGAAGATGCCGAGTCGTTGTTGTTGTTGTTATTTTTTCCTTCAGTTTGTTTACAAACCCAACGTGATCTCTTATAGTGGTCCATGTACGCTTTATGTGGTAACGAAATCGATCAACTTTTAAATATCCAACGCAATCCTTCGACATTTCGTTTCACGATATCACGAGCTCCGATTTTTAGGTTATGTTATGTCAGTTTTAGTTGACCGGAAATAGCCGTGAGTTGCCGTTAAAAAACTGCCCCCAGACGCGGGAAATTTGAAAAAGCGCGTTCCTAACAACGCAAATTGCGCAGTAAGGAGTGTATTTCAGACTTTTTTAATGTGACCATCGTATTTTCGTGTCATTTAACCACTAAAAAGTCTATTCGCACGGCTGTATCTCTTGCATGCAACAGGCCCATTTTGTGGATGCAACACGGGCATCCAAAAATCATGAATAGTTGTATCTTTGCGCCGTTATCAACGTGCGCCCATTTTCTCGCTCTACCTCTATATTTTGTTTGTGTGGTGTTATTGTAATATTCTCGTTTTTATTTTTTGTAGTAAATGTAGCAGTGCTTCAAGGGTTACGTGAGCAATACAACCGAAATAGGAGAGACGTAATTGGGCCTCTTTTTTACATTTTCCCTCGAATCTGAGCGACACTTCGTGCGGAGTATTGCAAGTTCACGCCTCGCGCAATAGCGCCTACAGTTCTGTAGATGCAACACGGGCATCCAATAAGCACGAATAGTTGTATCTCTAAGCTGTCATCAACTCGCGTATGGGTGTATTTGATTTTTGAAATTTGCGAAAAGTTAAGGTTAAGTTTGCTCCAATTGGACTATGATGTATGTCCTAATCAATAATTATTTTGAAAACATCACAAAAAAACACACGGGTGGGAGAGGGAAGGGGGGAGGGAGGGGAGGGGGAGGGTCAAGAAAGAACGTGAAAATTTGACCACCCAGCGGGCAATCTTTAGTGAGTGGATAACAGGTTTATACATCTTGCCAAGGAAGATTGTTCTCACCAAGAGACTTCCAAAATGACGCCACTGATTTCTATCTGCTCGAGTGTCTTTGCATGTTATCGAGGGTGGGAGGAATATAAAAATCAAATCAAAGAGACACTCCAGCGTGAGACTATTTGTCCTTTTTGTGGTGCGCTATCAGTTTTATCTGCTTTTAAACGTGAGTGGCTGCGATTTTACTCACCGAGCCGCGGGCCGATCAACGCCATTGGGAACAGTGCTGAGACAGAAGTTGTGGCGCGTAGATAAAAGTCCAGGTAAAGTTCAAATTCATTTACATTATTACGACGTGACTTTGTTTACCTCTGACCTCGTGCCAGACTTGTCGGTTCCCAGACAATGGAACGTAACTCTATGCCCTGGTAGTAAAATTAACGCAAACAATTCAATTTTTGCTGCAAATATTACGATGAAAATCCTGTCAGAAATTTTGCTACATTTTACTTGTAGCCACGAGAATAATCAGCGAAATTTCCAGTCATTAATTCCCTAAAGTTTTCTAGTAAAAACACAATTCACGAGTAGAAATTTTGCAACGTTTAAATGTAGTTACGTCTAGAGTCCCTTTAGTTACGTCCTCTCTCCCAGAAAACGACGAAGTTTGTCCGTCTATGCAAAAGGAACGTCATTCCGCGGAAACTTATAATTAAGTTAGGTATAGGTAGTTATACCGGAGCCTAGCAGACCAGCCCAAAGACTTTTTGTTTCCCCGAGACAACTAAAATTTTGCCGCCCTTGTGGTGGCTCCAGCTGGAAAAATTACACACCAATGGGATCCGGGGAGCATTAAGGGATCAAACAAGCAACGCCAATCGTAACAACAAAGACGGGAACAAACAAGGGGGATATTGTCAATAAATAATGTTTTTTTTAGCTAGTTATACTTGTTTGTTATAGCTTTTGCTTTTTTTAATTTATTTTTTTTTTTTATTTTTTTTTTTTTTAAAAAGCAAACAATTCCAAAGGCACCTGTTTTTCTCTTTTCTTCCGAAATGATATTTGCTGTTCCTGGGCGATTGCCTAGGTTACCTATCCAGTAAATATGAGCGCGACAGCGGAGTGTTACACAAAAATTTTGGGACAATTCTGACCGGAGTTCATAGTTTCCTCAACAAAAACACGTAACTCTTTTTCAAAGTTGCAAAAAAGTGATTTACGTACTATGTCTTGATTGATATCTTTCGGTGAGAATTATTTTTTTATGTCAAATTAGACAGATACCTCGAGTAACTGCTCTTTTTAATTATTCGTGTTGCAAAATATTTCATTGGACTTGTAAATGACATCCAGAGCATGATACTTGTCATACATACATGTAAGCCCTAAAACATCCTTAATAAGGCACTTCAAAAATTACGCATATCCCTATGTGTCGCTTATTTATTTTTTTTTTTATTTATTTATTTTTTTTATTTTTTTTTTTTTATGATACAGCAGTACATAATGTTGTGCTGCAAAAGAGCACAGACGCCTTAAGCAGACGTAATCATGTATATTCATTTCCTATCTAAAAATAACTTAAAAACCCCTAAAAATTACAAATATATACAATTAATCTGCCAAACGCTCGTTTTTCATTAAAGTTCGCTCTACTCATAAGGAAGTGGGCTGTACAGCAGGGTAGCGGCCGCTATGTGGCAGATCAATGGTAAAATTGAGGAAAGGGAGCGAAGCGAAAAATTTATCTCTGTTTGTTAGGGTGCAAACTTCCAACTACATCAAGCTCTGTAATATAAAATCATAAGAGTAACACGAGGTTCAAGCGCCTCAGCAGGTTGGACCGTAAAACAGTCGGGGACATACGCTCCCAGGTTCTATTTTAATGCCGATGAACCGTTTCTATTTTAACTTTTGTAATTTTGCAAAATATTTGTACATTGTAAAAGTATTTTTTTTTTAAAAAAACGAATGCTTGCCCAACAATATAATTTTCTTGAAAATATTATAAGGAAAACTATTTTGAACTGTTTTGATTGAGAGACTTTTTGTGTTGGCATATAGCATCGATCAAAGAAAGACCTAAAAAGTGTCTCTTACATGAGTTTTTTTAAGAAAATAATTCGCAGTATGGTACATTATTAAGTTTAGATGGAGTTTGCGATTTCATAGCAGCACTTACGCTAAAATTCGGTGTCAAAGGAAATTTTCCGTGGAGTTTTCATGTAAACAAATGATTAAAGCAGGGTTATTCGCCCTTTTTATTTAAAGTTTTCTTGGAACAGGTTTTAAGGGAACGGGAAAGGAAGTTTTCTGGCATTGGCGTTCTCGTAAATGTGATAGACACCCTTTTCACTTTGTGCTTTGCTGATGACCAAGTGGTTATTGCTCAGGATGCTGCAGAAGATGCGGAGTACATGGCTCGAAAGTTAGTCGTCGAATATCGGAAGTAGGGCGTAGAAGTCAGCATTCGGAAAACAGAAAAGTTGACGGTGGGATGCGATTAGCAAAGCATAGAGTCACAGGATGGCTAGGAAATCAGAGGTTCTAAACATTACAAGAACCTAGGTGTGCGCTTAACATCAGATGGCAAATTGGACCTGGCAATCAAAGATCTTAATCTTAGGGGAAGACAGTCATTAGAATGATAAATGGTATTCTTTGGGACCAGACTATATCCAAAGTTAACAAAAAGAGAATTTACATCTCTATCATCAAAAGCATATTAACCTACGGCAGCGAGGTATATGGCAACCAAGGTGGGCTTCCAGCGTGAATCGGTCGGAGTGTCAAGGGTGGATCACGTTCGGAATGAAAGGATATACGTGATATCATGGGCGTCGAAAACAACACAGTGCATGACATTTTCACGAAGCAGCTACCCTGGTATGGGCATGTGCAACGGATGTCAGATGATAGGTTGCCTAAGGAGGTTCTGGATTGGAAAATCCCTGTAGAAGACGCTCTGCCAAGTCGTGGATTGATAGAATAAGGCAGGGAATGAGGAGATGCGATTTGCCGAAGGAGCTCTGGCAGGATCGTTATCAGTGGCGGTTGGGTGTCGCAGAGCGCACGGAAGCGCTATAAGAGCGGCATGTTCGTAGTAGTAGGAGTGGTAGTAGGAGTTTGCGATTGTGGCAAAAAAATATCACCGAATTGAACCAATTGTAGGCAACCCTACATTTTTTAATTTTTTTTTTTTTTTTTTTTTTTTTTTTTTTTTTTTTTTACGTGGTGGAGGGAAATATAGTCTCGACGATTGTATGTGCAAGGGTTTGCACATTACATTTAGCATGCAATTTTAAAACTTTTTAAAGGTTTGTTGAAATTAGATCCCTTTCACGTTTTGGTTCGATCATGATTGGATTCGAAACTACGAGCTTCATTAAAGATTTCTCTTTCTAGATGTTTCTGACCATCAGAAAATCGTTTTTCAATTGGCTTGTTGTACCTCTTTACTCGTAGACTTCGATTAATCTAAGATGTCCCCATATGTAGTGAACTTGTGCAAATAAATCACCGCTTCCACTTCTGTCTCATCTAAAGGACAGCATTTGTGACTTGTACGTCCAGTTTTACAACGCATTCGTTTGGTATCTTGACAGGAGGGTAACAATCACTTCAAATTTATCTCCGGCGCCAGCTGAGGATACTTATCCTCTTTCGCTCAAGTTGCCGAGATAATTTTGCAAATATAATACACAAAAACATATTTTTACACGGATTTGTCGAATTTGATATCAAGATGGGTTGAGCTCTGTACCATTAACCTCTTCAGTCAATACACCTTAACGATAAGCAAGTTGTTATGGTACCTATCTTAAGGGTTTGAATTTTGATCATTTGAAGCACAAACTCTCCTCTGGAAGAAAAAAAATCTGTCAACTCAAAAAGAAAATTAAATTGAAAAAAACGAACCAAAAGCAAATTTACAACCATTTGAGCATAATTGAGGAAAGTTTGTAAAATTTCAATACAATTTGGTCCATCTGACTTTCAAGTTCTCGTAAAATTTAAAGAAAACACTTGGAAAATGTTTCGTTCTTGAGTGCATATTATTCAGAAGAGAGCAATTAATATGGCGTATGGGATTATTCATCTTCCATCTTGGTTCAATCCGTGATTTACGTAAAGCAAACGGAGTAAACGTGAATAATTGATGAAACCAAAGTGGTAGAAACCATGGTATGCACTAACGCGGTCTATGACGTCATGCACCGCGTTGTTCAATGAGCGATATCTCCGTCCTCATTGGACGAGGAAACTTTCGTTTAGACGGATCTAATTGTTTTTGCATATTTGACCATATGTTTTTGTTTGACCATCAGAACACGATGCTGTGACATGCAACTGACCTATTCAACCACTGATCACATTAATGCTTATTTTTGTTGCAGGGCCACTATGAGCGAAAAGGAGAAGCTGCACTCAACAGAAAAAGTGTACAAGCCGTGCGAATATTCGACGGAAAACACTGGTAATTTCAAGTCTAATCTTGCTCAGGTGAGTGCCTGCTGAAAAATACTCACAGGGCATTTTTAGTGTAAAATACGAAAATAACACATTCACCTTGAATCTGACGGCTGATGCCTCTTCAAATAATCTTTCATGGGATGCTTATTTTTACAGAGATATTTTGAACTGTTGCTCCAAGTGGCTTTGCTCAATCTTCATGCTTTAATTTTGGATGCTGTTTACCAATTTTGTTAGAACCAAATCTATAATTGTTATTTATTATTATTAAATCAAAGTATTTTTTTTATTCTAATTCCTATCGATAAATAACGTGAAGCGTATACTTCAAACATTTAGTGCGTATAAGGAGTTGTGTCAATCGATGGGACTCTGCCAGAACATAATCTCATCGATTTAAGTGGATGTAAATTATTTTGATTTTGCATTGATCCCTTCCTTTGAGGTTTCTCTCTCTCTCTCTCTCTCTCTCTCTCTCTCTCTCTCNNNTTTTTTTTTTTTTTTTTTTTTTTTTTTTTTTTTTTTTTTTTTTTTTTTTTTTTTTAAACGAATATTAACCTGATTTGTTTCTGTACACATATTGCAGTTTTTTTGAGCTTCATTAGAATCCTATACTAACATTAGAAATACTTTGTAAATGTTAGAGCTTCCTTAATTCGATAAATAAAAAATAAGTTTAAAAGAAGACAGTTACCACATATAAACTGACTTATTCAAGCAATGCAGACATTGATTTAGTGTAAATTCACCTTAAAAGTAAGGTAGAACTTAATGAGAAGAAAGAGTTATCCGCAAAATTAACTTCGTCGTGATCTCCGGGAAAGTGATGAAAAATGAAAATGAATGGCCAAAATGCACTCTTAGTGTTTTGTTGGGGAAGAAGTTTGGGGGAAAACAATAAGAATTGCCCCAATATTTCAATTTTGCTTCCATTTTCTCTCTTCCTTAGTTAGTTGAAATCGAATTCGTATCCTGAAGCACTCTCTGAAGGGTAGAGAATAATCAATGAGCCTTTTATGCGTCAACTCCTGAAAAAACCTTTAAAAAATTACCAATTCTCACTGCTCGTTTGCGCATTCTGTCGGAACGAAAGTTGACGAACCATGTTTACCATAAGAGTTTGAGCGATGAGCGATACTTTCATCATTTTCAAGCCTACAATGAATCTGTATCGATCCATTCTCACTGGTCTCTCATGCAGGCCACCACTCATGGACTCTCAATTGGACGGAGTTAAACAGAAAGGAACCAACAAGGGGAACTTCCCAAGCTGCCGCCTCCGATCGGGCTGAAAAAATTCATACGAACTCTTTGGATGAATTTATTTGACCCGTATTTTTTTGTTTTTTCCAACGCTCCCTAGAAACCCCCCAAAAAATTCTGGAAAGTCTTGCTTTGAGCGCTCGAGTGTATATACGTAGTATGGCAACCACTCCGTATCATTCGGCGGTGGCACTACGGTAGCGCGCTTGACCGGTGTTTAAGCGGTCCCGGGTTCGTATCCCGGGCGCCGCGCCTAATTTTTACGACCGAATTTTATATTCTCACACATTTTCACATCGAATCCCATTTAATACAGTGGAACTTAAAACATCAATTAATTTACAACCATCATCAAACACAAATTGATCTACGATCAATAACTTCTTCAATTTGAAGTATAGATTTTTTTTGTGGATAATGACGGGAAAAATCATGACGCATACGGGTGATCGGGAGAAATATGTAGATGTGAGGGGGCGGAGCGGGTCGTCGGCTAATGTAAAAGTACAGTGATTGGCGAGATAATCGCGCGCGTATCCCCCCCCCTCCCAAAAAAAACCTATACTTCAAATTGAAGAAGTTATTGATCGTAGATCAATTTGTGTTTGATGATGGTTGTAAATTAATTGATGTTTTAAGTTCCACTGTATTAAATGGGATTCGATGTGAAAATGTGTGAGAATATAAAATTCGGTCGTACAAAATAGGCGCGGCACCCGGGATTCGAACCCGGGTCCGCTGAAACACCGGTCAAGAGCGCTACCGTAGAGCCACCGCCGACTTATAAGAAATGGTTGCCATACTACATATATACACTCGAGCGCTCAAAGCAAGACTTTCCGGATTTTTTTTGGGGGGTTTCTAGGGGGCGTTGGAAAAAACAAAAAAATACGGGTCAAATAAATTCATCCAAAGAGTTCGTATGAATTTTTTCAGCCCGATCGGAGGCGGCAGCTTGGGAAGTTCCCCTTGCAAGCCACATCGGGATCGAACCGAGAAAAAGAGGTTGAAAGTTTGGCACCTGCATAAGACTCAATGTAAAAGATACTCTTCAAGTTAAATTTCTGCAAAATTTGCTCCAACAAAAACTTTGAATTTTTGGCGATAGATAGTAGAGCAGTGGTTGAGTTCAATACCACTCGTAACTCAATTTTTTCCAAAATGTGGGTTGGTTCCTTTCTGCTTAACTCAGTCCAATTTTGAAGTGCACCAGTATGTCTCATCACTAATATGCCTCGTCGTGAGAATCACGCGTAAATGGACTTGCTCTCAACTCTTCAAATTGATGTCCGCACTTGACAGATTGTTGTGACAACTTGACATTTTTTTCCCCCCATTTTATTTACTTTTCAAGAAAGCTGCGGCTCCTCTTCACTACTCGGAGGAAAAATAAAAAAAAACGGGAAAGGGAGAGATACTCAAAGCAGAACAGCCGAGATTTTTTTTTATATGTATTTCGAAAAACATTGAACACTTAGATAAGCAATTTATTGAAGTAACATACTTGCATTCCGTTGCAACAGGAATCCGCAGTCATTTCAAAGCGCAAAGATTTGAAACACTCAGTAAAAAGGATCTAATTCAGGCAAACGCTTTACTTCCAAAACCATACTGACCGATCATTCGGACTCGTTAAAATATCACGTGAGTGAAAAGGCTCTGTTCCATAGAATGACTTTTTTTTGGGCCCAACAAACAACTCCACGGGAATAGAATCCCAGGTTGGCTCTGAATCTCGCTCACAGTCGGATGATTAAACTGATGGACTTTCGCCAGAACATATGGAGTCTACTACTCGGCTGTATTTATACGAATGATTAAAATACGCCCGCAGTACACTTGCAAAAAGCTGAAGGCGCACTACATGCAACTATACGTGCTTTAAGGATGCCCGTAGTGCATATGCGAAATATTGAAGGCGCACAGGCACTGGTTTTCTTGATGAAAACGTCCGAATGCAAGTATGCATTCTCTACGAATAACCACAGAGCATGTCGACGGTGAAACCACCAGACTCCAGACCACGTTTCTTGGTTTGCGATGTTGTAGACATCCTGTAATATGTAGTTCATTTTTTAAATGGACAACTTCTCAACTGCAGTTCTTGAAAACTTCTGTGTTTCTTTTCCTGTGCGAAAAAGTCTCTGTGAAAATTTCAACAAATGATATTGATTTGGTCTCCCTCAAAAACTAAAATTGGAGCAATTTTTAAACACCGCTGAATGAGGTCCGTGGTCTGGTAGTTTCACAGTCGATATTGAAAAAAAAAAAAAAAAAAAAAAAAAAAAAAAAAAAAAAAAAAAAAAAAAAACTTAAGGCACACTTGGACGTATTTCTACCAAACAGACCTATGTGCAGGTGAGAAATATGGGGTGTGCTCGTCGAAGCTGCATATGAAGCAATGTAAAAGTGGGCGTGATTCCTTTTGAAGAATTTGAAAAGCTTGATATTACATTCTATCAAACAGACCTATGTGCCAACTGAATGCGAAATTCATGAGCCGCGGGCACGGCAAGAGAGTGTTGTGGACAGGGCTCATGAGTTAATGACCACGACCACCGCAACCGCGTGGACCGTGACGACGGCGTCCTCCTCCGTTGACGTCACTGGCGCTTTATTATTCTCATTGACTCTTACGGATAGAGAACTAACGAGCACACCCCATATTTCTCACTTGCACATAGGTCTGTTTGATAGAAATACGTCCACTTGTTGAATGCTTGTTGAAGATGCATTGGTTCCTTTGACATGCTGAATATCACTGCGGTTACCCTCTTTAAAGGAGATATTTCTTGTTTGATTTTAGTTCTACGTGACGTGTGTAGAATGCATTTTCTTGATTTCGCTCGGGATGCAATACGTGATGCCGACGATTGTCGTGGGGGCGCTGCATAACAAAGTCGGCGATAGCATGGCCCTGGACGACACCACTGCGTCCTGGATCGGTGAGTCCATCTCTTTCTGAGTAAACTTAAGATTTTATTTGCGATGCATAGGTAATGGTAAGCAGATAAAACTGCCATTAAGATTGACCAGACCATTTTGATTGTATCCTAAATGCATTGCTGAAATGACGCGGGTGATGTAATATTACCATCTTTAGGTCTAAATGGGCCTGTTGCATGCAAGAGATACAGCCGCGCGAATAGACTTTTTAGGGGTTAAATGACACGAAAATTACGATGGCCTCATTATAAAAGTCTGAAATACACTCCTTACTGCGCAATTTGCGTTGTTAGGGACGCACTTTTTCAAATTTCCCGCGTCTGGGGGCAGTTTTCTAATTACCGGAAACGAGCAAACGGCGGGCTCGGTGATTTCCGGGAGATGCCGAGTCGTTGTTGTTGTTGTTATTTTTTCCTTCAGTTTGTTTACAAACCCAACGTGATCTCTTATAGTGGTCCATGTACGCTTTATGTGGTAACGAAATCGATCAACTTTTAAATATCCAACGCAATCCTTCGACATTTCGTTTCACGATATCAAGAGCTCCGATTTTTAGGTTATGTTATGTCAGTTTTAGTTGACCGGAAATAGCCGTGAGTTGCCGTTAAAAAACTGCCCCCAGACGCGGGAAATTTGAAAAAGCGCGTTCCTAACAACGCAAATTGCGCAGTAAGGAGTGTATTTCAGACTTTTTTAATGTGACCATCGTAATTTTCGTGTCATTTAACCACTAAAAAGTCTATTCGCACGGCTGTATCTCTTGCATGCAACAGGCCCATTGACCCCCTAATTTTCATTTCTTGTCACGTCCTGTTGCTCTACCGTTCTACCGGGCCGATTATCATGATTTTTGCGGTCATTGGCAGGTGATAGTCTCTAGATGAGCCCACCCTATTCAGATTTTGGAAATATGACCCAGGTGTTATTGCATAATACATTTGTAAACTCTCCTGTTCAAACTATGTACAAATTCATTTTTTGCCCCAATTCATTCTAAAGATCCGCACTGGCCCAATTTTCATGATATTTGCGGCTATCAGTGGAAGGTGACCCTTTAGATAAACCCGCCCCATCAGTGGTGTAGCAAGGAATTTTTTAAGAGGGGGGGGTCCATTAAAAAAAGTGACGGTAAATTTACATTAGTTTCTGTACGCCCCTAATAATAGTTCATGTCTGCCCTCTAAAAGTAAAAAAAAAAGTATATTTAACGAGGCTAGGGGGGGGGGGTCCAGACTCCCGGGACACCCCCCTCCTTGTCTACACCACTGCGTCCCATTTAGGTTTACTCACGAGCGACTGCGGAATATGCTCTAGAGAGCCCTGGGGTCACGTACCCCAAGTAACCTATACAGGGTGTTTCAGACCACCCGTACCAGGCCTTTTTCTCGGTTGGTTTAGGTCGTACGAAGTCGGAGACCGCGGGATTGAATAGGAAATTGACCCCAAGGAATCCGAATTTCGTGGTCCCGAAACCCCCCCATCCCCCCTTGAGGGGTAAAGGGGGGGGGTCACGATGCTAAAAGTCACGGTTCCCGACCGAATTGCGGATAGATCGCATCAGAATTGAATAGCACGGAAAATTTCACGTGGAATTGACCCCTAAAAATCCAAAATCGGACCATCCAAGGCCCAAAAATGAGCCCCTAGAGAGGGGGACAGTACCCCCCCTCCATAATTTCTCTTTGGTCTCAAAATTGACGTAAATTCTCCAGAAAAAGACGGTTTCCCAGGTAATCGACCTCGAGAAATCCAAATTTCATGGTCCCGAGGCTCCTCTAGCTCCCCTTGGAGGGTAAACGGGGGGGGCCCAATTTTAAAAATCGGGGCTCCTTTCCGAATCGCAAATTGATTGCATCCAAATTGAGGAGCAGAACACATTTACATCTTAAGTGACTCCTAAGAGTTCTAATTGACCCCCTGAACGGCAGAAAGTAACCCCCTGAGGAAGGGGGCCTTGCCCCCGTCAAAATTTCTCAGGATTCCTCTTTGGTCGCAAAATTGACGTCGATTCTCCAGAAAAAGACGGTCTTCCATGTAATCGACCCCGAGGAGCTCAGGGGACATGCAATTTAGAGTCCTTGGGGTCAATTACATGGGAAACCGTCTTTTTCTGGAGAATCGACGTCAATTTTGTGACCAAAGAGGAATTTTGAGAAATTTTTGGCGGGGGCGAGGCCCCCTTCCTCAGGGAGTTACTTTCTGCCGTTCAGGGGGTCTATTAGAACTCTTAGGAGTCACTTAAGATGTAAATGTGTTCTGCTCCTCAATTTGGATGCAATCAATTTGCGATTCGGAAAGGAGCCTCGAATTTTTAATTTTGGGCCCCCCCGTTTACCCCTCAAGGGGTGCTAGAGGAGCTTCGGGACCATGAAATTTGGATTTCTCGAGGTCGATTACCTCGGAAACCGTCTTTTTCTGAAGAATTTACGTCAATTTTGAGACCAAAGAGAAATTATGGAGGGGGGTACTGTCCCCCTCTCTAGGGGCTCATTTTTGGGTCTTGGATGGTCCGATTTTGGATTTTTAGGGGTCAATTCCACGTAAAATTTTCCGTGCTATTCAATTCTGATGCGATCTATCCGCAATTCGGTCGGGAACCATGACTTTTAGCATCGTGACCCCCCCCCTTTACCCCTCAAGGGGGGATGGGGGGGTTTCGGGACCACGAAATTCGGATTCCTTGGGGTCAATTTCCTATTCAATCCCGCGGTCTCCGACTTCGTACGACCTATACCAACCGAGAAAAAGGCCTGGTACGGGTGGTCTGAAACACCCTGTACATATATTAGGGGCTACGCCCTGACCGCCTTGCGGTCCAACCCCTAGCGCCTCGCGAATCAAGCGTTATGCATCACGCGTTACTCATATGATTTCATATACAGAGTGAGTTTTGCTTGTAACAGGTAGCATCCTATACTTCTGCCAGCCTCTGGGGAGTGTAACCTCAGGGTTCCTATCGGAGCGGTTCGGGCGGAAGGGTGCCATGATGCTAGTGAACGTTCCCTTCGTAGCCGGCTGGATCCTGCTCTACTACGCGACCTCGGTGCAGGGGCTCTGCATCGCGACGCTGACCATGGGCCTGGGCATCGGCTTCTGCGAGGCCCCGATCGCCGCCTACATCGGCGAGGTGAGCCAGCCCCACCTCCGCGGGATCTTCACCGCCATGACCACCGCCGCCTGCCAGCTCGGCAACCTCATCGAGCTCTTCGTCGGATCCGTCTTCGACTGGCGCACCTCCGCCCTCATCAGCACTGTCATCCCCCTCATCTCGCTCATCTCGTTTACCACCGTAAGCCACCTTATCGTAGTTCCGTCACAACTTTGGACGAGGATCCTTAGATTTGTCACAATGCACTCTCGATTAGAGGTGCCGTCAAATAAGTTGACCATTGTTTACTGTCGGTTTGCAAGAATCCATCTCATGATCGTATCAAAAAAAAACCACTTATCAGCGGACTGATTATTGAAATTGATAGACAAAGCGATAGACAAAGAGGACATAGGGAGTATGGAGCGATCTTATTGGTTGCAACTGGTGGTTCTTACAAACTGAGAGGGAAAATGATGGACCAACTGTCTGGTCTCTTGTCAGTTGCTGATAGTTAGTCTATTACTTACCTCCTTTGTCCATTGCAACCATACGCTTCCACCAATAGGATCTCACCATATCCTTTTCTCTTCTTTGTCTATAGCTTTGTCCATCAATTTCAATAATCGGCCCGCACTTATGATTTGCGACTTTTATGTGGTTGTAATTTGTGTGTGGCTAAAAAATCATAATGTTACAAGGTTTGAAAGCAAACTTATCTAAGCTTGTGTTCTTGCTTCTGCGAGAGTTGGATGTTTTTATGTGGATTTTAGTGATGCAAAAAAGCTTGCAAACCGTAAAAAGTAAACAATGGCCAACTTATCTGACGACACCTCTACTCGCTACAGTCAGCTTATATGAAATGATGACCCCTAAAACTTTGGGAGGGAAGAGGGGGAGGGCTGTAGCCCCCTTAAAAAGCTGTTTTGGAAAAAAATGCATTGCAGAAAAATGATCATATCATGATGATTGGTTCATAAACTGACATTTTGATGGGGGAGGGGGGTATGACACATATAGTAGCTATAATCTACCAACAGTTAATTGAAGAGGTGGCGATACAGGGAACTGAACGCCTTTAATCCACCTTCAAGTAAATCTATTGCGGATAAAAAAAAAAAAAAACTAAGATCAAGATCCCAAATAAAGTCTGCTAAAATTCTGATTTCACTTAAAATTTCTGGCAAAAAGAGATCCATTACGTTAGTAAATATTTTTCGCAGAGGGATATTCACTCGTTAAATACATGACAACTCTCAATTGGACGTATTTCTATCAAACGGACCTAAGCGCCATAGGGTGAGGAAGGTAGAGGGGGGCTTGAATTGGCGGCAGAAGCGGGCGTTGGCTTATTCCGTCCTATACTCGCAATGCTTTTCCATGGCGCTTAGGTCCGTTTGACAGAACGCGCTATCCGGGATTCTAAATTCCTTAAAAGGAACTCGAATTGGCGCTTAGTTCCGTTTGATAAAAATACGTCCAATTCATCTTTCTTTTCAAAATGTCACCAGTCGTGTCTGTTAAACTCGGTCCAAATGTGCATTTGGAAATTTCTACGTGCATACTCATATTTTGGACTGTGTATGCTGAAAGGAGCTATGTTGCACGGAAACCCTATATGCACATAGTTCCTTTTAGCATAATTACATTAATCGAGTGGGACTTTTATTTTCAAAGTTGATACATCTTAACGGCAAACACTTTGAGAGAGAAATAAAATGGAACTTATTTTCAGATCCCTGAGTCTCCTGTATGGCTCATAACCAAAGGGAAAATGGAAGAAGCGCAAAAGGCACTTGGGTGGCTGCGAGGCTTTTTGGAGCCACATCACGTTCAAAAAGAATTCGATGAGATGGTCCGCTACGCTAGGATGTCGAACACTTTATCAAGTGAACCGGGAGAAAACTTCAGTGAAAAAATTCCACTTGACAGTGAGAGTGAGTGCCGCAAAAATCTTCACATTACAACATTACTACATTTTATCGGTAACATTTATTCAATGGGTCAGTTTCGCTCTGCCCTGCTGAGGAAGAACGCCGTATGAACATTCGAGAGTTGCCAAATTTCCTGCAGTAAAATGTTTATTTTGGAGGAAAGTTATAAATATTTTTCCTTGAAACTTTCAGGAATTTCAGAACAAAATACAAACAAAGTTCTCTAAAAATTTGAAAGGAAAATATTCATAAGTTCACCAAGAAATTCGTGTTTTATTAAAAGAAATTTGGCAACGCCTACAGGTTCATACGGCGTTTTCCCTCAGTGCGGCAGCGCTGGTCACAGAATCGTGATTTGATGCTTGATTCTTGTAGGATTAAGGGACTTTATCAGAGGTTATTCTTTAAACTCAAGTATGGCCATGCAGCGGCCAGGGAAATAGAGTTGAGACTCTTCAATGTAAAAATTCGTTCCAATTGAGAGTTTTATCAATGTTTATTCGTTCACATTTGTTTTATTTTTTTTTTTCCTGCAGAGATCCCGATAAAAGAAGTATCTGACGGCTTTTTCAAACAACGATATAGAGAATTGACAAATCCAAAGCTCTTTCTGCCACTTCGAATGATTTTCATCACATTTTTCTTCACTCAAACTGCCAGTCTAGCACCATTCAGAGCTTATTTCGTCAGAATACTTGACCAGTTTTGGTTTCCGATTCAATCAAGATGGGTTTTGGTAAGAATAATATTTTCAAATTTTTTGGTCCTATCACCTATAAATTATCTCTGACTCCACCCGCGGAAAAGTGAAGGGTATGGCATAGCCCCGTGTATGGAGAGAGGTTCGGGGAGCCTCTCTTAGAAATTTTTGGATACTGACTCAAATTTATATGTATTTTAAGGCCGCATCGACAAAATTTTGCGGATTTTGTGCGTCTTGGTGCCAGATTCTGACCTAAGTTCTTTCATGGAACTTGTAAATTTATTTGAGGAAAAATTATTATCCATTTGAGCAACTTTTTTGTGATCTTACCATGAGAAAAATATAATTTCTTTAGGTTGGAGCCCTGGGACGATCCTCTAGTCGCTCCTTCCCCAAATCCGGCAATGCGTTCCAGTTCTGATTCAATTACTCATTTTTTCCCCTGTGGACTGAAGTTCCATTTCTCGTAAATGGTCGCACAGCATATGAGGACTTACACATATGTAACAATGGCGGATGTGAAAAATTACCTTTTTGAAACACGCTCAAAAAACTGTTTCGGCATCGAGGAAATCTTGAGAAAATACTTGTGATGTGATCTTCGAGATCTGTTCATTACGCCAGAGGCAAACATATTACATTTTTTTGTGACCAAAACAGTTTTTTAAGCTTGTTTCGAAAATGTAATTTTTTACATCCGCTATTGCTATAGATAGGGCCTCATATACATATACATTTCACTTTTATTTGTGTAATTAAAATTTTCCCTGGTTTCTCATTCCGGCAATGCTTCATCTGAGCTGCAGATAGCTAAAAGACATTTAACTTCCTCAGGTAATGACAGGAGCAACTGCGTTTATCGGCTCAGTGACAGCCATATTCATCTTGCAAAAGACCGGAAAAAGACGGGTGATGCTCTTCTCGATGGCGGTCAACTTGTTAGCCACGTTCATCCTGGCGATTTATGCCACTTTCTTTACACACACGGTAGACATGACCGTGTCCTGGATTCTCATCGTCACATTCGGCATCAGCTACTTTGTCGGTTCCCTCGGGATCAATAACATCCCGTGGATGATGCTCTGCGAGGTATTTCCTGTCCGGTAAGTCTGCTCATTAAAAATAAGTCACCCATTTCGAGAGACAGATCGAGGTCCTCTAATCATTGCTCCTACGACGTAAGAGCGTATCTCAATGTCTACGTGAGCCCTGTTTTACGTATAAATCCATGTTTTCTAGGGCTCATGCGGAAATAAAAGTACGCCCTCACGCCGGAGGAGCGATGGTACACAGGGTGCCCCAGAGTTAAACGGCCATACTGCATGAGCGTGTCCTATGGGTAATAATAAGGCATTTTTCTTTCCGTTTTTTTCCAAATTGCCTTGAATAAGCTACGTTCCTCACCATAATTTGTCTTAAAAAAGCATGGTTTTTTCTGAATTTTGGCAACGGTTGAACAATGAAACGGCTGAAACTCACGAAAAAGAGGTAGCCCTATATCAATTTTTAGCGCTGTATTTATTCATGGCCTCAAAACTATGGATGTCTCAAATTGAAGGGAGTTTTGGAGGTTTTGGTTTTTTTCGAACAAAAACTCAGAGTAATGACCCTGACATCAAATACCATATAACTTAGCCGAAATATCTCAAATTATTTCCTCAGCAGAAAATTTGGTTAGTTCGCACTGAACTTTTTCAAATTTTCCGCCCCCGCTGGCAGTTTTACTTTGTCGGAGCAATCAGATTTGCTCAAAGAGTGTCACAAGAAAATCTGACCTAAATAACAAACGATCTTGATATTTTCTCAACATCTATCTCACGTATAATTACATTGGGTTAAAATCATTCATTTTCAAACCGCAAAGAAAGACGGAGAAAGCAAACCCTTGAAACGTATTAGAACCAACCGTAAAAAAAACATTTTGCGAAACTGTTTGAGTGTGTGTACGCGTGTAATATGTGTGTGATTTGTTATCATCTAAGAAGAAAAATTAGCTTTTGCTCTCTCATCCCCTTTCTCTCCCCTTATCTTGCCTCTTTTCTTATTTGCAACGACACGAATTCACAGGGATAAAACATGCGTCATATTGTTATTTTGTCTGAACTTTCTCACGCGATGGCACATGTTCCTCCGGATACAAAATAAGTTTCGAAGTAAATATTTTTGGACGTAATGGAGGTTACTCTATATATTTACTCATTTTTCACTCTTCGAGTGGCTGCATGCATGATGCACAATTGATCACACTGATTAAATCACACTTCTCGCTTAATTGCTGCGAGATCTAGTGCGTATTAGTGGTGACTCCGCATTCTGCGACAAAGAAGCTATCAAGTCGAGTGTTTTGCTGCTGTGCCACGAGGTACAATAGTAAGTACCTAATGTGCAAGCATGAGCCCTGGTTGGCACGTTTTCTTAAGTGCTTGAGGGCTCAACCCGAAACAGACCCTCTACTGTCTCTTGCGGCGAGCAGTTGACATCAGTCGACTGAGCCGCCTTGCGTCGCAAGCGCAAAATGTAAGCATGGCGTCTTCACTTGACCCTTCTGGAATATTTTCACTTCACGAATAAGCTACGAGTGCTATTAATCGCTGAGCAAATTTGCCTCTCCAGAATCCTATTCCAATCGTATTGCTCTGCTTTAATAAAAATAAGAAGAAAATAGTATCTGATACGTGGAGTGTTACTTGAGTGTTGACTGAACTGATCTAAAAGTGTAGAGAAGAATGTGGAGATCGATGAAAAAGCAAGTTGGATGCCGTCACTACACCGTTTCCCTCCTGAAGGAACGTAACTGCATTCAAATGTTGCCAAATTCCACCTCTCAAATTGCTTTCTTACCAGGAGGGCATTTGGAATGTCTAACTGGAAATTCTATTAGTTTTTCGTCTGATCTCATGCAAAAATCGGTAAAATTTGAGACAAAAATTGCATCGATGCATTCTTGTGAAGAATTGAATCGTTTCAGTCAATTTTGCAACCTTGGAACGGATTTAAGTTCCTTCGCCTGGAAAACGACGACTTTTCCAACACGATCCGACTATGATACTCGAATGAAAGCAGTGTGATTCTGGAGCCCAGGCAAATTATATCATTAATAAGATGTTAGTGTAAAACTGCCGTCCAAATTAAGAACGCCGTATCTCCATTCGACGTTTTTCCGATTTTTCTCTGATAACATTCTGTTTCACGAGAAAACTAGCAAATATTCATCCTTCATTTTTTCGAGTCGATTTTGGCATACCATTAAAAACTCAAAATTAAAAGAATGAAGCCTCATCACACAAGGATTTTCTTGTATTAGAGCAGTATGTGTGGAAGAAAAATACCACATTTGTAATGGAGTTACGGCGTTTTTGCTGTGGGAGGCAGAAATTCTTATCTCTAGTAGCCTGGTTACACGCTCAAATTTCCGTCAAATTCCGATCAAAATGATGACCAAGATGGCGGTCGAGAGTTATCTAGATTGAAATAAGCATGCAATAAGCACGGTTGTGTGGAAATCAGATGAAGGATGAGCCCCACAGCTCCATCATCTACCATCAAATTTTTGCAGGCCGAAGAAATTTGATGGTAGATGGTGCGCACCAGTCACCATTTCTTTGGAAATTGATGGAAATTTGAGCGTGTAACCAGCACACAATGCCGTTATACTGTAATCACTAATTTTCTACGTGTGTTTCTTCCCGCAGAGCGCGTGGCATCGCTTCCGGTCTTTCAGCCGCTTGGTCGTATTTCGTGCAGTTCGTCATGACCAAGACCTTCCTCCAGACGGAATCTTTGATCGGGCTCAGTGGAATGTTCTACATGTATGCGCTGATCAGTGTAGGTGCATGCATCTACACGTACCTGTGCGTACCTGAAACCGAGGGCAAATCACTGGAGCTTATTGAGACGTACTTCACGAAGAACTGCGACAGGAAACAGAAATTCAGGATGCTCAAGCGGGGAAGGAATCCTTCGAAAGCCTAAGGACGCTTTCCAAGTCTAGTTGAAAAGTCAAATCAAAATTCTCAAAAATTGGCAACACAGTCTCGACTCCATTTAAATGTACGTAAAAGGATCGATTTTTAGAATGGATTCAAAGGAGGAATAGTAGTGTTGCCAATTAATTAAAATCGCCAATGATGCAGTCTGATCTTAGATGAGGTGCAATTTTGGAGCCACCGTGCACCTTGGCATGGTTTCAAGGGAACGGCGTTGAAACAGAGATGAGTCGGCGCTATAACCGGGGCGGTAGAATGTAGCAATGAAGTTGCAGTTTTAAGAGCCGAAGAAAATGACCAGTGTAATAAGATAAGAGTGAAAAGATTAATCGCTAAACTGAGTAAATGCATGAACTTGTTGGGCAAGTTTTCGGAAAAACTGAACTATTAGTTAATTTGAGAGAGTAGTATACGGAAATAAAGAATTCCACTCCAAAATTACATGGGCCTCACGGGAGAGAAATAACACGCGTTTTTATGGAGTAATCCGGCCTCCTGTTTTACATGTGAGTATTACAGGGGGCCAGATTTCTCCATAAGAACGCGCGTTATTTTTCTCCCGTAAGGCCCATGTAATTTTGGAGTCGGAATCCTCATTTCCGTACTACTTGAGAGGAGCAATCGAGAGAGCTCACGTGTAATTTTTTTAGGTTAATTGAAAGACTAGACTGACCTTTGAGTTGAATGTAAGCGTCAGCGTATATGCTGCTACTCATACTTGCTGAAAATATGTTGCTGTAGCTAACTATCCATTATTAAGATAGTAAATTACATATACGTGATATTTTATTTCCTTATGATACCTGGTGCATTGATGTGCAAAAATTAAGGTGACATGCAAGTGTAGTAAAGAAAAATATAATTATTACTACCACTATTTGATAAGTAACAAAAATACCAATTCAAAAAGAATTAATTCGGTGCCTGATACAGTGATACATGACAGTGATAAAGAATAGGTTTGAGAAAATAAAGTCAAATTTGGTTTATTCAATTACCTTAGTGTATGGTGCAAGAGGTTTTCTCCTCTTTTTTGCGTTAAACTTAAAGACGAAAATTGTTGAGATAATTATCGCGAAGATTTGGACAGTGGTTAGGGAGAATATGTATTATAAAAGATAAAAAAGTCTAATGCTTAAGCTCTAATACACAAACCACGAAACTGCGAAAAACTCCAACACTCAACGCCATCTAGGGAGGAATGAAAATCATTTTATCCTGTAAAAATGTATAATATTTGTACTTGTGTGGTATAATTGTAAATAAAACTTTTTATATGAATTGTACTTGAAGTTTTAATAAATTATACACATTTCGTTTGAAAAATACCTCTGAAATGGTACAGGGATAAAATAACAAGATCGAGGCACGAATAAAACAGCCAGGATGCCGTCGATATTTCACCTTCACAACACCAATAAGCACGAATATTTGCGTTAAAATCACACCATTGATGCCACATCCCCCAACAATAAACCAAGATACGATCTGTATTCTTGGAGGATTCTTGATTTTAGGGTGAGTCATCTGATCCAAATAAAAGAGAAGATCATTAAAAATTAAAACAACCATACATTTTCTAACGGCTCAGAAATTTTTAAGGAATGGGTGTGTACCGTAATCATTCGTTTTTTTTCACTGGATCTACTATATGAATATCTTTGACGGTGCAAATAAAAGGGCCTTAAATGAAGTCTGTTGACTGTAAGTTTTAAGGTCTGATGGTATGGTTTTGAAGTACCTAACAAGAATGGCTCTGATTTAAAAAAAAAAAAAAAAAAAAATGGATCTGAAAAAGTTTTTTTAATTCATGCACATATACTTATTAGTATAACTTATAAAAGACCAAATGAGGCAAGGAGGGAGGAAGAACAAAAAATTAAGTATTAAGAAGTGTGCGAGAGAAAAAATGACAACGCTGCGATGCGATGATGGACGTGACATTAATGATAAAGCCTGGATACAACTATACGCACTCTTCGGTTGTCCGCGTTGCATAGCCTAAAAATTTAAGGCGTTCTGGCTGTATCATATCCTTCCAAACTCAGATGTCAATCTCAGAGCCATTTCTATCCCTGTTACAGCTGCTGTTTTTATTTCAAGTCATCTCAATTAAGTCGCCTTGAGTCAAGTGAATTATTTGCCTCATTTTATTTCCCTGCTTAATTTATTTTATACTCCTAAAATTCTGACAATTGAAATGAATATAAAACACTTTTTTGAAACCACTGGAGGGTCACAAGTTTATAGAGGACCACCTCTCGGTACAAGCTGTGGTACTTTCTCGATTCACTTGACAGTGGTAAAACTAGCCTAGAAATCTTGACGCTAATCTGCGAGTTGTGACATGAGTGACCCTGTGCAGGACAAATTAAATAAGCGAGGCCTGCGCGTGGAGCCGAGCAGACGAGCCACTGTTGTGAAATTGTGGTAGCAATTAATCAAATTCACAATCATCATCGGTGAAAAAAACGAAATTTCTGTTTACCTGGCACCCTTAGGATAGAGCGATGTTGCTTAGTTTTGAAACAAAATGCTGAATTCGTTAACGCTAACAGCCCTAAAGGGCGGCAATACGTTACCAATTTTTACCTTAGAGCTAGACGCAATACAAGTTTCAAAATCAATCTACAATCCTACCAAAAATATTATAACACATATACTTATGATAAAAATAATTCAACGGACAAAAATAAAATTAATGCATGTTTAAAATGTACCCTTTTTCGTTTTTTGGACATTTTCAAAAGATTTGGAATCAATCAGTAAAACAAATAGTTCATGAGTTTAAATAATGCGTTGCTAAGAGCATTTATAGCTACCATGAAGACACAAGAAAAAAGCTTCTCTAGATTGCATCGTTTTGCATAGAAAAAACATCAAAAGATATTTCTGTGGAAAACGTTTCAAAAAAGTACATATATATCTGCAAAAGGCAAGAATGAGTTACTGAAAATGTTGTGCATCGCGCATTACCAAGCATCATTGAAATCATCAAAATATAACAGGGTATATGTTGCAAACCAAAACACATGGTTTTGTCGTTTTGCCATTAATAAAAAGTTAAAATCCTAATAAGCATAGAAAATTGGCAACGGTGGAGATTTCATCCCCTTGGCATCACTCGCGGGCGAGCCTGTTTCATGCGAGCGACGGCCGCGCTTCGGGACCGTGCAACGGTCCTCACAACGCGAATCGAAGAAATCATTTAAACTAACTTTCCCTGATAAGTGTTTTTTTTAAAAGAAAGGTGCTGGTCTCAGTTTTCGTCGAGTGGTTTTCTACGCTGTGGAGTGCTTTGGACAGTGAAATATGGAGGTGGATATGGTTCCGTTCATATTCGGGAGTTTCACGCGAAAGAATAAGACGGTCTCGGAGGACAGCGGCTCGTCCAAGAGGAGGTCCTCGGAAAATGAGACGGAACAAACGACCACACTGTCGTCAAGAAAAGCTAAATACAGGTAAGGCAGTCAATTTTCAGTGAACTTAAGGATAGCTGTTGACCACAAATCTTATTAATAATTATGTTCCAGATCATAATTTTATAGTTCCACTTCACAGATTAGCCAAAAATAATACACTCTACCCAAGCATCACGTTTTTAGGTCAGTATCAATAGAAATGCCCCTCAGAGAACAGTTTATAAGAAAAGGTAAGCTCCTTAAATTTAGTGACTGTGCAATTTGAGCTACAGGGAAGTTGGTATGGTCGTATCATATACTTTAAAAAATTATGTTTGGCTTCTGGAATGTGAACTACACCGTATTGCTTTACCAGTCCTGAAAAGAAATTATTGGCCCATGCAAACGATATGATAAAAGAGTGAGCGACAATAGTGATAAATAATAAAATTTAATCAAAATTGAATCCAGACAGAAATGGTAATTTTCCCCTATACATTAAAATTCAGTACAAAACCTGAAAACCTCACGACTCAGACAGAAATATCATTCGAACTAAATATTTTCCTGAAAGAGAAATGATATTATAATATTTTTGGTTTTATGCCGAATTTTAGTGCAGGGTGGCATTTCCATCTTCGCCTAAACGGTTCTTTTGTCGAACCATAATCCGTTCGTAAATTGAATTAAATTATGCGAGCATTTCAAGTGTTGTTCATCATGCTGTTGCACTGATTATTACCTACAGCTCATCTAGATTTTAATGGTGATGTGCTTGAGACACTTAATGTATGTAGATGCGCATCACTTATTTACAAGGCTACGGTAGAATAAACCTAGCAATGCACCCATGCAAAGTTGAGGACTGAATCACTCAACATGTATTGTAATAATGTTTTTATCTATGCAGGCAGTTCAGAATTGAAAATGGGAAGATGCAGTGTGACGTATGCAACCAAGAATATATGCAGCCCCGGACTTTACCTTGTCTCCACACATTTTGCACAAATTGTCTTATCAGACTCACCGTTCTATCGCAGACATCATCTCAACAAGTTTCTGGCAGTGAAAATCCAGGTATTTTCACTTGAATTTTTATGATAGGGAAGGAGGCTGTTCTTTGAAAGTGTTTGGCAAATTCAAATGAACTTTTGCATGAAAAAATTGTTTGAACTTTGAATTCAATTTTTGCAATTTTCAAAATTTTTAAATGTTTGTTTTTTGTCAACAAAATAAAATTTAGTGTAAAAATCAGTTTGTAGGTACCTTTTCTGCTGAGGTGCTTCCTTCCTACCGACCAAGAAAAGGAAAAATAATTTCATAAAATGTTCTAATGTTATGTCTGGTAGTTTAAAATAGAAATATTTCCATTTACTGGAGAGGGGGGGGGGCAAATTTCACAAAAAAATAGAAAAATCCTGCCCGTCAACTAACGAGCAAACTAAATGCATTTTCCGTTTAAGACATAAATAATTCCTCAATGCAGCCTGATTTATCGGAAATTCCAAGATGATACTTTCCTAACACTTATATTATTAAACTTGACCGCGTTATACACGACCATAATTATTTGTGCTGATATTTTGAAGCATTCCAAAGTTTATGTACACAGAATTTTCTCAGAAATTCTCCAGCTTTACATCAATGGAGCACATTCAAGTTTGAAAACATGCAGGAACCAATGAGGATGAGGTATTATCTTCTTCGTAAATGCACCTTTCCCGGAGAACGAGTATAAATTAAGCCGTTTATCCTTGTGAACTTGAACGTTGAACTAAAATCGATAATACATTGATACGCGGGTGGCTGTCGCGATGCAAGGTCCTGTCGGAGTAACCGGCTACTGTAACTTAATCGCCAGATCTCATAAAATGAATTTTTAAATTTTTTGTCCGTTCGGCAACAGGGCAGCGGCTGCAGACCTGTGTATAGCGGTAATGTGATTTTCACAGGGTTGTTATATCTTGCAATAATTGAGTGAAATCCGTCGATTGAATAATGATTGCCCGAAGGTTTATTGAATAAAAAAAAATAAAATCATGTCTCGTTTAAGAATGCATACATAAGTGGACCTCGGTTTGAGATACGGAAGTACAATATCTGCCTCATCCAAGAAAACATTCCACACAGGGAAGCGAGTGACACATACATTTTCTCTGATATAAGCTGGAAATTGTAGTTCCTTATTGCAAAATATGGTCCTTGCATGTGATCGTCTACGGAGAGAGGGATTAGGTATATGCTTGGCAAAAATTGAAGTCTGATTATTTAATGATACAAACGCACACAGAAATAATATTTAAACATTTTTCTACAGAAAACACCAACATGCATTTCCAAATAAACTCAATGTTTAAATGTTTAACATTTTAACGTAGTGGCTCATTAACAGAAAGCTCTGAAAAAAAATTCAATTTTAAAATAAGAAGGTCAAGGAATTTTGAGATCTTAAAATCCAAATTTTCGACCAAATTCCGCAAAAATTACCTACACCTTGGAAAAATCATTGAGAAGTTTAACTGTTTCTCACCCAGTCGATGGCGAGGAAGACTCTTTGGGGACGCAATTTAATGATTCTTCGACCTGCATAAGGGAATCATACCAAGTATATCATCATCATTAGTATCATCTTATAATCTCTCACATCAATTCATTGACGGAACTGGGGAGAGCATAGGCGGACCAATGCCACCTGCTATTTCAACTCAATTTTATTCACTGTAAAAACAGTTCAAAAAAGCTCCGGAGACATTTGAATTTTTTAAATAATTCTGATGACCCCCACCCCCCTCAAAGTTTTTTTCTTGAGATCGACAGAGTTCCTCTGGGCTCCTTTAAGGAAACTGGGTAAGGAAAACTCATGTGCTCTCTCAAAATTGACTCCTCATTATGAGCTTATATTCGTCCGATATTGGTATTGTAAAAGAATCCATGCATGTAATCATTTTGCACACTACAGTCATGCGGAATGTTGGGTTCCTTTCAATTTACATTTAAATTAGAAAGTTTCGACTTTTCGTCCCTAAAATTATATACCGGGCATAAAAAATTGGAGGGAAAACAGTCCCTTTGGTCGAAGTGATTTTAGCCGCAAGCCGGCAACACACGCAAGTAAGACGAGCGAAAAAAACACCTGCATACGCTTCCGCCTTTTGAAGCCTTACAAGGGTGTCCTACTCCCCTCCTCCACCCTCTATCCCCCTGCATTTTTGCGCCGAGGTAAAAACCTCTTTTGTTTTCAGGAATCCCTCCAATTCGTCCGATTTGTTGTGATTTGTTCGTGATCCCTTGTCGGGTATTTACTGCACCTCCGACGTAAATAAACTGGACGTCATTAAATAAAACCCATCTATCTGCACACGGACTTTCAAAATTAAAAACTTAAAAAACAAATAAAATCGGCTGTGTAGATAAATCTATTTGCTCGGTTACATTTAAAACACGCATTATCGAAAATTATCTTGTCAAAATAAACATGATATGAATCGAGGAGATTATAAGGTGTGCGACTGCTCAAATTGGTTCATGACTCCAAGGGGTGTTAGGACGTAAACCTCGGACTTTGCGTGTCCTTACTATAAGACCAGTATTTTAGGGAAGACTTACGCTTTATGAGTCATGACGTTTGTCACCTTCACAGAAAAAACTGAGTTTTCAGTAAGTAAAAAATACACGAAAAATGGGTAACCAAGGCTAAAAAACAACGAATAATAAAGCCTGGGACGTTTCGAGGTGTTTCAACTCCCTCTTAGACCAGGATACAAAAATATTGAACAAAGTATTCAGTCAGTAAAGAGATTTTTCTCTCATAGAGTCAGAGAATCAGACTTTGAGATTTCGACAAAAAAACTCTCCGTACTGTCGTAATAAATTGCGAACAATTTTGTTCGTTTTTACACAAATGACGGCTTTGAAATCAAAAAATTCTGCACGGTGAACATGAATTACATTTTCAAATAATGTTTATCCAACCACGCTGGTTCAGCTAGAAACTTAAAAACGCACTAGCTCAGGTTTGGCTGGACAGTTTTTGGCGTTCCTCATCTCAAAATATTCATTGAACACTCATGTATGCTTTGGTATCAAAAACACGATCATCGGTTTTTGTAGTGCAGCCGCGTGGTGAATAACGCGATAAGCTAATACATGAAAGGGTGACTTTTTCGTTAATATTGGACGTAGAAATTGAAACGTTTTCAGAGTTACCTAGAAATTTGACTTTTTGACTTACCTCCTTTTTAAAATAACTAATTCTACTGTAAGGCTGCTCCTAAAGGGGCACACTGCGGCCCGATCCTAAAGCGTTGTGATGATGCAAACAAAGTTAACATAAATTGGAAATCTTTCATACAGGGACAATGGAATCAAATCAGGAGAGTGAAAAATCCAGCAGATATGGAAGTGGAAGCGGCAACCAAAACGATGGCTCAAACGGCTCTGGGTCAGGCTACGACAGCGAGCAGGGCAGTAACTACTCGGCTGAAAACCCGCATAGAGTAAGTGGAACAAAAATTGTACTAAAATTTGCAATAAGACACTATTATTCTTGGCTCCTATTACTACTTAACCTATTTTATGTCTAAGGCTGGAGGCACTACATGCCACAGACCTAAATGATAAGTCCAACACTTATCATACGTTTCCTATACTTACTACACACAATTAATTTAATTTAAAACCTGTCAATGGATACCATATATTTGTAATTTGGTATAGTAGTGACTTGTAATATTGAATTATATCAATAAATTGCATGCCTTATTGCATGAATTAATTACAAAGTTTTGAGGAAAAAATCTGCATTGTATAATATAATACTAAGATTTGGAAGGAAGTTGAAAGGGGATTTTGGAAAAAACAGAGTCCGGATTCTTTTTTCCCTTTTTAGTGTGGAAATGTGGAGATTATACTCCCCCCCCCTCCTTAGAGTAATATAGTCTAAAACGCCCGCGGCCGTTCAAAAATTACCACACAAGACAAACAGAATATGAATTTCCTTAAATCGCCCGGATGCAACTATTCGGGCTCCACGGATGTCCGTGTTGCATACGCACGGAAGAGAAGGCGTTTTGATTCTCCGAGCACTCATTGCCTCATCCGTGTGTGGCGCGGCATTGCAAAGGTGGGTTGTACCGAAATAAGGATCCAAAATAACAGAGCTGCCTTTAATTCTTTGTTAATACTACAATCACACAATACAAATGTACTAAACTTGCGGTTTTCAACAAATCTATTATTTCTAGAAAGCGCACATTACCTGCCCAACATGTGGGTACGAGTGCAAACTGTCTGCCGATGGAGTTTTCGCTCTTCCGCTGCACGGACTTCTTCAGAGTCGGATCTTGGCCCAACAGGAGGACATCGCTATCGAACTTTGCCAAGCAGATGCCGTGGTAAGGAGACCGCACACATAAAATCTGCTCTTTAATCAGTCTTAGTGGTTGTCCATCGATCGTTCTTCACGTTCTTTTCATATGAAGAAAATATAAAAAAATATTTTACATACGGCCTTAATAACGGAACATACTTCACAAAAGACCGAAGCCTCCTTTAAAAAGCACCGCACCTTTGAAGTCAAAATCGCAAGATTACGAATCGGTCATACTTTTTCCTCTCATTCTTATTTAATTTCAAAATCTCCATTTTCATTTTGCTCTCTATGTCAACATCCTTCCCTTACAATCGAGTATATTTTGCTATATTGCCCAAAATTCTATGCTACACGCACAAAAATTTAAAATACCTCACTTTCAACATCCATCCAGCTCTGATGATCCAAAAGTAACTCCCGAAATTTTGAAGCTCTTGAAACAGGTCAATATTAAAGTTTGAGGTAAATTTCTGCTCTCCGACGTAAATAGCCTAGACGTTGCTGATCGTCGCAATTAATTAACTAACTATCCAATAATATTATCAAGCCGGATGTATGTTGAGCTGAAGTGTGTTCATAGTCATGAAAATACGTAAGTGAAATCAATTTGGGATAATATGTATTAAGGTGTAAAGCAAGAGGGTCGATACCTCTTTAACTTAATTTAACGCGCACCTGTGCATAACTGTGACTGAAATGTACCCATCCTCCGGCTTAAAGTTTCACTCCAATATTCCGAAGGTGTAGATTATTTTGTGGTATTATTTACACTGAAAATTAATATTCAATGAAGTTCCTCTCTGTTGATCCAAAAAATGATCCACGTGAAATCCAAGAGAGAATCAAGAGATCAGTATGTGCGCCTACAAATGCCCTCCTAAAGGGAATTCATTAAAAAAAAAAAAAAAAAAAAAAAAAAAAAAAAAAAAAAAATCACGTTTATGTTTTAGAGTTCCCTGTGGAGAGTTCACTGAGTTCACTTGTCTTTTTTTCTTCTTTTTTTGTACCACAGATACCACTCAAAAGATAATCCTGCACTTACAATCTAATTCCAATCGTTCCTCAGTCCCTAGACTTAGGGAGTTTTCAAGAAATTGCGTTGACTGCTTTTCGAAGTAAAAATAAATATGGCAGGAAGTTTGCAACGTTTAACGTTGGAAACAGGGATACGTGCTTTTGCACTTTGGCCATCAATAAAGAATGCCTAGTCTGAGATCTTGCCGAGTGGTCAACTTCATTGTGTGCTGACAAATTATTCCGTTCGCTTAGATCGTTTCTGAATATTGTTTGCAGGAAACGTGTCATATTCACCCTGGAAGAGAGCTGATCATGTTCTGCACCCGGTGCAACCAGCTAGCGTGCCGCGACTGCTGGATCCTCATTCACCGCGGCCACTCCTGCGACACGGTCAACCACTTCATGACCGTCTCCATTCCCAGAATCAACGAGGCCATCATGAAAACCAAAACAGTTCACAAGGAGGTCGCACTCAGCCTTAGCAGGCTCCAGAGCCTCGAGGAAAGAATACAGGTGAGCCTCCCCCAGATGAAAATTGGGTGTATTTCTGCCAAACGGAATTATGTGCATTATAAGACATAATCCCTGAGACCCATATGCATAACTGGGCTCAAGTCATAACGCACGTCTATGGGTTATCATGCACTTGTGGATGCACAGTGGATTCGAGTCAATTAGAGAAGCCGGACAAAATTTGAAAACTTTAAACGCTCATAACTCCGTTCGTACAAAACTTTGAGGTTCTAAAGGTGGTTTAATGGGTTTCCTCATGAAATTTTCTCCTACAGACACTCCTTAAAATTTGAAATGTGACGCAATATTCATCACAATCCCATTTTTTTTTTCGCGGCGCGCAGTGGATCGAGTCAATTAGAAAGGTCGCGTCGGACATGAAATTTTTACTAAAACTGCTTTTGATCTTCATTTCATCACATTTTAAATTCTGAGGGGTGTTTTCAGCAGGAAATTTCATGAAGAAACCAATGGACCCATTTTTAGAGCCTCTAAGTTTTGTATGATCGGAGTTATGAGCGTTTAAGGTTTCTAAATTTTGTCCGACGTCTTCTATTGACTCAATCCACTGTGCGACGGTCAATTAATGGTTGTATCTGCGAATGATTGCAGAGGAGGTGCAAAGAGGTGGAGGCGGAGGTGGACCGATGGGTGACGTCGTACAAACGGGCCATCGACGAGCACCGCGTGAACCTCCTGCGAGAGGTAGCGCAGATCCGACAGGCGAAACTGGAGCAGGTCCAGACGCAGAAAGAGGGGCTGGCCGGACGAGCCGCCCACGTCAGCCAGGCCGTTGCCTTCACTCAGGACCTCCTCGCTGAGGCTTCGGACACAGAGGTAAGCTACTACACTGGAAAAAAAAAACACATTGGATCTAGAGTCCAGACTCTTGAAAACATTGACAAGAAAAAATACTCTTGATTCAATCGGATTTTTGCTTGAATCAAAACGAAATCCGCTTAATTTAAAAGGCTTGGTTCTTGAATTAAGCTAGATTCTAATTGAATTAAGAGGACTTTTTCTTGTCGATGTTTTCAACAGTCTGGACTCTAGATACAATGTGTTTTTTTTTTTTCTTCTTCTTTTTTTTCTTTTTTTCAGTGTACACCCGAAATTCTCATTTGTATATAGATCTTCTGTGATAAGAGAAAACATCGTGTTCATAGGTTTTTAGATTTCTGTAAAAAAATGTTATATTGAGAAAAGTTATGAGTATTTATTGCCTGAAAATTTCAGATACAGAATGAAAAAATTGTAAACTAAATCTCTGAAGATTTTGAAGAAAAATGATCAATATAATTAAAAGAAAATTCGTGAGCCGCGGGGAATTAATTTGGCAAAAGCTGGTTATTAATTCTTTGCTAGTGACGTTGAAGAGTGACAATAAGCCTTAGTTTTGGCTCTTACCGAGCGAGGTATATGAAATGAAGGTATGCCCTGCCGCCACAGACTACACTGTAAAAAAAAGCACACTAGATCTAGAGTCCAGACTCTTAAAAACATCGACAAGAGTACTCATGATTCAATCAGAATCTAGCTTAAATGAAGAACCAAGTCTCCAGGGCCGGATTTACTCATTTGCCGCCCATGGGCCGCCTATATTTTGCCGCCCCCTTCTCATTCGTTTTGAAACATCAATAAAAACCATTAAGTGAACGTTCCGGAGGGAAAGAGGCGTATAGGACGCGTTTACTCGTGTTGGTCACAGTTTTTGCGAAAGCCCTGTCAACACTACTAGCAAAAGTTCACGGAGCTTGGCGCAAAAGTTAAATTCCGTAAACCTATCTCTGTACGAACAAGGCCCTCCATTTATAAAAGATGAACCAAACAATTATGAAAGAACAAACATAAATGTGGTTTAATAATTGTAACTTCCGCCGCCGCGCTGACCGCACTGTGTTTGACGCAATGCGTGCGAAGTATTCTTACAGTCTTACATGCGCTATGCGTTTAGGGGCGACCGATGCTGCACGCACTGTGTTTGCCGCAATGCGTGAAGTATTCATGCAGTTTTGTAGGCGCTATGCGTTTCACGGCGCCCGCTGCTGACCGCAGCGACCAGTCCTGTCTTTGGCGCAATGCGTGAAGTATTCATGTAGTCTTGTAGGCGCTAACATGTTTTACCTGCCGACCGCCGCGCCGAGGGTTTCTCCTTTTCATCTCACGTTCTCGTCACCATTGCTGTCTGCGCCGCGCCGCGCCGTTCTAGGCCAAATTCCGTGTTCGGTTTCTCTCTTAGTCTTAACTCGACTAATTGAAGGTGCTGTCTATTGTGTCACAGAAGGACGACAAAATTAGAGATTTACTCTCAGGAAATGAGAGATTTGTCACCTTTTCTCGTTCGTAATTTTCTTTTCTGAGTCCGATTTTTCTTCATAGCTACATTTAAAAAAATTGCAAAATTTGCCGCCACCTAACTTTGCCGCCATGGGCCGCGGCCCATGTGGCCACCCCCTTAATCCGGCCCTGCAAGCCTCTTAATTTAAGCGGATTTCGTTTTGAAGCAAAAATCCGATTGTATTTTTTCTTGCCAATGTTTTCAAGAGTCTGGACTCTAGATCCAATGTGTTTTTTTCCCAGTGTGCTTACTCAAAATCTACAAGAAGCCTCGTTCTGTTCGTTCCGTTTCAGTCGTGGTGAGAATTTGAAAGGAAAAATTTCAGATTATGCAAATTCGACCCTCATTGGTCCAAATGTCTCTCTGTATAGGGGCGATTGGACCAATTAGAGTAGAATACTCTAAAATCCGCATTTTTTTTTAAACTTCCCACCAAGCCAAGGCTATAACGGTGTGTTAATTTTGGGCGCTAAAATCGGAGAAGAGCATACCTTCGTTTAAATCATACCTTAGGTTCTGATGGGCACTTCACGAGTGTTTCATGTTAGGGGACTGGGGACATAAAGTGGACTCTCATTACTACAGATAATGATGTTTCAAAAATAGTTATTTTTTCCAGTTTAAAAAAAATATATCTCGTGCAGAAAAATGGGGAGAGGAGGTTAAAAAAAAAATCTCTGCGATATTAAATTTAAATGACTCAAATGGTGCGTTGGCTCAAGTTTTTGAATGATATCATTAGGTTGTAATGATGCTGAGTACAGTGCTGAATCGCCTGGACTGGTGCGTGAAAAATACGCCGAGTGGACCGAGTTTCCGCGTATCCGACTGTATTCAGTTCCTTCCCGAGGAGAGAGCATGCGTCATACGCTCTCACACAATTTATGGTGTTGTGACCACACAAGCCGTATCACCTTATCATTGCATCATTGAGGCAGACGGTAAGCACCTTTCAAAACTAGTTTGGATCGAAAATAATTTCATATATTTCAAAACGTACACATTTCTTATTTTAGCTCTTTGCTTTATTTGCAAATAAACGGTTCATCTTTTTCAGGACACAAAATTTCAAAAAAGTGCATTATTATTTTTATACTTGTTTACTTATTACCAAAGTAAATAATGATTAGGAAAAGAAGGCATATGTACAGTAACAGAGCTAGCATCAAATTGGTCAAGAAGGAAATTTAAATATCATTTATTGTGAGGCATTTTATGAACAACGCAAAAATAAATCCTCGAAGAAGTAAATTTTGCGGCAAGCGATGTGTTCTCTTGTCTATTTCAAAAATTGAAGGCGAAATAGGAATGCGCGTGATTTTCGTGCCCTCTACGTAACAATTCTGCATTCCCTGAATTTTGACCGAGAAAATGCCTTAGTCCTAATGTATTTAATCGTATCTCTCTACGCGGGAGGAGGAGAAGGAGGTTTAGGAGAGGGAGGTTTAGGATGAGGAGGATGATGAGGAGGATGATGATGTGGTCTCTTTTTGTGGCCGCCACCGTGATGCCCTTTCTTCCTTAGTCTACTGCCGTGCACTTCCTTATACACCTGGAAAACAAAAACATGAAATACGTAGGGAAAAGAAGAAACAGAGGCTGTCATTCCGCATTGTTGATGTCTCACTTATAAAACGTCCCATCGTCCCATGCTCGAAGACTGTAATCACGAGATCCAAGAATATCATGTCATCCGCATAAGATTAAGTTGGAGGTTAGTTTCGCAGTTGTAGTAAATATAGATACGCTATGTTTAGGACTCATAACTATAAAGAATCTCTATTTCCTTTACATGAGAAACGCAATAAGTGATTAAATATTTCGTAACATATTTTATGAGATACTATGCTAGATAGCGTCATTCATTAAAAACTCAAAATAGGGCTACATCGCATGACTTATGACGACAGAAAATAAGATGTCTCGGAAAATGTTCTCTCCAGCACTAAGATACCTTTTCCCTAGAACAAATACATTGTTAGAATAAGCATTTTTATTTTCGATTCCAATGTTTCAATTAAAGAGGTTTGGACTTACTCTTCCGTTAATTGTCACCGTTCCTCTCCGAGACAGTTCCTGAAAAAAAAACACACATTCTTGCTAGAACTATACAGAATTAAAGACTCTACAAGCATGTTCTTGACAAGATTTAATGGCGTTGCACGGCTGATTGTGAGATGTGTAAGATGCACTGTTCACACGCTGTAACAGTTTGAGACCAGCCCTGCTCAGAATAATCAGAATAACCTCAATTTCGTGACTCACATAGTCTTTGCGTAGTAATTAGCGAAATCTTCCATGGAAATCAAATTGAATATCGATAGTTCAAGTCAATTTACATGTATCTTCGACTGCAATGTTGAAGATCCTTGCGTTATTATTGTATTGCTCTAAAAAAGTTGAACAAAAACTTTTCTTGATATTTTTTGTGAATTTTCTTCATTCACTGAAAAAGTTTCGTGGAAAGTTTCAAGAAAACATTTTGTTAAAATTTCCTCAAAAAAGTAAAAAAATAAAATGAAACATACTTGAAAATATTGAGACGTTGCAATGTAGATAAGTAATTCAATCATGGGTTTGTCTTTATTTTTTATTTTTACTTTTTCGCAGAGTTTTGGCTGCTGTATGATTTTGACACAAATAAGCATCGAATTTAATTTTTTCACAATATAATCATTAAGAGAAATATTTGCTCTTATTGTTAGTAAGTTGAAAGATTAGCTCTAGTGTTCAAACTTATCTCGCAGTATTTGCCTGAAATTTTTATTTGCTAATAAGATGCGACCCTCCAATTTTTCACATAAGTCAAAAAAACTCCCACATCCAGGTTCCCCTGCAACAATGTGCGAGAGAAACAGGCGACATTCCGCAGCAAGCACTTCTTTTATTGTTATTGCAACCTAGTTTTGCATAAGAAATTCATTTTTGGCTGGACCATGAAAGAACTTATCTAGGTGAGTAAGCAAAAAGCGCGTATTGTTCTTAAATGAGCAAAGAAGTAGTTTCTTATTGCAAAATGTGATTGGAATTTAATGTAACCTGAAAGGGACTATTCTCGGCATCTTCTAACTCGGCAAGTGGCGCTCTCTTTCGTAGGATAGAGTTCTCCATGATCTCATCTGGTTCTGCTGAAACATTGATGAAGAGACCTCCTCCAAGGAGCACCTGAAATCACACAAAATACAAGGATTCTGTCCGAAAATTTCCTTAAGTCATCGGTGCTTCATCGCTTATATATTAGCTTGCAGACTGCTTCCCAGTTTTTTATTTTTTTGTTGAGTATAGAGAACAGTCAGGCCAATTTCGATGAATTGTTAGGCGTGGGCACGTAACAATTTTTCGGCAAACTCGCGCTCTTCAAATTTTATCACTATCGGCCGGATTTTCATTGCAAGCATGCGATCCTTAAAAGTACCGCGATGATGGGGGAGGGGAACAAAAACAAAAGTACTGAATGGGATGACATTATAAAAATTGACTAGATTTTTTTTTTTGGTCCTGGATGAGTTCTCGCATGGAATTTGAATAGGTACCTCTGATTTGGATACTCCTAAGGGAGCGTTCATGAATTACATAACGCGATTGTCCGACATTTTCGACACCCCCCCCCCCCCNCCCCCCCCCCCCCCCGCAACGCTTCGTAAGATAACTCTAGATCCCCCTTTAATGATTACGCGTTGTTTGACGGAACTCACCTCTTAAAAATCCTAAACATTTTGGGAAACTGTTGAATATTTGGGTGGATAAAATTAGAGGGATTTCTAATGATAATGTGACCAAAACGTCTAATAAATGAGGATGGTATATTTTGGATTTTGTGGATGTTTTCCCAATGGAGAGGGTTGCGTAACGCTAAGCACTGACCTTCCTTTCCCTTTTGTAACGCAGCGTAACGTAGGCTCATACTCCTCTCTCTTCATTGAGCGTCACGTGTTTTATGAATGCTCCCTTTATGTATATTCATGAGTTCGATACAAAAAAGGCAAGTAAAATAAAACTAAAGGATGATGGAAGTATAATGAAATCTTCCGGCATTGAAAATACGTCAAAAATCATAGTTTGGTAGTTTTGAGCCTATTAATGAATCAGTCGATGTTAAAATCTAGCACGATCCGGAAACCAAAAAAATGAGTTTTTGCGGTACGTTCCTTTTTTTAGAGAGAGATATTATCTCGGTGAAGATACCGCAAAGCTTTTAAAACATTAATGTGATTGTAAAATAAAAAGTACATTCGTAGGCTAAGGAATTGCTCACTTATTCATGAAGTTACCTTTTTGCTTGAGGACACACCAATGGCACTTACGTCGTGTGAAATTTTAATCATTAATAAACATTCTTTTCTCTCTTGTGAAAAATGAATTTTCTAGACATTTCAAACTAACAGCAACTGCTTCATGTAGGAGTCACATACGTATCAAACGTATCAAAGTTCCAAAAAATTCCAACTTACTGTCTACATAAGTATATTTTTTTATACTTATTTTCTACTTTTGTTTTCGCATTTATCATTTCGTTCTTTTCTTTCATACGTTTATTTATTTTATTTATTTTTCACAATTTATTTTACTCACCAAGAGAAGGCAGGGCGTCGCTCTCAGAAGGAGCTGCCCGCGAGGCATTTTGAATCACTCACAGCCCTGTCACGGAACCGAACTATCCCATTCACAGTGAAAATTGAACGTTTTATACGTCTAGAGTTTTTAAAACATCTTGCCTCTACGAAACTAGACGTGGTTGCCATTCAAGAAAAAAAAACAATGTCGATTTCCCTCATTTCCGTGTTTGGAATTTGGCAATTTTCACTGTTTCTAGCAACTGTCAATCGGAGAATGTACGCAGGTGCGCCAAGAACAATATTTGCATTATTCAACCCAAACGTTAAATCGCGGTCCATACATTCGTGCGTTTTCAGTTTGCCAGTGTTTGCCGATGTTTGCGAATCTAGGCAAATTACGGTCTCATTAAAAATCCCGTCACTCCGCAAACTCTTTCATTCATCTTTTATTATTTACGACTTTTACGCACGATTAAAGACATTTCCTTAAAACTCCACAACCTAACGTTGTCAATGGTTGATTCACCAGCATTTAAACAATAATTTTCCAAAAAACATTGATCAGCTTACAATAATTGGTTGAGTGGTTCATTTGGTAACTTATTGTGATGGACAGAAGAACTTGATTATTTTCATTTAAGGTTGCTACAAACACAATTACGAGGGTAATCCCAAAAGTCTTGCGCGTTTTGCTCTCATTGCAGAACTATGAGAGATAGAGGAAATCCGATTAAATGCGCATATTAGGTCTTTTAACTTTAATTTAAGCCAAAGTTTTTTAAAATTGGATACACAAGACGTTCAGGAGGTCATTTCTCCCGCGCCAAAGTCGATGCGTTTCCCACCACCTCTAGGCGCAGAGTGTGCGTGTTAATTGTAGGTACAAGATGTGCGGACGATTGCGGCCAATCTGATCTGATCGCATTTAAATCCTCATCAATATTTTTAACAGGTTTTTAATATGTTGTTTTTTTGGGCATTCGATGATGAGTGCAATCGGTGTACTTTCGACACATGTGCACGCTTATTCTGTAAAGTGTGTTGTAAAGTTATGGCACTTTTAAAGCCAGAGAACTGTGAAGTTCGGTCAGTAATTCGATTTTTGACTTTGGAAGGTGTTGGGCCATGTGACATTATTCGTAGACTTGTGTCGCAGGAGAAGTTTTGTCAATGTGAGTTGAAATATCGCAGTAGGAGTTTTTTACAAATCGTTTCCGCAAATTCACTGATGTAATGATTTTTGACTTCACTTAAAACAATTTCACTTTGGATACTTTCTCAGTCGCATGACGAGGAAATAAAGTCGCGCAAGTCGCAAGCTGCAACATGACTCATTGACTTTTATTACCCATAGGCCACATGACATAGGTACATTAAACTCCGGGAATCCCAGCATTCATTTTCAAATCTTTCATCATTTGACAGTCATTGCATTTATAGCGTTGTTAATTTTACATTGCAAACTGCAATTTGTTATCGGTGCAATCTGTTAGACTCTTCCTCCGTCCCCCCCCTCCCCCATTCATTCCTCTCCGGCCTCGATTGCAATGTTCTCTCGCTAAATGCAAATGGATGAAACATGTTTGAAATCCAAACATGAAGGCGTCTTACGGCGGGAATGAGATCGATAGAAAGGGGCTCGCAAGTCCTCTAATGTCCTGAATGGTGTAGTTGTATCTATTTATCATGGACTAGTTTTCCATTTTTATATGTCGCAAGTAGTTAGTCAAATCAGGCATTTTGTAAAAAGCTTAGGTCGATAGTCAAATTTTGGCAGCTTACGAAATCGGAGAAATTTATGGCGAAGAGCTGATGCTTTTTCAACGTTTCGGAAACATTTTCTCATTGAAAATGCGAACTCTCCTAGTTTTTTCCTCTTTAGATGCTGTTCATGTAATTAAACGTTAAAATTTTAAAATTCTGTGTTTAATGACATGCTGCAAATTTCAAGATAATTGTTCGTCAGTGGGATTTAAATATCTTTAAAAATACTTTTCTATGATGCACACTTTTGAGATGCACATTGTAGATTTCTTCCTTGCTCGCGCAATGAATTATTTTGTATGAACTTAGGAAAATGATAAAAATTTTAATCTAAGTAAATATACATGACTACTTGCCTTGAAATTTGACAAAATGCGTGCCTGCGACCTATATCTACCCATTTGTCCCTTTTTATATCGTGTGTCGATTAAATTCCTCTTTGGAAAATGTGGCGATTTTCTTCTCCTTTTTCTTTTCATGTTCGTGATTTTGCTCATTTTAATCGAAGTTCAGAATTAAAGTAAATTAATTAACATTGTATAGCTTTACCCGGACCTCTGTATTTTTGACGCCTAACATCTGACGTTGTTTATATGATGTTTGAGATTGTCAACAATAGTGAGCTAGTGATTCGTTTTCAGGGTTCACACGCTGCAGGCAACACAAACTGTGCAAACTGGTTCTAGTCAGTAGAGACAGTGACAAACAGCCCATCTGTCACGGAGGAGCCGTTGTCACGGCTAAACTGAAGTATGCCGATGCGACAGGCAGGTAAACCTCAGCCCTATTATGGAATAATGAACCGAAAAGTCCATTTGTGTGATACTGCTCCAATAGCCCTACCTAGCATTAAATACACATCTGAAGTGTTGCAGTGATAGAACTTTGTACAAATTACGTGGAGAAGGTCTAATCTAAAAGGGTTTGATGAAAGGTAGAGGAAAGGTGGTTAAATCTACCGTCAAGTAAGGCTAAACATGTTTTTTGTTTGATAATTAGCTGATGTAAAAGATAGGCGTAAAAAGGAAAATATATTAAAGTTGAAGTTTTATCATGTTTTTTCTCTTAAAAAATAAGAGGCTGTCTACTTAGCATGATGTAATTTTTGTACAATTTTTGTAAAATGACTACTCAGTTGGCTGCATCTATTTCTGGTAAGTCGTTTAAATTGAGACGCATTGAAAAACATCCTCCAAATAATTCATCAGCAGATCTAAGAGGCAATAGAAGGCCTGATCTCCCAGAAATCTTCTTGGCATTTTCTAGAAAATGAGAGGGATTTTTCTAAACATTGAATAATAATAACAATTGTGTGCCATATCAAATCTTTGAAATTGTATTTCAACCTATATTTAGTAAGAACAACTAAAAACTGCTCTTGAGACGACTCAAATTTTTGTGATTTTCTCGGATGGACCATTTTTGGATCCTCCCCTACCCCTTTAAAGCTACAACAGAGTCCTCTCAAGTCCTCGTTAGGGTTAGAGGAGTCTTTTAAACCCCGTTGAGGTCTCTCGGGCTCCTCCAAAAAACTTCTTAGTTAAGGTCTCGATACACGATCAAATTCCCTAGCCAATTACCATCAAAGTGTCGGAAGTCATCAGTCTTAAAATCATTACTTTGCTTAATTTTAAAATGAAAACTTGGCAGAAATGTTTCCTGTGGCAGGAAATGGTGAATGGTGGCACTCCATTCTGATCAAAATTCGACGGCACGTCCAATTTTGATCAAAAAGGAATGTTGCACGGTGACCATCTGTCATCGAGTGGTCTACTTTGATCATAATTTTTTCGGAATTTGATCGTGTATCCAGACCTTTCCGTCCATGTGTGAGTTGCATTCAGTCTATAGAGGCATCCGATTTAAACGATGTCGTCCTCATATTCCAGATCGATCCCTGTCGACGTCCAAGATGCTGGTGACGGAACATACATTCTGTCTTTCACCCCTGACGCGTCCGGCACTCTCCGTCTGTCAGTTACTGTGCAAGACAAATACATCCAGGTATTGAAAAGTTCAAGATTTTAATTCAATTATATTCCTGGCTCATTTAGGCGCTGACCATAAATGGAGTTGCAATTGACAGAGGTACGATTGACTCAACCATACTTCTGGGTATAGCGTCAAAATCAGCAACACACGCACAAACACTGAAGCAAAATTTAGTATGTTTTATCATACACTGACGCAATGATCCGAGTAGTTATGATAATAAACGAGACTCTGTGGTAGCATTTATCATATAATGGTAAGTATCACCAGAGTTCTGGTAAATAATACTATAATTATGGTTATTTTCACTATATAGTATCACTGTAAAAAAAGGTGACTTATAGTAGATGTTAATACACTTTTTTTTCTGTGTATGGTTGAAATTACTTTATTTTTTTCCCGTGATCGTATCAGATGGCTTCATGTTGGGCCTATTGTAATTTGTAAGGTGTAAAAAATGAAGTCGTTTAGTAAATTCTGCCGATCGCTTATTCTGTTTGAAGCATAGAATATATCGAAATGATCCTTTATAGAGGATATATTGGTATTTTCTACCAGAGAAACAGAAGAATGAGAAGCAGGTTTATTCCTAAATCACGAACGTAATAAATTAGCACGTGGGAAAAACTCCTTCAAAACGGTGCATATGCAATCTCACTACAATCGTGTTCATACATTATTTACTTAATTTTGCAGAACCACTTGTTTAGACTCGATTGACGAATAACATCGCATGATAAGGATTTGTAAATCTAAGTCATCCACAAGAAAAGTGATGATGCTCTAGCTCTACTTATCAAGGTTTCAGGACATTTTGTCAACGATTTTTTGTCCGCGCACCTTTTTTGTCCAGTAGTTTACGACCAGTAGTTTAAACAACCGTGACTTGGTCCAAGCGTTATATTTTAGTCGGTATGTAAAATTATATTGACAATATGGAAATGAGAAATTGAGAGAAAAAGAGGTGAGATGTTGTTATGGTTGCTCATTTTCTAAATGAAATGTTATTACTTTCTCCTTTTGAACCATCTTTTTGAATTGTCATTGGTGAATATTTGGTTTTATTTCTATCCTTAAAGTATTCGATGTACAATATACCTTATATATGTACAGGGTGTTTCAGACCACCCGTACCAGGTCTTTTTCTCGGTTGTTTTAGGTCGTACGAAGTCGGGGACCGCGGGGTTGAATAGGGAATCGACCCCAAGGAATCCAAATTTCGTGGTCCCGAAATGTAAAAGAAAAAATTATAGTGCTTTGGAAATCATTAAATTTGACATAGAACCACCGATATTTAAAAAACACACATTATATTATTATTCTCCTTTGATAAATTGATACATATTTTTTCCCCATCAATTTAAATGAGAATAATCAATGCAGAGTGTGCAAACATTTCAAAATCATGAGTTAAAAAACGCTGACTATGCGAGCATAAAAATTAAAGCCTAACAGAGCGGAGCGGCGCGTGCTGCCAGCGCGAGAGGGTCACTGGCGCCTACAAACCTAAGTGGATACTTCACGCATTACACAATGCTTGAAGTATCCACTTAGGTTTGTAGGCGCCAATGCGCGTTTTGCGCTGGCCGCCCGCCCGCCGTGCGGTTGCGCCTGACGCAACTATTTTATAACAGAGGTGTTGCACAGTATTATACGAAATTGAACGTATTAAGAATGACAGGCATCCTTTAATAAAAGTACAGATCTTTCCTCGCAAAATAAATCAAGATACTTATCGTACACAGGAAAAATCTAAGAGCCTTTAGCTGAGGCAAATATAAAGGTTGATCCGGTTCAGGTATAACAAGGTGGGAATTTCTTGAAAGATAATTAAGTCCTATTACACCAAAGAGGTGTAGAGAGTTTTAGTGAATTTTGTCTCATGGAATTGACGCTTCCCCATTTTTACCAAAACTCTCAACTATTGTATATTATTCTCCGTTGGACCAAACAGACAACAAAAAACAAGCAAACCCTCATTCTTCCAAGACATTATACATTTTCATCCAAAAACGTCGTGAGCAACTGTCGTTTATATTTACATGTACGGGCCAATTAACTTGGGTCTCAACTGGCACGTGGACCAAAACTTCCTTGCCGAAAAAACGCGTGGACGTAAATTACTGGAAAAAACAGGTGCGCGGACAAAAAAAAACGTTGACGAAATGTCCTATAACCCTTATCAACTCGTTGGACAGATTGCAGGGAAATTTTTAAAAAAGTTAGAGAGTTGTGTGGCATGCCTCTGCTTATTTGTAGATAAATAGAACCGGGAATTTTTGAGCAAGAGTAAAATGTGCTTTTGAACAGAGTTTAAGAGGAACGCATTATATCTCATCAATTTTGAGCCGAAAAAAAGTGGTTTGAAGTTTTAAACCTTCGTAAGACTCAATGGTAAGGCAACTATTTGACGACTATTTCCAGGTCCAAAATAATTGTTATTCGGCTTTGAATTTTCGAGAGGAGCACATCCACGAAACCATTCTCAACTTCTTTTTTCTCCTGTCTCTTTAAAATTTGACTTGGTGATTCTCTGTTAAATTTGGTCCCATTGATAAGCAAATGAAACGAGGAGAGGGGGGGCCCTATTATGATATTATGTTAATCCAAGGATTATTTCATAGCAAAGATAGCTACCGAAGATGTTGCATGTGAAAATTTAGTCATTGCGATCGAGAGAAACGATAAACCGGAACAAAACAATTCTCCGACCAGAAGTTTGGAAACTGTGAAAACTTTCCGTCGTTCAATCACCCTGAAGTTCGTTCACATGCGGGTTTCTGAATTTATCCGCCAGGTTGTTTGATGAACCTTTATTGAACGTTTATCAGGAGATTTTGATCGAAAAAAAGATGGCACTGTACCGTTCAATATCGCCACATAAAGGTAAATATTGTATAATGTATATGTTTAACATTTAACTCAACTGCTGCCTTTGAAATTCATGGATGATGATGATGTAATCATTTTAATGGTGTGTTTTTCCGTACAGGGAAGCCCGTTCACGGTGAATGTGCAAACTGTAAAACCTCACACTGGTGTCTTTCATTGCTGTAGTTTCTGCTCCAGTCATGGTAGCAAGCAAGTTTCTTGTGGTTGTGGTGGGCGAATGTCAGGTATGGAAAAAAATGAAATAAATGATAAAAAAAAAAAAAAAAAAAAAAAAAAAAAAAAAAAAAAAAGAAACAACTCGAGAATTCTGAATCTTTTGCTTCTTCTTAAGAGAATAATGCTGTGGATACATAGGTGATACTCAGCTGTACCTGTGATTCTAGATCATCTAGCTAAGTGTCGTTAAACTGATTTGCGGTACTTGAATAAAAATCATTGAAAAATGTAGTTTTTCTAGAATGCGAAGCGTTAACAATTTTGACCGTGTACTTGACAAAGAGCATCGAGATGAGTAAAATGAAAGCAAAACCAGGAGTCGCATCGACTTCACATTTAAAAAGTCGGAAAGTTGAGAGCTGTTGCAAAAATATACACAGCTCTGTCAGTCTTCCATCTTCAAAACTTTAATGCGTCCTAGAGTATTCGTCAAAAAGCTGAAGCTTACGTTTTTTCGGAAGTAGATAGATATCTGTGTCCAATCTCATTGGTATTATGATGCAAACCCGATTGATAGAAACGTTTAAGTGACACGCGAAACCTAGGTTTCTGGAAACTCCGGTTACAAGCCCACAAACTCGAGTTGAAGGTAACCTAGGTTTGCTAAAACCTAAGCGTCCGTATGAATCTTGTAACATGGGTTACACACTGAGTTACGGTCAAAACCCGGGGTTTGTGTCGCTTAAACGTAGCTGGGCGGGGACAATATCCACGCTCTTCCTTGGTCACTTTTTTTGATTTGCTAAAAATTTCAACCCATAGCTGCTTGAAAAGGAAAGTTTAACCCGGATCTCTTTTACCGTTTCATTGTAGCAATGGAAAAAAAAAAAAAAAAAAAAAAAAAAAATTAGCAACTCATAATCCGAATCGGTCAAATTATTAGACTGTTTTCCAACTTCTTCCAACCAGAACTTAATTCTTTTGAGCCTGTTAAACAAAAATAAACGTTGCAACGCAAACTATCAACGTAACCATTTCTTATTTTACTTTTTCTACACGGAAAAAAAAACTTCGTGCGTGGGACCCGAAGTTTAGGTCATATGGATCTCTGAAGTTTTCGATTCGAGCATCTGAACACTTCAGGCACGGCTGCTGAGGTTTGGATCACACATCTGACTCTTCAGTTCTCACAACTGAAGTACTTCGATTTTCACGTCCGAACAACTTCGGTTCTAACATCCAAAAAACTAACATCTGAAATACTTCAGATGTAAGAACTGAAGTTTCAGATGTGTGATCCGAACCTCGACAGCTAGACATGAAGTGTTCGGATGCTCAATCCAAAAACTTCAGAGATCCATATGACCTAAACCTCGGAGAACCACGAAGTTTTTTTCTCCGTGTACAAAGGAACATTATGTTTAAAGCGCTAAAAAGGAATATATATTTTAAGATCGTTTAAATTTCAGGTTATAAAGGATGCGGACACGGGCACCCAGGTCACCCCGGGCGTCGACATTGGTCGTGTTGCGGAAATATTCTCCACAACTCTGAATGCTCTCTCTACACGTCCGTTTTTTCTACCTCGTCAATCAACTGTAGCGAGGTGCCTGTTAAATAAACGATTGAACCTATATGTATGACTTTTTCATCAAACCCTCCTCCCAAGAAAGAAGAAATAATTAATACGCAAACGGAACACTGAATACTTACTTTGTAAAATGATAGCTTATTAAAAAGCTGAAATGCTGAGCGTGCCACACTTCAAACGTGCAGTTGATTTTTTTAAGCATTAACGGCCGGTGAGAAAAATGTGGAAATTCAACCTTCATAGCTACGAGTCTCTCTTTTTTATGCACTTATCTCTTACAGAAATTGAGTCCTTTGCATTTAACTATAAGTAAAATTATTTTGAGTGAATCCTCAGTCTTTTATTTTTTAAGTCATGGAAGAATCGATCAAGCCATGAGCATATATCTGATTGGAATTTTCTTTGTATAAGACAACATTTATTTTAAATTTAAAAGTAAAATTCACTGAATGTTACATTTTAGAGCTAATGTAATATTCTCTTGGATTCCTCTGTCATGCGCGTTCTCTCGGTGTGTAATAAAGAGTTTTTACTGAGAGGCCGAGCAAATGTTGAATTTAAAAATGTTGATAAAAATGCTAGTCCAGCACATTGATTGCTTCTGCTTAAAATTCGGAGACCCTCAATTAAATTCATTTTCATGTACATCTTACAGCTCTTATTTATTTACACTTTTATAACTGACTGAGAAATAAAAATAATTGAAATATCCTTCATACACGCTAGGCTTGTCGATTTCCTATGACATTTTTGCAGTCGTGAATGCATAGCTGAAGTGCGCTCCAGCTAGAATTGTATTTAGCAAATGGGTGGTTTTTATATGAGGATTAAAAATAAGCAAGTGGTATGGAATATAACAAAAGAATATGAAGTATGCAAAACGATGACCCGGGTATCGGAACTTGGCTGTTTTAAAAACGCCTTCAAAAGCGGCGTGATACCTCACGCATTCCGGAGAGTTCAAATAGTTGTATCATTGCGCCTTAGAAATGCGACGGAAGATTTCATGCACGGTGGCTTCTTATGATTTCCTCCTACATTTTTGCAGTCGTGAATGCATAGCTTAAGTGCGCTCCAGCCAGATGTGTAATCAGCAAATGAGTAGTTTATATAGGAGGATTGAAAACAAACAAATGGTAGGAAAGAAAACATAATAATATTAACTTTGCAAAACGATAATCCAGGTATCGGAACTTTGCTGTTTTGAGAACGCCTTCAAACGCGGCGTGATACCTCACGCATTCCGGAGAGTTCAAACAGTTGTATCATTGCGCCTTAGAAATGCGACGGAAGATCACAATATTACTTTCCATTTATTTAGATAACAGATTAAATCAGAGCACCGGATCGAAGACACAAAATAATACTTGCGCATTATTAGCTAAGTTTAGCGCTAATTGAAAAATCCGAGCAATGTAATGATAAATACAAAATAGATAAAAATAATAGAAATTGCGATGATAGAGAGGGACAAGAACAAGATAAAAACTGATAAAAGTTGGAGCGGATATTGGGAGGAAGCTCTTATCATCGAGTATGCAGTTCACAACCGATGATTGAACTCAGAAGAATTTCACTCCTTATTCTATCTTCTTTCGTGTTTATTTTATTGTCTTGCGGTGCTGACCGGGCGCCATGCATTTGCCGCTTCTTTTTTCGTTTTTTTCGTTCCTCTTTATTCAAAATACGTCATCATCGGTGACGGACGGGAAGAATCCGGCCCCTGCCGATTGGCCCATGCAGTTTCACGCAGTGCTGTTCATGAATCGAAGTGGTATCCTCCAGAAAACCGACCTGTGGTACGATTGGCCTAATGGCCGTAACTTCAACATCATTCAACATCAGCTGGGTGTCCTAAACTACGACCTCGAATGGGACAACGGAACTTCCTTCTATTACACGCTCGAGCCTTTTGAGAAAACTTGCAAAGTCTTTCACTTCGATGTCGGGATTCTTCGTCCCGATTGGCTCAACGACGCTAACTACTTGGGTCAACGCAATCAGGACAGTTTTCTCTGCAATGTCTGGGAGAAAGCCGACTTCATAACCTACTATGAGGACGTTCGGACCCGCAGACCTGTTTACTGGGTATTTAAAACATCAGGTAAGATCAGATTTCCAGTCATCAGTTTCAATAGGCATTAGGTTAATGAATATCTAGAATGTTAGAAAAAATCCTATTTTACAGAAGGGAGAACTTGTAGGTTAATACTGCTTCTGGTTTTTTTTTTTTTTTTTTTTTTTTTTTTTTTTGTGTCGGTGTAATTTGTGCACATTTTTGTGCGAACAATTTTCCCAAGTAACATATTTTTTAATTTCGTCAATTATGATTTTCAATGTATTCTATTCCAAATCCATGATAAAATTTGAAAGAGACAGGCAATATATTCTCAGAATGATTTAAAATAAAGAACATAACCAGATAAATCTAAGTATTCTGTATACTATTATTGAAAATCATTTTTAGAGCGTTCTAAGAGAACTCACCGGTATTGCTTATCTAATAATAATTCAAGCAGAGAAAAGTGCAAGTTTTTTTCAAGTTTTCATCATGTTTGGATACTGTAACCTTGTATGAGATGGGTAAAGACAAGTTTATTGCGGTTTTTCAGTCATTGTGGAACGTACTTTTTCCTGGTTTTGATTCTCTTCCCCTTAAAATACAACAATAATGCAAGCCTGACCCCTCTCTCACTCTACTGAAGTATTTGTGATTCTATACAGACTCCACCCTATTTTTATTAGTGTTTCAAAGAAATAGGACTTTCCAATTTGTATTCCCGCGCAAATAACTTAATTTTTATCAACAGCCTCTGTCCCCTCCCATAAGTGCGTCACGCATTATTTGAGCAGCCCATGGAAACTAGAACTAAACATGGTTCTGATGTCAGGGAGTCTGTTAAATTTTGAAAAATAAGGATTTTTGCATAGAATGTTGATACTATTTTGTGTGCACAGGGATGACAGCTCACGTAATGACGTTCGAGGTCGGTGCGGTGTTGGACCACGAAAACTGGCAAGCTCCTGTCTACTGTTTCAGCGAAAATCGCACTCAAAATAAGAGGCCTTCTAAAGACTCTGAAATACAAAGTTTTAATGTTATCAATCGTATGTCAATGAGAAATAATCGTCAACGCGTAGTCAATTCTTTGAATGGCGTAATTCAAGAAAATGATGTCCACAAAAGCGTTCCTTGAAATAATGTTAGAAGAACCACTTAACTTTAATTTCGATAGAAGCGTGATGTATCATTTTTGACAAAAATTACTCATGTAAAAGCTACCCAATTTCATAAATCTGTTCACAAATATCAAGAAAAAATTCACCATAAGAAACATTGAGATTATAGTATTCCTATTACTTCATCATAAGTGCGAGGAAATTGTAAAAATGCAATTAAGGGGATCATTTTCTATGAGTCACGTCTGTGAAATTGGCAACTGTTCCAACTACCTTAAAGAGAATCAGGAATTAAAGAAGCTTAATTATTCTGGGAATGTTTTCAATTGAAAAAATTGTAAAATTTTATATTACATCTTCAATCAATGTAAGCTACGAATTACATAGCTAAATAATGCAATAACAGCATTATAATTACAGCTAACTGTACATATTATTTTTTAAGCAGAAAAATAATAATTAGAATAGTATAATTAAAAGAAAAAGGGGGTTTGCACTACGTGTATTGTAATAATTTTGAAATGTACCGGCTCCACTTCACAAGATTCTGTCCGAATGTTTACACGATCAACTCAGATTGATAAATGACATGCTGACGACACTTTATACCGGCATAGCATCAGCACATTATGCTGGAGTTCACTACTTACTTTATTTCAACTGCAATATTCGAGATAAAATAACTTAGGTACTTTGGAATTCTGATAATGAATAGAAATCACAACGGAACCGAAGATAAGATTGTCACCGTATCATTTCTCTGAGTGCGGAAATAGAGGTGTGAGTGGATTTCTGCCGTATGTAACAAACCTATTCAACGAACGCGTCGGCCAGTTATGATCTACTAAACTAGGAATAAATTAAATTACCACCAAGACATGATATCCAATTACAATTTCAGGTACATAACGCAATTGAAGTATTTCAAATTATTTTCAACATAGCTTATGAGTGAGACACGACGTTTATAGTTCCCATTATAATCAGTAAATTTTAATTTCCCGCCCAAAATAATACTGAGGTGAAAATAAAATAAAATCAGCTACCCACAACTTATGAAATTTGGGATATTACCAGCCTTTTGTCTCACATAATTTTTTCCCCCCTGCAGTTAGCATGAGGTATAACTTTACGTGAATGAAATACACGTAAAGTTATACCTTAAACCTTTTTTTTTCTCCGATGATTTATGAACATCAGATCTCAGAGACGATTTACCACTGTAATAGATAAGAAGATTAACGTAACGCCTAATTTGACTCTCGTGGCTCAAACGTTGATAAACGCTTAGGCAGGGAAGTCGACAGATGGTAAGACTGCCTTTTTAGAGGACTAAACGTGTATAAATTTGGTGGATTGATAACTAAGGAAAATTCCGCCTCCAAATCATCAAAACAAATACAAGATATAAAACATCGCATGACCTCAGACCATGAAGGGATAGAGTCAAAATTAGGGAGAAATACAGACGACGAAGAAATCAGTGTGTAATCGCCTAATTTTCAGCCATTAAACAAGGACAACTATGAAAAAAACTACTCAAAAGCGAAACGTTTATTTACAACGATACACACAAATATTTACATTTTTTTTTTTTAAATAAAAAGAAAAGCTACAAAACCATCGCTGAGTAAACATGTTCAAACATTAATACAACGGGCAACCAGAAATTATCTTCTTTACAAATTGTACGCTTGTATTTCTTTAAAAACTCATTTTAGCCAACAAAAGACGTAACTTAGAGTTTATGAAAAACCTCTGAGTTATTCGTGTTCATTGGATGTTCCCGTTGCATACGGACGAAAAAGAAAGCGATATGATAGGCACTGGGTTATTGCTGAGAAAATGCGTTTTTGTTAGGGAAGGCGCGGAAGTCTTGAACGGACTGCGTTCTATTTTCCAGTGATGGACGCAATGGTAACACGTAATTCCTCTTAAACTCGGGATTTTTCTCCTCCTAGGTTTCTCTAATTCGTTGAATTGACCCGATGAAAGTTTAGCAATGCGTTGTCTTCAACTAGTTTCTAAACAACAGCTTGTTTGGTAGACGAATGTGACGATGTTTAAATTTTTTTGCTACTTTGGCAAGATAAGACAAGACGTGAGCCATGTAGTGTGTCGACTTTCGATGTTTTGTCATTTTTAAAAGAGTAAACATTCACCGAAGTAGCGAGTTTACCAAAAACCCATACATTTTATGGATAAATTCTGATTCCAAGTGAGGGTTTTGTTCCGCCGTAGATTCAATTCAGACTTGCCAGTCGTGAGGGCGCCCTCATAGCCTTGACGACAGTGGTGTGGCGTGCTTTGCGATGTATCGATTGGTCTGCCATTTAAACCTATGGAAAAAGATCGATAAACAGAGTGTTCACGACGAACACCTTAATAATCGATTCTTTACCACAGCCTCAAATGGGAAAATATCGATAATCGATCATTCACGCCTCGCCCCCGCTCGACGACGGGGAAACTCTTACCCTGAACGCCCTCAAAATTAGAGTTAGGCTTTCGAGCGATTCTTCTTGGATGGCATCCTGTACTTTTCCTTGCGGTCGTGATGGGGAGTGAAGTAGGTCTCTATTTGCTCCATGGACTTCCCTTCAGTTTCAGGAATGTACAGGATGACGTATATGCAGCCCGCTAGAGCGACGACTCCGTACGCGTAGAACACTCCGTCTAGGCCGATAGCTCTCTCCGTATCTAGATACGTTTTTGTCTGGAGAAAAGCCATGAAGCAGCCTGATGCAGCCGAAATACCATTCGCCATACCCCTGGCCCTGAAATAAGAATGTTTGATGAGTGTATCCATAAACCATATCGATGGTTAAAATGCGAGACCACATATTTTAGTTTGCGAAGTTGTATATTCTTCCAGTCATACTGTGTTTTTTCCTAGGAAAAGTAGCCGACGTAATTTTTTAAAACTTCCTTGATTTTTCTTCTTTTTAAGTAGGATATTCTGTTAGAAAGTCAAGGCGGTATAAAGTCTACTTGCTCCTTTTTGAAAAAAACGTGGGAGCGGAGATTTTGAAACACCTCGATGGAGATATGTGGTGCCCACTTTAGCCATCGATATAAATACCGTATGAATAACTTAAGTGCAAAACCACGTTTCCCTATTTGCGACATTGCAGACTTCCCATCGTGATATAATTTTTCTTTTGGAAACTAGTCAACGTGATGTCTTGAAAATGTCTTTGAATTTCCTTCCCTGTTAACAGAATAAAGTCTATATTTTCAAGCTGAGAAATTTGACCTCGCCTGAAAAAGCTCTCTCTGGAGAAAGCTCAACTTTTTATTCGTCCATCTTATGTAGATTATCTTATGTGTCCGTCTTTCCTTATGTAGATTATTGTTTCCCATTATTGTTTGCTACTCCTCGATTTGTATCTTCCTTTCTTCTTTCTCAGCTTGTAGCCAAAGTAAGGCAATTAAGTCACGTTGTAGCAAGCGGGAGGGGATTGCCTCGAGGTTCAGGGGGCGGTAGCCTTTTGGCTGGCTGTGGCTAGCCTGGAACAACTAGTAAATTATAAAGTAACGATTTGTTCGCTTTTCCACATGCAAGCTCTAATGTATTAACAGCTCACCTGACTGGATAGACCTCATAGGAGAGCATCCAGGGTATATTGATGACACCAACGTTGCCAACAAAGTGAACAACAGCGAAAACGGATAGGATGAGCCAGCTGAGAAGCAGGTCTTCTTGGTGCCTGAAGAAACTGGCGGAGAAGCCCAGAACAAAGATTGAGATCGTGGAAATGATCATACAAATGATGCACATCAATCGTTTGCCCGCCAATTTCACCAAAATCGTTGCCCCCACAGAGCCCAGAAAAGACGCCACACCAGTCGCTACCTACACCAAAACACAAAACCAACAGGATGGAATGAAGTAAACTATATCGACGGTGTAAGTCGGCAAACACATAACTCGTTTGCGGTGTCTGAAAATCTCCGCATCTATGTTATTTGTTTAAAGGAGAACAAATTGACATCATTCCTTGAAGTTTTTACAGAATTTTCTTCGCACAGAGAAGAAAAATCACGGCAGTTTTAAAGAATTGTCGTTGAGTGGTTTTCCGTTTAAAAAATAAAATATGACAGGAAGTCTGCGACGTCGCAAACCGAGTTATGTGATTGCCAACTTACACCGTCGATATATCGTCACCTATCGGTTAAAGTATCGCAAGCGCCAATCGGAAGTATTTCTACTCAATGGAACTATGTGCGGGAGGGATGGGGTGTGTTCGTGGTGAGCTGGATAAGAAATAATGTAAAAGTGTGCGTGATTCCTTATGGTGAAATGGAAAATCGGGCATTCAAATTCACCAAACGGAACTATAAGCCAACTGTATACGGGGTATGATTACAAGGATTTTCATAAAATTTACATCTATTGGCACAGAAGTTAGCCAAACTGCTTATCACTAACTTTTTGGGACACATGAGAGGGTTGCGTTTTGAAATATTCGAAGCCGATTTTCTTTACTAAACAGGGTAAGCTCAGCAGGAGCTATGCTCTTTAGGAATGCCTTCATAAACTTCGGGTATCTTTACCTCTTGATGACCACATAACCGCATGGAAAATGGAACTACATTGAGGATTGAAAATACATTTTGCGAAAAATATTTGTTGCTAAATTACTTCCAGTTGAAGAACACAGCGGATCAATAGTGTCTATTTTTTCATTTGTGTCTTAAAGATAAAAGGCTATCCCCACACTGAAATAAAAATGAAATAACAATGAAGACTTACCACAGCCCATTTGTTATCAAAAGGAAACCAAAATTCGTTGAGAATCTCGATAATAAAGGCTTTGAAAGGGACAAGGCCTGCAGACTGAGTGAAAAAGAAAGTAATCAAAACCATTCTTAAAGGTAGATATAACCTCGGATTTGACAATTCCCTCCATCGCTCCACCAGCCAGTTCCCTCTTTTTATTGATTGACTTTTTTCAGGATCTTGGATATTATCTGTAAAAAAATAAAAACAACATATTGCTATTTCCTTGTTAGCAAAAATATTTGAATTTTTACAACACCGAGAAAAAAAGACACCGTTATTCTACCGTTACAACGGTTGTAATGTCACATGGAATTCCACGGTAGTAGGACCATGGATTTTGATTCTTGTAACGATGAGCACGATGATATGATCATGTTCACCATAATATTACTGTGGGCACAGACATACTATTATGAGCATGGTTAAGCTAAACTGTGCTCATCAATAATATTAGCAAAATCCACGGTTCCACTACCGTGGAATCCCGTGTGACATTATTACCGTGGTAACCGTCGAATAACCGTATTTTTTTTCTCCGTAATATTTGGACTTTATATCGGATTAGAACTTAAATTTTGAACTTTTTCACACCCATTAATTTGAGAACCTAAAATTGACAAGTCGCATTAGAAATCAGAAGAAGGTAACTTCATCAGCATAATTGGCAACGCCTGAATTAAGTTTAGGATTGAGAGAAAGAGCAAAGCTCATTTCGGGCTCTACGGATGTCCGTGTTGCATACACCTGGATTGAAGGCGTTTTGAAACTCCAGATACTACCGCTTCATCCGCGCGCTGTAGCGGGCTGTATTGTAAGAATAAAAAATGAGAGAGTGTCTTCAATTCTTTGTCACACTACAAAGAGAAAGATATCTCTTGGGCATAAGACCATGCACAATTATTCGTGACACCCTAAACCAACAACGTGTGGGATCTTCCCTCAAATAAATGCCCGCCTGCGCGGCGGGCGAGAGCGACGAGCGCGACACTCGCATTGGCGCCTACAAACCTAACAGGGATACTTCACGCATTGCGCAATGCGGGAAGTATCCCTGTTAGGTTTGTAGGCGTCAGTGCGCATGTCGCGCTGGCAGCACGTCGCGAGTGAAGCGGTGAGTGCCTGACAAGTAAAAACGCCTTCACTTTTGCACTTATGCAGCACGGACATTCGTAGAGCTCGAATAATTGCATACAGGCGTAGTTCGTTGTTCGTTGCATGCGCAACTACGCTTTCCTTCTTCCCCTTACTTTTTGACTTTATTTTAGCACTGCGCAGTGTGCTGATGAAGTAAAATATAATTTTGATCACAATATTATCAATTTTCCGAAAAATTTTGAAACAGTCAACTTGTTGTAAAAAGTTGAAACAAATTAGGTACTTGATCATGATTTGTTCCGATTATGATTGATTCCGTCCTTTTTTCGGTGTTTGTCAACATTTCCCTATAATTTTACAGCCTCGGTTTTTCCATTTTTCTTCTCAATAATATTTGTTCATCCCAGTGTTATTCTGTGTTTAAGCTGAAAGTCCCCTTTTCATTCTAAATTGAGTTCATCAACTCTTTTATCTATCAATATCAATTTTATGATGATTACTTAATCAACAAGATTAGAGGCAACCAAAACCAACACCTTCCAGTCAACGAGAGCCATGACGTCCATCCTTTCGACCAGGGGAGGAGCGTGCTTCGCGATATATCAATATCTGCCATTTAAACCAATAGAAGAGGATCGATAAGCAGAGTGTTTGCAATGGATGCCTTAAAAATCGATTCATTACCATAGCTTCAAATGGGGAAATATCAATAGTAGATCATTCATCCCTCGCCACTGTTTTCGACCCGAAAACTCGAACTGCGCTCCTCGCGGCTTTGTAAGTAATCTTCCAAATATTGAATCCTGAAATCTCTTTGTAACAGTGCACATCTTCGGGTCTCAAATCACCAACGATTTTCATCATGTGAAACTTGTGTCACGAATATAATTTTATCCCTCCCGTTCTCCCACATCGTCTCCTCTCTTTATTAGACCATTAAACATTAACTCCAGGAGTTAAGGAAAATGAGTTTGACTCATAAATATTAGCATGGTGCGTCTACTTCGGTTTCGTATTTTTATTTCCAACTATAAACATTCACAGTGTACTATTCCAGGAGCTGACCCTAGTTTCGTAATTCTAATTTATTGATAACTTACGCTTGCCATCTAAGGGTGCTTTTTCCTCGGAAATCGCACTTAGATCGTGTCGTGACAGCCGGGAGCTTGCCATTGAGTAGCGAACCATATCATCGAATTCCTCCCGCACATGCTGTGGTTCGGCAAAACCCCTGAACCAAGCCAAAGCCTTATGAGCTTCTTCCAGTCGCCCCTTCGTGATCAGCCACACCGGAGACTCGGGAACCTAAAAAGCCAAGTACCATAATTCGAGTTACTATCGGATATTTTTTAGGAGTTCATCCTCCTCCACATCAATTTGAAGTTCTGACCACTTGAATCTACACTGACACGGAAAATGGTCATTTGCAACCAATATAACGTGGCAGACTACGATATTCCGTGTCATATATGTATGAGACTATCGATTTAAGTGGGCAAAACTTGCGTCACGAATTCGTCACCACATATCGTCTGACTCTCGAAACGAATTTTGGCGAGTGGATTTGGTGGATTGGACGTTTTCAACCAGATTGACAGAGTTGCAAACCAATGGAGAAGTACGCTCTGCTGAAACTGTACGCTCTCTGTCAAAAACTAAACTCCGTTGCTTGATGAATGATGGCCAACGTTTGCATCCATCCACTATTCGACTGAATCCCCTATTCAGCGTATGATTCCGGCTCCACCCTCCGAGGTGAGTCGGAAATTTTGGATGTGGTCGTCAATGCTACCACAAGGTGGATTTACACAGGTATGGAAAAGTTGAAAATTTCCCATGAGCCTCAGTACGTGTCACATGACTACGTGACGTAGGTTAAGGGGCCCGTTTTTTAATTAAATTACAATCAAATTAACATTCAAACGTTTGTGCGTTTAAACGTTAAAATTAATATTGCATTATCAAAATTGTGCAAAAAACCCCACAAAATGTTGACAGACGATAAACCGAACATAATAAATCAAAATAATCAAAACATTCAAAATGGCTGACGTTAAGGGGCCGCTGAAGAGCCAATCAGAGGCCAGTTGTTAAGTTCTGTCCATACCTGTGTAAATCTACCTTGATGCTACCAGCAAGAAAACTGAATGTTGTAGGTTCACCGTCGCCCGGAGGGAATTTAATTTTGTTGTAAAAGAGGTTGGCAGTAAGTTGAAAACTTCGACCAAATCCACACCAGAACTGTAGAAACGGACTGATCAGGAAGAACGATTGAGGTATTTCTGCCAAAAGGAACTATGTGCATCAAGACAAGAGCCCTGAGACCCATAAGAATGTATGTACAACAGAACTCACGTCATAATGCACATAGTTCCGTTTGGCAGAAATACGTTCGATTGATAGGGTCTACAGGCGGAGATCTACTCACCGTAAGGAAGCCCAAGAAGCAGATGACTGGGACGGACACGCCTACAAGGGCGGAGGTGCGCCAATGGAAAGCCGAACCCAGGAACAGTTCGAGTGAGTTGCCCATGGTGCAGAAGGCGACGACCATGCTGTTGGAGATGCCGCGGAAGCGGGGTTCGCAGGACTCGCTGAGATAGGCGCCCATGGGGGCCTCGCACAAGCCGATCGTGAAGCCCATGAGCATGGAGGCGATGAAGAGCCCCTTCACCGAGGTGGCAAGATAGTAGAGCACCCAGCAGCCCAGGAAGGGCACGTTGCCTAGCATCATCGCGCCTCTCCGCCCGAACCGCTCCGACACGAACCCCGACGTCAGCGCCCCTACCGGATGGCTCATCAACACGATGCTGCCTAAGACAAAGCCAACGCTCAGAAAAAAGTAAGAATGTGACCTAATCTGTGGAAAGAGACCCTATCCTCAAAATCAGTGCCATAGACAAGCGGGTGGTCCAGGGGGCCTGGACACCTCCTCCCCCCCCCAGCCTCGTTAATTTTACCCTTTTTTTACTTTTGGAGGGCAGACATAACATATTATCACGGACGTACACAAAATAAAGTACATGGAACCCCCCCCCCCTTAAAATAATTCCTAGCTGCGCCACTGCTCAAAATTATAGTTATTGGTATCACTGCATGCAGTTAGGATATTTTGATATTTTGCCGCAGTTTTGACGCTAAAACCTCAAATATTGAGGGAGGTATGACGTATTGCAGTTCTGAGACAATCCTTTTTTAGTTTTAGGTTCAATTTTTAAGGTAATTGTTTTTCTCGAGGATAATTTGTATAAATATTCACCCAATGATTCAATTCCAAGATCCTGATGTGTGTCTTGGTTTCGCTCGTAGCGGGTGGCCGGTGGCCCTACACAATCGACGGGGCCGTACATTTTGTAAAGTTTGAATTACTCTAATATCAAAGGGTGCGGCGGTGCCCCAGGTTCGACACCCGTAGGATCACACTGGACGGATAAGCTGTTTATTAATCAGAAGTTAATTGCCTGATGAAAGAGTGGAGTCTTTACGAAGCAACCAATATAATCTATAAAAGTTTCTTTTGCACTCATCTCTTTCTAATTTGATGTGATGCTTCCACCGAAACTTACAATTCATAGTGAGGCTTAAATAGTTTGCAAATGTGGATAGAGGCATTATTACTATAATGAAAAATAAATTATCGTTTATGTTACGATTTGAAAATAATTACTGAAACACATCTTCAACGAGGAAGGTTAAATTTAGGTTAATAATTTTGATAGAAAAAGAGCAGGTAGCGTGGCGCCCTTTGGGAAGCGGAAATCATACTAAAACCGCGCGTAGCTTGTTTCAGATGCTTTTGGAGAGCGTTGAACACTGAAAATCGCCAATTTTGGAGTTAGTTCCCAGAGGCTTCCAAGAAAGCGAAATTCAGAGCTCAGAAATGTGACGAATAATGTAGTTAAAACTGAATTGAAGGCTAATACCAATCCAAGAGGCGGTGTGATCATCCATGCGCATGGCCTCATCCTCGGGAGAAGTTAGAGTGCTATTGCTCGATTCTGTCTTATGCAGGGCTCCAACAACTATGGTTGGCATCATGTATATCATTCCGACCAGGATCAAAAAACAACATTCCACAAATGTCGCGTAAAACTACAAAAAAATAAGAGAAACGTCAAAATTAGAACCAAAACCGGAACGAGCATGAGATTAAAAAACTATCTAAATATCTTGATTGTATCATTATTGGTATCTTGAATATAGATTTTTTTTTTATTTATTTGCACAAAAATACATCTAATTTGCACAGGGAAGCTTTTAGACTTATACATCTTTGAAAAGCATGTTTTAACACGTAGCCTATTGTTTGCTAAGATTAACTCATTTTAACAGATTGTACCACCTAAGATAATAACAGAAGGGAAAGAATAGAACCTTATTATTATAAAATAATAGTGATTCAATTATCTTAACAGGTTGTGACGGGATTTCCGTCCTAGACAAAAATTACGTTTCTCCTTATATGTCCGAAGAGCATTAGGAGGCGTGAGATTTAAACTTTAGCTTTTAAGCCTTGAATATAGATTGTGGATTTTGTTAAGGGGTAGGTGTGGAGATGCACGCGTTCACCCCCAAAAAAATTTAATGGAGGAACGTACACTTGTTTCTTGAGAATTGTCATTCATGATCCGGGTAAGAAAGTTGCAGGAAGTTTACTTCCTTATTTATATTGATCCATCCTTTGAAAATGGAGAAAAAGGCTACAAAATTCTGTGTAAATATATTGCAAAGTTTACGGCAGTCAATGACGAAAGTTTCAAAATCAATTCAATACTAAAAGTAATGCGGTGTGTATAGTTAACAAGCACACGTGCACCCACACGATAATAAATATATGTACATAAGTAACATATATTTGTCCGTTGTATTTTAAGTGAAATCTCTCTGGAAGTCATTGCTTTGACGGCACGGTATAAAGCAATAGGAATGAATCAATTAAAGATTCTGCTGATACGGTTAATGCACGTTTCAAATATTTTTGGCGGAAGATAAAATAACGTATCTACCAGAAAATTACATAAGTTGCGGTAATCGCAGGAACTAAATTTTCCCGAAAGTTATTTTGAAACTAAGTATAGAGCCCATACATACCTGTGCGACGGTTGATTTGACATTATTGACGTTCGATGTAGTCATTTCACATGGCCTGTATACTTTTTCTGAGGAATGCATCTCTACCTTCCCCATTTTGATTCTGGAACAATGAAATGAAGTATAGAATGAAACGTTCCAGTACTCACATGGGTCTCATGTAATATCCAGAGTTCATATCTAATTTTTTTTTACTAAGCATTTTTGTGAACTTCTACAATTTAGAATTTTACACATTCTAACTAATTTTAACATAAAATAGATGTTTTAAACAACAGGCAAGTTTACATCATTTATAAGAGATTTTGTCTTGTCTTATACCTATTGGTTCAGACTTGGGGGCTCGCCAACTCCCAGGGCTTCGCCCTCTTGAGGCGTCTTATTTCTGTGGTGTTATCTAATAGTAGGAGTGCCTCAGTATTGGGAAGGCTATGGAGATGCTTTTCATCTAAAAATTGGTAGACGAAACTTATCAATACACTTTTGTCTAAAAAAAGACCAGCCGTATTTAATTCAATGTACCATTCAGGAATAACATTATCCTTTGGATTTTTTTTCAAATCCAATGAACAGTAAAGTTGCAGATCGTGTATTAGCAGTTAAGAGCCACCCATAAATCAAGTGTTGCTGATTAAAACGGTTTGTAGACAACGATAATCCTGAGATGATATATGGAATGATGTCATAGATGGAAGAGAAGATATTTTTTGTTTGCCCTATTCTACGTAATTAACAGACTGGGAAACATGACGACGGTGTAAGTCCACAACCATGTACCTCGGTTTACTCACTTCTTCATACTTAATTTTTAAAATGGAAAACCTCTCAACGGTCATTCTTAAAAACTGCCATGTCATTTCTTCTCCATGCGAAAAAAATTCTGGGAAAATATCAAAGAAATATGTCGATTTGTTTTCATTTAAAAAAAAACATAAAATAAGAGCGGAAATTTTCAAACGCTGGAAACGAGATACATTGCTGCGGACTCATACCGTTGATGAATTACTTGTCAGTCTTGAACAGCCCCCTTACACTCAATCGTGTAAAGTATGATAAATTTTCGGAAATAAGGGATTTTGCAGATGAAGTCAATGTACACTGGAAAAAAAAGAATCTTAAATTTGCCGCCAAGAAGTATTTCTTCTTAAATCAAGAATTTTGCTGGTTAATATAAGCTACTTTTTTGCTTAACCCATGCAAGCATTATTTTTTTTGAATCAAGAAAAAGTCAGCTTAAAGCAAGATAAAGAAAATTCTTGGCGGCAAATTCAAGAATTATCATGCTTGATCCAAGCTACTTTTTTTTTCAGTGTAAAGCCAACGACATTAACTTCGTCAGTGTAGGATGATAAACTCAATTCTTCCTCACCTTTATAAACCCCGATCAGTTGAAATCGGGATGCACGATCAGATACTCTGGTACTTAAATTTCCAGGAGAGGGTATGCACTGTGCATTATGCCAAAGTTATAATTAGAAAACTGGATTGCACGAAAGTATAAAAGTAGAAGTCCTACTGTAAAAATTACATTTTACTTATCTGATGGTAAAAAAAATAAAAAACTGGAACGATACAAACGCGGGTGAGACACGGCCGTTAGCTCTTTCTAATGATATTACGTGAGCGTCTGGTGAGAAATGAAAAATACACTGAATTGTTATGAAAAAAAGAGCTTGAAATGCTACCTTATCTAATTTGCGATAAATTTGTCAGGGTTGACCTGTGATACCTTCTGATTGATCTCTGTGAGCTTTATTTACAAAAAAAATGAAAGTTGATCAACATGGTCCCGTGACGGCCGACGCGCGGGCGGCTGCTCCTCACGGCGCGGCGCCTCACGAGATACTTGTGTCGATTACGTTGACGTACATCTTTTCTGAATTTCCCTTATTTCCTCATTTTTTCCTCTTAAGTGTCTGTTTTCGCGATGAATCGCTTTTAAAATAATCACTTGCAAAGCGGAAAAAAATAATATTAAAACTCGAAGCAGAATCAACAGTCATTCAATTGAATACTTTCAACGGGCTGAATATACTGATAGTAGAATATTAAAACTTGTTGATACTGAGATTCAGGACCGTCCATGAGTGAAAGAATGAACAAGAGGAATTAAACATTGAGACATATTGTGACAATGTAATGAGGGTAGCACCAGCAAACGAATTCTAGCACGAAAATTACCTTCAAATTTCGCATCGATGAAGAACTGTGGCGGTTTGAAGTTTACGATCCGAGAAACGTACTTTTGAGGTAATGCCATTTAAAATTCTAATTGGTCGTTTTCGGGGCAAAAACTTTACGAATTTTGATGCAATATTTTTTGCCTTTTTTTTTGTCTTTTATTGCCACTAAAGTGAATTTACCTATGTTTGGGAAATTCAGGCCACAAGAATGAATTCTCCGTTGAAATCTTAAAATCGATTTTTCGACCAACTTTGACAAAAATCATTTAATTGAAAATTTTGCCCCCGCATACATAGGCTAATATTTCTTCTCCTGTGAATGACAACCTTAGTTATCCTAAATTATAAGCATTAAATATTAAGATTCATTTTTTAAAAAAATCCTCAATTGAAAATATTAGAGGAAGTGGCATTTACCTGCATTTGCTCCTCATTTCTAAGATCTTTGTGGCTACAATATACATTTAATGTTTAGCCATTTCTTTTTTACAAACTGATCTCTGGTTTGTTCTAATCGTGCAACTTTATGATGTCACTGGTGCGGGGTGAAATTTTCGAATCACTTCCTTGATGCCGATCGTAAACACTTAAATCTAGAATGTCTGCTTTATATATTTCCTGTGCAACACACTTCATTAAAAGATTGCCGATGATAGGTATTTTGAAGATCTAAAGTGTTCATTGCAAACTGCGCATTTGCTGTTTCACAACGTTAGTAGGCGGTATAATTATGATCATTAGGAGATATTCTTGGTTTGACAATTTAAAGGTCGACAAGAAGAATTCAAAACATGAGAACCCTCAATATTTTGAGATATTTCTGCTCTCTGTAATTTATCTATTTTATCCAATTATTATTGATCAATAGTTTTTTTTTGGTTAAAGTCCTAGATTTAGAAAAATAATTGAATGTAATTAAAACAGCTGTAGCCAGTACTTACGTCTTATGATTCCCATGTCGCAACTGAAAATCTTAATTTCCATAAAGCTGAAAAACTAATTTTTCAATGATTGAAGCGCTTTAATATACAACTTCTCCAATTCTATTCTGTTAGAAAATGATAACCTTTACGGCTAAATGTTTGAGAAAAAAATGTAGCAAACGTTATGTGACATTATCACATCGGCTCGTTGAAACCTTGAATGTATGCATCCCTTGCATTGCATTATTATTTTTTGGGTGAGGGAATAATGCTGGTCAATTTCATACATTTTTCAAGATTTTCAAGTGCAATTTTGTCCAGAAAATTGGGGCCCCTCTCAACTATTTAAGTCCCTTCCTTGGAATTTGTCTGAGATAACGCCTCCGTATAACATACCATGATGAGCATCAGAAGCAAGACAAAAGAAACTTGCCTCATTTCATGTCGTGTTGAGTTCAATCATAGTTTTAAATAGTAAAATCGCATCATCAGTTAAACACACGGAAGTGTAGTGCCGTGCATGAATTAAGATACGAGATTTATATAGATCACTTGAGAAATGGAGGAACACTTCGTTGAAAAATCACATTATTCAAAATGCGAAACCATTTAATCCGGAGAAACGATCGCAGAAGTGGTCAACTTAATTTAATCCTTAATGCCATTTACACTTCAAAAACTACGAAGCGGAAGACGCATCTTCTTAATAAATGGACAATAATTAACAGATCATGACAACGTCATTGTTTTTGCTTATTTTTAGTTTATTTCATTTTTTAATTTTATAATTACCGAAAAAATACTAAATTTAAACGCTGAAATAGATGAGATTCATCGTTAAACTAGTGTTGCATTCATAAATTTTACTTCAGTTTCAGTCATGAGTGCGGACGCAGTTTTGTATTTGAGGAGCTCTCATTTGACCCCAGTCCATACGATCTGTCCGGCATTAGAAATTCATATGATGTAAAGTATGTTCTGTCAGTGGCGAGGCGTGAATGAGCCATTATCGATAGTTCATTATTTAAAACTATGGTAAAAGATCGATTATCAAGGTGTTCGTTGCGAACACCCTGTTTATCGATCCTTTTCCATAGGTTTAAACCAGAAAATCGATTTATTGCAAAGCAAACCACGCCTCTGATTCTGGTGAAATTGGTCAAATAAAATATTAGGTCCTAACTAATTAAATCGATCAATTTAAATCATCTTATCTTCAAGCATACAAATTCCACAGTGGCAAGGATACCGGTAACCATTCGGCATAAAGGAGAAAGTAAAATCTTACCTGAGCTCCTATTTACCGACTTTCGAGCACATGAAGCATCTCCAACGTAGAGTTAACTGTTACTCAAACTTGTTGACCATCTTTACTGGTGATCGTATCTACGAGAAGTCTCTCGTCGTATCTTTTAATTCGCTATTAACACTTGAGATTAAAACAAAGCGTTTACTCTGAATTCTCGATTGTAAATGCGAATTGATAATTAGTAGACTGGATAAAGGATCCAATTTTGCTCCTGTACTGTCGTGCTAGGGGGAAACGCTGTATGAGCATTCGAATGTTGCCAATTCTCTCTTCATTTTTTATAAAATAATTAAAACAAGTGATGTATTAAGATAATAATTTCTTGCAAAAATTGGCTTGTAGAGGCTCGTATAAACAGATTTCAGTTTTAATGGAAAAATATGTGATATATGTTCATTTAACAACACTTGTTGATTCTAGCATCAAACCGGAAATACGCTCGGTTATTAGAGCATTTTTGATTTATTTAATCAATTCGCAAGAGACCTCCTAAAACTAGCTTGTTCAATAGCACATTTCAGCTGGCACTAAAATTGCAACCAGGACAGTTTTTAAAACTAGAATATTTTTCGTCTATGGTTCATCATTTGCATTTTTTTTTCCAATTATGCTTCACTGTAATCATTAATTTGGAATGGCATAGGTTGAAGAGACTTTGTACTAAATTTTATATAAGCGGAGTACTAGACATGCAATAGACAAGGGAAGAGAATATTGTAGCCATGATACCTTAACTTCGTTTGTTTAATTCATGCTGCGAAGGATTTTTCGGCTCCGTATCATGGCTAAAAATAATATTTTCTTCTTTTGTCTGTTTCACTATATTATATTAGATACCTATATTTACCAGTATATTTGTTTAAACATGCAGTTTATGATAAAGTCAATTTTTTTTTTTTTTTTTTTTTTTTTTTTTTTTTTTTTTTTCATGAGTCACAAACCCATACGAAATTTCATAAGTCTAGAGGAAGGTTGCCAACAGAAAAATGAGTGAGAAAATTTGAGTATTAAACAGCTGACCTCTGTTCATGAATCGTTTCCATGATCGAATTTTGATTAGCACCTATTAATTTCCCCTACCAACGCAAATAGATATCAATTCCACGCTTAGGTGAAAACATTATTAGAATCTAAGAGCAAAGACATGCAAATGCTCACAGAAAGTCCATTGCATAGCTATTTGCCTCTGTTGCAATTGAAGGGGCTTCCAAGATAAAAATTAACCCGACCGAGTAGAAAGCTAAATACACTACTATCTAAAGCGTAACTTTAACGAGTTCCTACCATGAAATTGTAGCGTTTAAACTTCAAATAATCACCGAAATATTTTGGTAAGCAAAAAACTTAAAATTATGGGCAAGTGCATTGATTTTTTTACGAGAATCAAATTGGGCACAAAAATAATGTTGCTGCACATCACTTAAATTATTTTTCTTAGTGGACTGAATTGACTAATTTCAATTGAAAAAAATATCGTCTCTCTTTTACGGGTTGATTTTGGAAATTTAAATACGTAAAACGTATCCTACATGAAATTTTGATCAGAAATTACTTTTCTTATAATATTCTTTTATTCGTATTCTGTCGGATGATTTCATGTTATGGACTTATATTCATTTATTTAACCCTACTTTCACAGATAGTTTTACTAATAAGATACTTCGTTTTTTAAATACTTGTTTTCAATGAAGAAAGTTTCCATTCTAAATTTCTTTAAGACCTTCGTATATTCATTCAAGCAATTACGCAGCCTTAACTGCGATTATTAATTAACTATAACTCAGAAACACGGCGTGTCTTCCACCCCTCCCTAAAGAGTCTCAATTTTGTTTTTGTTTTTTGCGGGGGGATGGGGGGGGGTAAAAATGTGGGTAGAAGAATTAATTTGATTCATATTACCGCTGAATTGCGGGCGATCGTCCTTAACGTTTTATTCATTCATTAAAATGGATCGATAATCACGACAAATTAATTGTTATTTGATATAATTATTTTGCGACTCCCCCATTCCGAGAACACGAAGAATGGTCGAGACATCTGACGTCACTCGGCAGCGAAAACTTCTTAACTTTTCAGTTCTCTCTCCCTTTTCGTCTCGGAAGAAATCATCTTTGCTCGATAAAATCCCGAGTGAATATTCGGTTATTTTTAGCGCTCTATGCGAAAGTTTTTCATGGGAAATCGATTCATGTCTCAAAGCTGTATACTTTTCGCTAAAATTATTTCAACTTTAATAATACAGTTTACTATTAATAAACGGATTATAAAATTAATTACTTTTCCTGACAACGTAATAAGGGCATTTGTTAAAAGTAAAAAACAAACTGCTCCGTCAGCGACATTTTAATTTTTCGCATAAGCCGGCGCGGTGTTATCTGTGAAAAAAAAATAAAAATAAAAAATGAAAGAAAATAAAATTCGTTTGATTAGGCATCAATGAGGACTTTTGGGTTGATTGGGTATCTTGACTGATTTTTTCCATTCTCGAATTTAATTTGGTTCTCTCTTTAAACGGCTGAGAGGGTTGTATCATAATATATGCTAGATAAAGTAGCGTCAAGGTCAATTTGATCGGGGGGAATAACTTACATCCCGTGGATCAATTTTTAATTGATCAAAAATGTTCAATAAATGACTCAACTCCTGGGAAATTTCACATTAAGAATATTTATTTCCGTGCGTATGCCGCACTTCTTGACAAGAAATTCGATTTTCTCTAGACATAAGAAGTCTCCTCTTCAAATGTGAAATGATTTTAAGACATTTTCGAATTACAAGGAATGATATTGCAACCTTTTTCAGAGCGATTGCGCCATCTTTTTTTCTGTCTTTACTAATCTGCTTTCGTCTTTTGTTTCTTGCTTGTATATGACTTTTTATGAGGTCTCTAACCAGTGGCGTGGCGTGAATGATCGTTTATCGATATTTCCCCATTTAAAGCTGTGGTAAAGAATCGATTAGTAAGGTGTTCGTTGCGAACACCCTGTTAATCGATTTTTTCCATAGGTTTAAATGGTAGATCGATCGATATATCGCAAAGCACGCCACGCCACTGGTCTCTAACATTCTCAGGTTAGTGGATCAGAATCTCTCAAGCCTCAGGCAAAGTATTCTTATACCTTCTGGGTACATAAAGCGAAGTAGTGGTATCATTATAGTCTTTTATAGAGGCAGAATGACTCTTACTGTAAGTCGTAGAAGGTACAGTGAGTTACAATAAGTGTGACATGTAGAAGGAAAATCAGCTACGAATGGAGGATTTTGAGGGAATTTTTGTCTCCTTTTCGAACAGACCTACGTAATCATATTTAGAAGCACGTCTTTAAATCTAAGCAAGAAAAACTGCTATTCATCCCTTCAAACTTCAAATCAGAAGTGTGCTATTTTGAAGTATCGACCCGTCAGCATTCAAATTAAAAAGAAAAAAAAACACCCTTAAGATACTAAATGTTACTTTGCCCCACATGATCACTACTTGCAGCGAAAGGAAGCAAAATCTAACTGAAGAGGGAGTAGTGGATGATTATTGAATGAGTGACTGACTCCTAACCGAAGTAAAATATACTAATTTCGAGGGAGCTATGAGGACATAATATGAGTGAGTTGCTAGAGGGAAGGGACGAAGGGTGATTATTGACTGCGTAAAGTGGATTCACTGCTAAATCATTTAACCTCCAGTTAAATGAACTGCGCAATATTTTAACACACTTCGAACAGTACATCTGAATACAAAAAGTGAAATAAACTTTCGAATTTTTAACAGTGTTGTCAACATTGCTCGAAGCTAACTCCTCTCACACATGAATTAAATAGCCTTTTTTTTAAAAATCAAAGACCACCTTTCTAGGTCATACCAAAAAATTACCTAACATGCGCAAAAATTAAATTTTCTCATGAATTCAATGCAAATTAAGTAACTGCTAATTGTGCCATGCTCAAAATTTAGCATATATTATGCTGCGAGGTGGAGACGCTCAAGGTGAGACATGGCGGATTAATGCCAGTCTAGCGGTGGCCAGAAATGGAAGTCTATTATGGGTGCCCCTGGCCAAAGATAAGGCGGCTAATTACTGAAGATACTTGTTACGAACAAGGAGCCATGATAAAGCTGGAATTTTTTACGGTCACATTTATCACCTGTGGCTGATTCTCGTGAATAGTTACCACAGTTTTTCCGAAAATCACGCGGTAAGTAGAAAGCGCTGTTTGTGAGCTCAAACTCAATTTTTGCATTTATTTAGCTCCGTCCTCGTAACACTGACTTGCACGCTCATGCTGGTGCAAAACATTCCCGAGAAATATTTACTCTTCCTAATGAGTTTTAAAGATAGTGCCGGTTCTTTGACGTTAGATCAACCTTCGAGAGATTATTTCACACTCAATTGTTTCAAGATGCAAGCTCCTCTGGCCCACTGATTGTGATTAAGAAGGTTTTTGAGTCAAGGATCAGCATTATAACTTAAAAAAACATGCACGTATTGTGATATTCAGAAGAATATACTGTGTACTGAACCCCTAAGGAGATCAACCGAGTAAACTCGTAGTGCTCACAACGTGCACTTCTTACGTTTAGTGGAATCAACAAGAGAAGTGAAGGTAAGTTTATTAACTATTCCGATTTCTAATATGCTAAAATGGACCGAACGAAACACCAATTTTCTACGCACTTCTTTCTAGATACGTTGCAATTTGACAGCAAAAATCTTTAATGTCACTGTTTCAGCAAATTTGAGGATTTTTCAACCATCATATAATGAATTTAACCTATTTAAAAAGTTATTGAAACGTACCCTGTTTAATTGCATAGCTCTGATTCGGACAATTCTATGGTTTCTCAACCATGATAGAATGAAACAAACCTATATAAAGTTACTGGCTTGAGTTAGGATACATTTAATTATTGCACCAGTTCCTTTCTAATAGAGAAAGTTCCGTATCATGCATACAGTTTGCTAACGAAACTAAATTTATGCGTTAATTTTCGTATAAAATGGATTTCAAAATGAAATGAACGACCAGCAAATAAAACACCGATAGAGTTACCTACTCTAACTCTCCAAATTTCTCACTCAAAAATGCTTACGTATTGAATAATGAAAATTTCTTGAGAATTTACAATCTTTATTCTCAGAAAAAAATTAGGTTGTTGGTTCAAATTAGTCTGTGTTTGCGGCTGGACGAATGAGCGCATTTTTTGTTAAAAAATCAACTCATGGCACTTAAATGTTGTACAATATAGGCCAACTTAAAGAAACTTAAATTACAAAATAAATTACTTCAAGAAAACTTCGCTTTGCCATGCAATCGGCGCTCAGTATAGGTTTTCGTTTCAAATCCATCCTTCAACATAAATTGTGATAGCTCTTCCCTTTTTTGTTCACATGAACTGTTTATAATTTGTCAGAAAATGTTACGGGGCCTTTCCAGCTGCTTCAGCATTGGTTTTCTTCTGCTCCTAATTGTATTTCGGGCTGCCACTCTGGAGGATTATGGCCAAAACACGACTCCTAAAGAAAGAGCACAGCTATATTCCGACGTCTGCATAGTCCCCGAAATTATTGAAGAGCCTCCGGAGCAAGTTCTATTAGTAAGATAAATGTTTTACGTATTAGAACTAAATTGAAAAAAATTCTATCTTTGTGGAAAGATTCCGCGGATGCCTTACGTCTCAAAACAATGCCACTAGCATGTATTGATGTTACTTGAAAGTTCGCAACTCTGAGCTTTGGAAATAAAAATGTATATAAGATAATCGATTTCAATCGATTCTAGACGAAACAAACTACCACATCAAGAGTGAGAATTAGTAATGGCATTAAATTTGAGAATAATAGTGTTTCCTTTTTTTGAGAATCGCTAGTGCATGCGTGTCTGCTGAGTCTTATTGTTGTAATGCGCCAAAGACGCAGAATTTCTCCCCTCACGAGAGTGGTGGAATTCCTTATTTTGGGATTTTTTCGATAAATTAATCTCGAAATTAGTCTATGTTCGCTCAGCGTCGAAATTTTTCATTCGCAAAGTTTAGAATATGCTAATGCTGGAATTTTTTTTTCCTCATTGAAATAGCTTTAAAGCTTCCTCGGTTTTTCTGTCAATGAATCAGTTTTTATTTATACCATAAAAATACGGATGTATGATTTTTGAATTTTTTTATATTAAGAAAAAAAAAGTCTTAAAAGGGCGGACATAACACTTAAACAAGACTACAAAAAGTTTGCAAGATATTTTCTGTTACGGTTAGATTTTCTTCAATCTCTTTTGAGCACAAATTATTTCTAGAAAGTCATCTTACTTATTCGTCATCTCTTGTGTACAACCTGCAAAATACTCATTTTTCCATTTCTCGGTTTAAAATTTTGGCATAATCTTGAAAAGTGGGTTTTCAAATTTTTCTATTCAGTGCTAAATTATGAACAATGAACAATTTTCAATTCATCATAATTCTAAACTTTTACCTTAAGTCGCTCCTGTTTCCATGCTTTCATCCCATTCGTTCTGAAATAATCCGTGCATTTTACTCTACTGAATCATGGTTGGACGAAAAAGAAAGTTCATGCCTCATATCCCAGAGATGGCAAATGTTAAAAAGGTTCTTATCATTGATATTATTTGAGTTTAGTCTTTTCTAAACGAGTCTTTTAAATCCATCAAATCCACTAGTTAAGACCTTCTGAAAAAAGTTGCATTTGCTGTGAGCTCTTCACTGAACAGCTTTTAGTCAGCCATTTTTCGACTTCAACTTGCCGTCGAGAGGTTTGCTACATTACGGAGACGATATATTTTTTATCATCATAGTAAGTAATCGCCAGAAAATGGTTTGGATTTGCAAATTTTAGATGTTTGGATACATTAATGTGTAAATAAAAGGATACTTTCAACACGCGCGTTATGCAGTAAAGTCGGCAAAAATTGTCTTAGAGGCTAAAGAATCCACCGTTAAAATTGCGAGTTTCCCTACTAAAATCAATGTAGGATATGATCAAGTGGCAGTTATTGAAAGATGGCAACACCGTTTTCCCTCCATATAAATGCACGTGAAACAATCGATTTTTGACGAGGCAGCTTACCTCGCCTAAAATCGATATTTTTAATGATTTAAATGGAAGAAAAAGTGTTACCAACTCGTTATATCGCCACTGATATAATCTTAATTTGTGTTAGTTACTTTCGATCGTTTACAGGTAAATTTCTCGGCGACAAATTATGTTCCTCGTCTTGGCTTAAATGGGGTTGCAACAAGAGAAGAAGTCTCAGTAAAGCCTGATAAAATTTACTTCGAAGCTGACCCTTACAAATTGTACTCTCTGTTTGAATTGGGTAATTATGTGATTTTGTAATCCTCTTGCAGTCATTTATATTATCCTCAAAAGAAGCTGTGTTGGCTTAGTCCAAAGTTCCTAAGGGTCTATTTATATTTATTAAAGTAACAGTTTTGAGAGGAAGGATAGGATAAATATAATTTAAAACAGAAGTCCGCCATTGGCGCAGAGTATAATGGCTTAAAAGCTACGATTTTTGAATTGCTAACTTGATATTGCCATAGCTTCGATTTGGTCGGAGATTTTAGGCGTTTATGTGCCGGATTGATTGTAAAATACTCGTCCAAGCAGTTGCATCCATATGGCTCAATTTTGAGTCTCAACTTACATAGGTCTTTTTTCCCCATGGACGGACAAATTTCCAAATTTTTTACTGAAGTATAATTAGATGAGGTCCTTTGAAACTGATAGGTATCCTTTCACAATATAATATTCATGCAATGCACATATAATTTTACATGAGATTTATGGCTATTTTGGTAGGCAAATCCTCCTTCCTACCCTTCAAAGTGATTTTTTTTTCTTTCAGTCAAGAAATTGGGGCCAGAGGTAACGAGGAATAAACGTCCATGAAAGATGTAGACACTGTATGATTTCTTTACACTCCAAAATTATGTACAGTTGTGTTATTAAAATCTTTTTTCAGGGACTATACCAAAACTCCTAAATCCTGTCCTGAACAAGCAAGTTCTGCATTGGTTTGTTTGTAACATTCCCGGGTATCAACTTCTTAAAGGAGATACAGGAGCTTTTTACATCCCTTCAACACCAGTAACTGCTTGTATGTATTTTTCCAGTCTAATATTTTGCATTTAACTTACTCCGATCGGAATACACACTGTTTACATTCAGTCACCTGTCGCAAGGATTTAGTTATGTATCTCACGATATCAAGAGATATCAATCGATCTTCTGAGTTAGCAAATAAATATCGAGACCTTTTCGAGTGTCAGACAATTAGTTCTCAATCATGCACAGGATGATCCAGACCGCACCCAAGCACACCTCTCTCCTGGTTATTTCAGATTTGATCAGGTCTTGGACCACAAGAGGAGAATAAGGAATCGACCCCTGTGAATCCGAATTTAATCGTCTTGAGGCCCCTTTTCTACCATTTTATGTGGAGGGGAGGGAAAGATGGTAGAGGATCCTGATTTTAAAAGTGGAAGTTCCCGGCAAAATTTGGAAATATATCTCTCAAAATTGAAAATTACGGACAATTGTAACCTTAATTAATACCAAGAAATCCAAAATCAGCCTACTTTCTTCCGAAATACTGACTTTTAATGTAGGGTGGTCATTTATCTGACATAGAGAATTGAAAAAAAAGAGATTTCTTTTTCTTTTTTGTACTCGGCCCTGAGGAATCCGAACTTCGTGGCCCCCGAGGTTTCATGGATGGAGCTATGAAGAGCTCTAATTTTTTCAGTTTGAAATTGTAGGATCCCCTGTGCCCCGTCAGCGAAGCCCTGTCAAATGAGGGTTTTTTGGGGCCTGTGAGAAACTAGTCACGACTTATGAGCGTCTCTGATTTTACTTGTATATAAATGGAGGACCCAAACATGCGCAAATATTAACACAGTTTAAAATTTTACTTTTCATATTTCAGTTGAGGTGTACGTGTATAAATTCCTCATTTTCTTACAACCTGGGCCGATAAATTGCACTCTTGTCCAACAGTAAGTTCTACTTCAGTTATACTTATCAAGCTTTTTCGGTTTTCAGCTACGTTTTATATGAAAACAAAAGTTGAGCTATTAGCCGATTTTACAAATATATGCAATGACAATATATTAACATCCTTTTGCACGCTGTTGGTTGCTGATCGTCGTAAATTAAGTAACTACCTAACTATTCACTGAAACTTTTTGCATCCCTTAATTTAAAAATCTAAATTTTTGTATATACACCCATCTTCAAAATTCTTTGTACGTTAATAGCCTAGGATGCTGAATGCCTATAAATATAATTACTAACTATAACTGAGTAGCTATTAAAGCATGGCCTGAGTCGCAATCATTGCATATATTTGTAAAATCGGCCAATAGCTCAACTTTTGTTATACACATTATTTTATTTCTAACCTCTTGACTGAAAATTTTGGCGAAAATGAGATAGCTACTTGGCTGCATCACTGCACCAGTGCATTCTATAAAATGCGCAAGCTGATTTTTTTTTTTAACCGCAAATTAGTGCTGTAATGACACTGTATGCATTAATAATTTGTGAACTACCCTTGAAATTACAAAAAAAAAACGCATTCTCTCTTCGTCCCGTTAAATCATTAGTTTAAAGATAGTTGGTAATGTTCCTTATCCATCGATAAGTGAGTGCTCAAGAGAAAGAGAAAGGGGCTTTGTGCGAAAGAGCATAAATTACATCATCGTCAGAGTGCGTTCCGTGAATATTTTGAGACAAAAACTGTCTAAAAAGTCATAACTAACTGGAATTCTTGTGATTTCAATTTTGATCTTCAAAACTATGAGAGTCGAGGAAAAGCTACGCAGGACTCTGATCTGACATAATCAGAGCACACTATCGATGAATCATGCAGTAACTTTACCTATTTATTAGCACGAAACTGAACTACATGAATGAAGATGTTGCATGTGTGAGGAATTTGCGATTTGACTGATGATTCGTATGTGAAATTTCGTGAGAAACACGATGGTGCTACTGGTTTTTTCTGAAATCAACTCCCAAGCTCAAAAAAAGCTCTCAAGTTGAGGCCAAAATGGAGGATATATCCCACCCTACCCTGAGAGTCCACCTCTACATCAAAACAAACTCTCTATGCAAAGATAGGGAGCAAATACATTAGCAGGGTTGCCGTGTTTTCAGTTTTGGAGTCCCCAAATGAAGTGGCAGACCTGTCAATGTAGTTGCTCCCTATCTTTGCATGGAGAGTTTGTTTTGATANAATTACATAAGAATTGACCCCAATCATGACATCAAAATCAAATTCCATAATTTTCACCCCCCCGAGCCCCCATTTTGGCCGCCATCTTGATTTTGGGGGGTTGGACGCAAAATTGAGCTTGACAACATCGAAATTCTTTTTTTACGCATCGAAATGAAGAGATTAAGATATTTTCCACACTTGCTTCACTTACCGTTCCACGGGAGTACATAAGAACCTGAACTATGATGTAGAGGTGGACTCTCAGGGTAGGGTGGGATATATCCTCCATTTTGGCCTCAACTTGAGAGCTTTTTTTGAGCTTGGAAGATGATTTCAGAGAAAACCAGTGGCACCATCGTGTTTCTCGCGAACTTTTACACAAGAAACAACGCAGTCAAATCGCAAATCCCTCACACATGCAACATCTCCATTGCCATGATGAGAGTTTTACCCCTGTGGTAAACGATTTTTTCCTTTATTAAACGCCCATCTAGCGCATATTAACGGTGAAACTGCAGAAAAGCGCATATCGGTTTGCGGCGTTGCAAATCTCTTGCCATACTTCACTTTCTACATGGAAAACTACTGAACTTTATTTTTTAAAAATCCCAGTAACTTGTCTTTTCTCTGTGAAGAATATTCTGTGAAAACTTCAAGCCATGATGTGGGTGCGGTCTCCTTTTAGAAAATAAAATGGAGGTGGAGATTACCGCAACGCAACCGAGATACGCATCCTTGTAGTTTCAACGTCGACATATCGTCGCATCTCTGGCGTAAGGGCGTATCTTGATTTACACGTGAACCCTGCTGCTCGTATAACTCCATGCTTCTCAGAGCTCATGTGGAAATCTGGATGCGCCCTTACGTCAGAGGAACGACGATATGTGTAAGAGTAACAGAATCATTAACCTTTAATTGTGTTTTACGTTATTTTTTCCCAGACTTCTCGGTCTGTTGGGGCGATTAGATTTTTCCGTCACCGACTATGCAGAGAAGCACAATTTAACAGGTCCATTGGCAGGGAACTTCTACGAATGCTGCTGGCCTTTTCAAACCATAGGTCTCGTTCCGTTGCCCGGAGTCAGTAACGAAACAGTAAACCTCCGAGCAACAGGACAATGTGCAGTAAAAGACGCACTCGAGAATTCACTCCCACGTCTCCCCTCTCTCATTCCATTTTTATGATGAGACCGGAAAATCTGCTTATGAATGGTACACAAATAGTGCTGTTTAGCGACAGCTTTAGGATTCTCTTTCGCTCTTACGTTTGATCGAACCTTCACGAGAATCCTGTCATTAATCCTAATTTTCAAATTATGCACGCAGCTTTATGAGTATATTTTATAGCTGATTATTCTCTTAGTTTTTTACCCCAGTCAATCGATTAAGAAGAAAATTGTGTTCATGTCTCACATTTTTCAACACACCGCTTCCAACAAGTCAATATCAAAATACACAGTTAAGAATTTCCGTGTTTGCGGATCCTTTGGTTCGTTTCCGTTTGATTAACAGTGGCGTGGCGTTAATTGCAATATATCGATTGTCACGCCATTTAGACCTATGGAAAAGGATCGATAAACAGGATGTTCGCAGCGGACACCTTATTAATCGATTTTTTACCATAGCTTTAAATGGCATAATAATCGATACATCGCAATTCACGCCACGCCCTTGTTGCTCAAGACAATATTTGGTTAAATCGATTAAAAAGTTAGGTTAATTTGAAATATCTGGGGATAAGGAAATTGTCCCACTGAACTAATGGCCCCTTATTGTTTCTCATGATGCCACGTAAAGGTTGCGGATGGCGAGTGGCCAGCGCAATGGAATATCATCAATGCGATTCATGCTCGATCTCGGTTGCTCTCGCCTGATTTTTAAAGGATGGAAATTTATAAAAAAAAATATTTGGTCAATGTAACCCAAGGAAAAAATAACCATAATATTTGCATGTATAAGAGTCGCTTTCACAGCGCTCTCTGGCACTCTGCGACGCCTAGCCGCCACAGTGCCCGGTCCTCCCACAACCCTTCAGGGAGTTAGCACTCTTTCATTTCATTTAAACCCCCTGTCGCCACCCTTTCACTGGGCAGTGGGCGTCCCCTACGTATTCTCTCGCTTTAATATATCAATTGTGCACTTATGTTACCATGTGTTTTTTTCCTATATTAAAATGAAATTTTGGTTGCTTCGTTTTACTGTGTAGGTCCATTAAGTCATCTAAAACAAACTTATAATTCAACGAGTAACGAATGCTCAATCCTCCAAACATTTACTCTCTACTCCAATGCACGATACTAAAAAAACTCTACAGGAAAAATTCGGCAAATTGAAAGAATATTCCATCGTAAAGAACATCAAAGTTAGTGGTGATTTCACTGTAGTGTAGACCTGCTTTTAATTCATATGGCAGAACACGCTGAATTCTTGCATAGTATTTAAAACTGGGAATGTTAAATGCGTCAACCATTTTCCATGTGAAATTTTGATGCAGTAATATATGGCGTGTCTTTAAATTTCCTAACTGTTTAGTATTACATTGTGACCGAATATTGATAACTTCTTTACCATTATTTTGACAAACTTTTGATAATTTAGTCACAGTTTTTCTGATAAACTTTTAACAATTTCGTATAAAGACCAAATTTTTGACAAAATTAAGGTCCTCTGTCCAAATTTTGGCACTTGCAAAATGTAGCATATTTCTTAAATTCGGCCACTTCGAGCCTATCCTTCGAAAAATTGGAGGATGATGGGAAAAACATGACATGATTTATTTATTAGCCCTATTTCATATTCAAGACTCACCAATAGATAATTTCAAACCTTTTGCCGTATAGTCCAGGGCCTGCCATAGGCACCTTCGATATTTGATAATTTCCAATGTCTTGTTCAACGTTGGAGCCATGCTAGTTGATCGAATTCAGAGTTCGTGGTATTTTGTGAGCATAATCAAACTTTCTCTGAACTTTGAGTCTCGGGCTTAAGCTAGGGCACAGACAGGACACTGAGCGATAAGCTGCGGTCAGTGACATGAAAAAGAAGGGATGCCAGGCTGGACCCTTGGGTGATCGATTCGCAGTTTTGACGCCCGCTTTTCATCCCTTCACCATAATTCTCACGCTTTTCTATTCCTTGTCCCCAACGTTGTCGATTTCATTCAGATCAAACCTTTAAATGAAAGGATCATATCATTATTCTCAAAAGAAGAAGGAAGGAGTGGGGGGGGCGGCAGTGGAAATAATACAAGTTGTTGACCTTAAGATTGTGGGTAAAAGCTCATTTTAAAGTGTATTTAAATTGCATTACGGTTAACGACATTTTCGTCGGTTGCTATGGCAACGAAACCATTCTACATCAAATTTTATCAGGGTTCTGTCTCACCCCTCGTTTCAGGATCTTAAGTCTGAAAGCGGTGGCTCATTAAAATACTCTCCGCAAATTTTCATTGTTTCATTAAGTAACAGCTAGTGAAGGAAATAAAAAGGTAAAAATAATTGAAATACAGAGAGGACAACTAAACTTGGCTTGTGCAATTGACGAGTCCAACCAACGCAAGAATTTTCCGAGAGAAATTCTTGAAAAACCTGAGGTAGTCATCGTTTTGAGTGGAGCTTATTTTACGGTCCGGAAAAATGGCCGGTCATGTGAACCATATATTTGGTTCATTATTGGTTCATATTTGCGGTTTATAATACATTCTGTACCCCTTGGCAAGCTTGGTCACAAAATTATGAAAACCTAACCACCCCCTACAGCGTTACGTAATTTATGAACTGTCCCTATTCCTCCAATTTTCACTCTTCTTTCTCCTTCTTTTTCTCCGGATAGCCTTTTTTATTATTCTTCTCATCATGTCTCCTACTATTCTTCTCTTTTTTAATCTACTCGTCGGAGGATTGCAATTTAATCGGTCGTCCAAAATACAAAAGGGGGACTCTGCAGCCCCTCAGCCTTTCCCAACACCACGCCACTGAAACCACCCGAGAGGAACCCCGAGGTAGTATTCAAATTTGCCCCGCTCATCTCGACCCCCAACGCCGACGCGGACAAGGCGCAAAAGCAAGGGGACCGTCTGGGCACGAGGNGGGGGGGGGGGGGGGGGGGGGGGGGGGGAGGCGTGTGATCCGGGGCCCAGCCAGAGCGCACGATTCTAATTGCGAACGGCGACAAAAAAGGCTACCGAGGGGCGCAAAGTCAAATAAGTTGACCTGTTGCCCTTTCTTTTTTCCACGCCTCTGCCCGCCACTTGTCGCCACTCCTCGCTGCAGCCGTGCGAAAGGGGGAGAGGGGGAGGGCTGTGGAGTAGCGGTAATCCCTGTTGATGTCGGGGGCTCCGGGGGGCATGCGCCCGGCGGTGCGGCGCGTCGCCCCCCCCTTCCCCGGTGCGCCCTTTCGGGCGCTACTACCGCGCTTACTCATCTTAATAATACCCTTCGCGTTATCGTATTTTCCAGCCCGTAAGTAGTTTAGTCGGTTTCATCTTCTTCATGCGTCGTCACCGTCGCGCCGTGCTCACCTTGTGCTCTGACTCGACCCTCAGGATCCCGCCCCTGAACAAGAGATCTGCCCGGCAGGTAGGTTTCCCGCCCTTCCCACGCTTTTCATGTACACCTGTTGTGCCACTCGCCGTTTTTCGCTCACGCTGCGCGCTGAATAGTAATAACATTGCGTTTGAGGGTATATGAGTTATTTTAGGCCCCGGTGCGCGTGCGTATAGTAAATAAGAGTTGGCATGCAGAGTGATTTTGTGGCTACACAATTCGTTAAACCAACGGGTAGAGTTAGCTGCAAACGCAGCACAATGTGTGATAATAAAAGCATGCCACGTGTTTCGGATCTTTCACCATCTTATCATTTAAAGGTTTATGTAGAAAATTCATTAAATTTTTCGAAAACCAAAAATGTTACAGATTTTACTATCGATGTCAAGAGGCATTTTTCTACGGATATCTTAAAAACATAGCCTTAATATCTGTTCTCATGATTGTGTTTGCAATGTTTTAAATTGTGAAACTTCTCTGGAAATGAATTTGCTCTCCTCAGATATTATAAAACAAAATGAACGCATTCAATTAATAAGAGTAAACTCGGATTGCAATTTAAACATATTAAAAACAGGGTGTTAGGATAAATCATTCAGAATCATAAAATATTTAGGAAATGTTAAAATCAAAACCGAAAAAGGAGAAGGAGAAAAAGGATTACGCGTGAAAGAGGAAAGTGATTGAGAATTAAAAAAATGTCTCTGCCTAAAACATTCGCAATTTTTCTAAAATTTAGTAAACACTTATACTTCAAAGCATGTTAAGTCTGAAAATTAACCTAACTCACTTTTATGAAGTTGAGGCCTGCATGTTTACATTCGTTTTTCTCTCAAAAAGAAAACAGTACATTACTTTAAAATGAAAATATAGGATATAAATTAGGACTATATAGTTGCTCTTCTAAAAATCCTCAAGTTATCTTTAATGTCTTTATGCTTGATGTTTATTTCATCAATCGAAACAACTATTTCTCTGAATCATTAGAACTGTAGTTAATCTGTTTGATCTGAAATTGTATCGGTTCATTGAATCTATTGCAATTATATATTTAACTATGAACAAACGGCGTCTTTGAATCTTTATCTTTTGAAGTAATGAATGGGTGTATGAAAAGGACCTTTTGACTCCCAATAGAAGTCCTTTCACGTTTATTTTCCCTCGTCAACCAACAAACTGTCCAATCATAACTGCTTTATTTATAAAGCTCGTTAATCGGATGTTTGAAATTTGATGCTACCAAGGCTCAATGTCTTAACCACATCTTGACGCCTTCGTTTTTTTGCTTATGCAACACGGACGTCAAAAGAGCAGGAATAAATGCATTCGTTGTTATTCCTTCGCACTCGTTGCGCGTTGGATCAGACTCGTGAATCCCTGAGCATATGACTCTCGAAAGTCTTTCAAAAAATGAATTTAACATTAATTAATAATATCTTAATAATCTGCTGATATCGTATAAGGTGATCAAAATATTCTATAGAGCTTAATCTTAAGGTAGAGGTGGAAGGAAAGGGAGAGAAAGTATAAATACCCCTTCAGTTGTTATCCATTAAGGAGGAATGGATATTAGCTCTATACTGAAAATTTGTCGGGAGTCCATGTCGAATAGAGTCGGAGTTCTTATAGTGGTATGTTTCTAGGTTTTGCGCTATCTAACATTTAGGTTTCCTTTCTCGTAGACAGCCATATATTAGTATTATCTTCATATTAGGTTTTAGGATTAAATTTCACCATGAGCAGCATGAACGAATTTTAGTAACGTTATGCATACAGCGTATATTAACATTTTGAGATGTATTGCCATTTAATTTTGCCGCAAGAAACAGGTAGATAATTATTATGTGAAAAAGTAAATATTGGAATGATGTATGAAGTATGTAATGTAGACAATAAGGATGAGTAATTTTCTTCTTACGCAACCATCGTATCAATCACATGGTAGGTGTCTGAACTGGTCTTTTTCAAAGGTTTTGATTTATCATCTTTTTACATACCTATTTCCTCGTGCGTAGTAAATAATTTGAGAGACTTAACATAACAATAAAATATTACAATGTGAACAAGATTCAGTAATAAAATACATGTTTAAGTTTAAAGACCATACATATATTTTTATTCGAAGCCGATTTACGAAGATATATTAAATTTCGAAAAAATTTTTGAGAAAGGATATTTAAATTAATTTCTAACCGCAGGAGTCCTTCTTTTCTTAAATAACCTTGGTTTAAAATATGTTAAACAATTATATGGTCACTTTAAACGATCATGCACAAGTTGATTTTTAACAAAACATATGCAATTTTCATAAAGTAGGTGACCTGTTCTATTCGTGTCTTAACCAGCAGTGTTCACATAATACCTTTTTATGGACGGCAAATTTTTGACACTCTTTTCCTCGAGATTTCTGATTCAGCAATGTCTCTGTATATTTTGGTTGAAAACAGAAAATCCTGTCAAACTAGAGTATCATAAAACATTGCAATGATATTAAATTCCGCTAAAAGCTCTGAACTCTCCGAAAATCCCGAAGAGTCCGGAAACATTTCTCAATTCAAGAAAGATCCTTGAATTTCAGATTAGCCTTAATTAAATATAAATCAATGAATTTCCAAAACAATATAGGATTCTCATGATCCTGAAAATCCAAACCCTTTATCTTCTCTATATTGCATATACTAATATACTAATATACTAATATATTGCAAAATGTGTAGAATTTCACAAAAATTTGAAAAGAGCCCAAAGGAATCCGCGAATCTTAAAAATACCCATGTATTCTAATAGAGAATTCCTGGAATAAAAATATTTCACTTTCCAGCAGCTGAAATTCATATGAATACACCGGAATATGGTAAAATTCAGTTCGAATATTGCCTATGGGGCTCCTAGAAATTAAAACGGTCCTCATTGACGTCATGTAAGTAGTTTCATCGAGCAATTAAATAGGACGCATCTGTGAGCCTTGACATCCCTGGTAAAAATTGGCAGTAGAATCTTATAGGCGATGACGATTAAGCAACAGCCAGACAATAAAGTTTATACTAAGCGTTACTAAATAAGGATACCAGGACTTAGTTAGTTTTCGGACTACCGCTCTATTTTTGTGCCGTAGTGTCTTGATTTATTTTGCAAGGAAAGCTCCGTACTTTTGAAGGATGCCTGTCATTCTTAATATGTTGGAGCGCCTTCAATGTCTTATGATACTGTGCAATACCTCTGGTGTGAAATAGTTGCTTCAGACGCCATGGCACGCTGCGGTGCGGCGGGCAGGCAGAGAGTGCGTAACGCGCATTAGCGCCTACAAACCTAACAGGGATACTTCACGCATTGCGCAATGCGTGAAGTATCCCTGTTAGGTTTGTAGGCGCCAGTGCGTCGCCGCTCCGCTTTGTGTTAGGCTCTAATATTTAATCTAGCGGAGTCAGCGTTTTTCAACTCATGATTTTGAAATGTTTGCACACTCTGTATGAACTACTCTCATTTTAATTGATGAAAAAAAATATGTTTTAAAGGAAAATATACTGTGTGTTTTGTAAATATTAGGGTAGTTCCGTATCAAACTTAATGGTTTCCAAAGTACACGAATTTCTACACAATTTCTCATAGCCTTTTATAGCCAATGGCGATAAAGTGTAAAGCCCGGCGGTAGGAACTATAGCCCAACTGTATACTTTTTTATAGCTTCGTATAGCCCGGCTATATGATTTGCTCCGCTTTCTACAGCCAGCTATATGATTTTCAATAGCCTTCTTTAGTCGGCTATAAGAACTCCTATGGTATTTTGAAACGCAGCTCATATCGCCAATTTTTACCAGGGATTCGGGTGGTATCTTCCACTGGCGTGGGGTGCTTTGCGATATATCGATTGTTATGCCATTTAAACCTATGGGAAAGGATCGATAAACAGGGTGTTCGCAGCGAACACCTTAATTATCGATTCTTTGCCATAGGTTTAAATGCGTAACAATCGATATATCGCAATTCACGCCACCCCACTGGGTATCTTCCATGACGTAACTTATGCAGGATGTAAAAGCATTTCTGCATACCTAAATGCAGCCTTGTTTTAGTGAAACCACACAAATAACTGTGAAGAGTTCTTGGTTTATGCAGGAAAATAACTTGAATCAAAATTCATTCCGTTTCACTTCTCTGAATCAGCGTTTTCCAAATTTGACCGCAAGCCCACTTCCCCGAAAACAAGCACAATGTGCACCTTGACCGCTTAGCTGAAACGATTTTACATCCATGATTTCCTTTCATCCTTTTATTGTTCCTTCCTCGTGATGAATCGTACGCTCCTACTATGAACCCAAATTTCTCATTTTAATCGTAGAATGGACCGCTAAACAAGGTACAATATTCAACACTCTAATATATGTTTCCTCTTCAAACTTTTAAGCACGTAAAACACGATTCGCATAACGAAAATTACTGAAAATAACTTTCGACGAAGATATTAAAGGGTTTATCTGCGCTGCTTACGACAAATTTGAATTTCCTGCTATCAAGAAAAATCAGAGTTTACGTAAATCACATCCCGCACCAAAACGGTTTCAGCATGCTGGTCAGTGTTCTTCCTCGCCTTGTATTTTTCAAAGTGTAAACAACGAGTATCAGCTGAGTCAAAGCGCCGAAATTAAAAATGTCATATTTTCTTAGCGCAGAGACTGTTCTGGTAACGTTTTAGTGTGCGCCATAACTAAGGTAGAATGTGGTTTTTCTGATGAGCAGGACGTTTGGATGCGATGCATGCACCAAAAAACGAGTACATCTTAAACAAGAGTTCATTTCCATTATTTTCGTTGTACAACTCGTAATTTGTGCAAAATTGTATGAGAAAACTTAAAATACTACTCAAATTATTTGCTTTTGTTGTATATTACTACGTAAAGAAATGCATCTCTGAAAAACCAAAATTCTTAAATTTTCTTCCAAAAATGTATTTTTTAAAACAAATTTAAAATGATTCTGATTAATTTAAGCTACTGTTTTGCTTAACCCTATACAATTTTTTCTTCATTACAATG